ATTACAGTAACAAAATAAGATACAATACAATAAACATCTTTTAATATGCATAAAAATGTATATCGACATGATTAATAACAAAGTAATAAGTTGGAAAATAATAAATTTACCAAATATTATATTTATTTATGTGATATATATAATATATATATGTATATATATAAATGAAAATTTATTAATTAAATATAATAATGTGGTATTATTTTAATGTCTCAATGATTAAAATTGAGATTTCTTGCATTTCAGCAACATAAAATTATATTTTTCATAAAAGATAATAGATTATTGAATTTATATTTAGTTAAATTTAGCTTTACCAAGTATTACCAAATATTTTTATCAAATAACTAATAATAAATTATTTAACTTTGGAGAGATTTAATTTTTCTTGATATTCATTTTACTGCACATGTCGCACAATTAAACTTATAATTTGTAATGAAACATTCACATAGAAAAAAATGTACCTTATGTTGACGAATATGATTGATTACATATATCATGGTCACAAAGAGATTTATTAGCACAGCGAAGAACATTAAAAAGCCATTAAATATACGATATGGTCCGAAAAATGTCATTATATAATAAAAAGCACAGGCGTAAATACTCCACAAAGTTACTATATAGATGATGCTCAAACAAAGTCTTATATGATCTAAGCTGTGCCTATAAATTGTAAAACCAAGACAATAACAAATTAAGTGAATAGGATAAATGGCTTTGTCAATAGTGTCGATCATGATCACAAACTCTAACAATATCTTGTGTTATATGTCAAGTTGAAGGTGGTAAGGCGTACTAATGTTACACTTATCAACATGATGAAAACTATTTTAATTAGATCGTTGCATTAGCACCATTAAAATATTAAACTGTAACATAGATGTATATTTATGAAATAATTGTTACTCACATAATATCTTTGTTTTTTATTTTCTAATTTATATACAGTTTATATACAATTATTTTAATTTTTCAAATTACTGTAGTTTTTGTTTGTTAATATGTTAATATAATTAATATTAACAATAAGTATTTACACAACCAACGTTTTAATAAATAAACAATTAGAAATATACATATATAATAATAGTAAACTGAAAAGATACTACGTAGAACTCTTCAGAATTACATGTTCATGTTTCGAAACATGTTTCATTATTTTTCCTACTAATTAAAATTCGAGATAGGGGAGAGCTATCCATTTGCACCATAAAAAGCACCACAGAAATAATTGCTACAGTAAACTGAAAATAAATATTAAATATAATTGTAATTATTAATATTTTCTTGTCACATTTTTAAATTGCTTTTAAATTACAATATTATGCCTATATAGAAATTAATATTAAAAACTGACCTTAAGAATAAATTTGTAGCCAAAGTAAAACAAGCCTATTCCGTTCACTTTTAATGGCCGGAGTGATATTTGTAAAATAAACTGGCAAATCTGCATTGTAACGTAAATATTATTTAAAAATTTTTAATATAAACTGACTAAAATTAGAAGATTTTAAACCAGGAAATTCTTACATCTTCACGCATTTCAACAAAATAGACAAGATATGTTAATTTGTGGATCATGTATTTCGTCTTCTCCGCCTGAAATAATATAAAGTTAGTTTTACGATCTGTGTATCTTTATTTGTATAAAATAATATAAGTTTAGAAAATTGTACATGTAGATGAATAAATGTGCAATTTTTATTAACAAAATATCTCAATTTTTAATTTAATAAAATTGAAATAATTATTTTTTTATTCTTTACTCTTATGCTTCTCTAAAAAATAACAGGCCAAACACGAACATACATATTGTAAATAAGTTTTTTTTTACATTTTGTTTATAAATCATCTAAAAAATTACCTTGCTGCTAATGCTTTCGCAGATATAATTCAATGTTATGAATTTTATTAAGTATGTGCTGCACCATATATAGACATGAATTAAAAATAATATTTTCGTTTTACTGTTGCTGTAAATTTGCGCGAGACATAACACTATGTGATATTGATAATAAAATACACCAATGAAAAAGACGAAATATGATATCATTTGCAGGGTCATTTGTATTCCGAATAAACCATTTACAGTACGAGCTATATTGCGAAGTTCCCAATGAAGATGCCTAAAAAAGTATTATATTAATACTTAAACATATCTAGTATAACGCCGAAATATGATCACTGATTTATTCCTAAGAATCAAATACATATTTGTGTGTGCAGAGTTTATTTATTAAAATTAAATACGAATCAGAAATATATATAATGCAATATATTTATACGTTTTGAGATTAATAAAATTATCTGTTATGTTAAACTCTTTTATCTCTGCCACTAATCTTTTCATCTTAACATATACCAATTTACATTGTAATCCACAACACATGCTTGCGATTTTCAGCATTTTGAACATAGTAGCGAGTAACCAGAGATTTTTTCCAAGTGCATTTCAATCCACATTCTTCCATCTCTGACAGTTGATCAATATGATGGTTGATTTTATCGAATCTAATATCAATAGATCTGTAATTTAGGAAAACGAGAAAATATTAGAATGATATGCTTATTTATTTATGCAAATTAAAATATCTCTTTACTTCTTGTTTACTTTACTTAGAATATTGTTTAGAAGGAGTATCTCTTTTAACATATCATTTTTTATAAATGTATAAAGTTAAAAATTGATAAAGTAAAGTCTTCAGGTTTTTTATAATAATGTTTATACAATAAAAAATAAATTTTACAAACCTTAAAAAAAACATAAACGTTATATCCATAAGAGTATTGACGTGAAAAGGATAATTTAAAATGGCGGGAACAATTATAATTCTTATGTCCTGAAGCCTTTCTATGCCCCATAAAGAATCACATATCCAAATTATCCAAATCATCATAAACCATATAATCAGTATCCATTTTATCGAATTTCGCATTTTATAATATTCCTTAGGTGTACCAAGTTGTTCCAACGTATCGTCTACGAGACTAAGATTTTTTATACACATAATGATTTTCTAAAAATAAAAATAACAAAATGTTACAATTTTGTAAACATATTTTAGTACACATGAAAATATATATGTACATATGATTGTTTAATAATAACAATTAGTAATAATAAAAATCTCATCAAAAATTATATTAATTAATGTATAACATCTATATAATTAAATCTATAAAATTAAAATACAAAATTGATCAAATATTGTGGTTTTTCTGATAATGCAATAATTGAAAATAAAACATTTGCATTTTAAAAACATAATATTTTATTTTACTTAAATAAAAGAAATCGATTACGTAATTTATATATAATTAAATTTTACTTTGATAAATGTAATTAAACTATATAAATAAATAAATTTTGATTTTATCGAATAACTAATAATAAAAATAGTTTTCAAATTTGGAATGATCGTGTTTTGTAAGTTTGTTAATTACGCATATTATATTTGCACATATTATACAATTAATGTTATAATAAAACATTCAGAAAAAATGTACCTTATGTTCGCGAATGTTGATGATTACAGATATTATGGTCACAGACAAATTTGTCATTACTATGAAAAAGACCAAAAAACCAGTAAATATACGATGTGGTCCATAAAAATCCAGTATATAATAAAAGGCGTAAGCGTAAATACTCCACACAGTTAGTATATAGAGAATACTCAAACAAGGTCTTGTATGATTCAAGTTATGTCTAAAAACTCCAAAACCAAGCAAACAAATAATTAAGTGAAAAGGCTTTATAACTTTTTCTACACTGTCGGCCATGATAGCAAATTCTCGCGATTGAATACATATTAACTATTACTTTTCGAGTTGAAGATGGTAAGTGTAGCGTGCTAATGATACATTTATCGAAATGATAGATGGTATTTTGATAAGATCGTTGCATTAGCAACGTAAAATATTAAACAATAAACAAATGTATTATATATATTTGTGAAGTAAATATTACACGTGTTACAATATGTTAGCAATTACATATTTTCAATGTCTATACTTTCTTTGCCATCTCTTTAATATGTACAAAATGTATCTATATAATACATTCATATAATATATCATTGTTAAAATACTGTAATTTTCAAGCTACGCTGTTACAAATAAAATTAACATTATTAGAAACGGTTGATATATATATTATAGCAATTTCGAATAAAATGGTGTAAAAAGTATGGCATCCTCAAAATCAATTTCCGCGAAATTTCTTCTATTATTTATTACTAAAATTTTTACATAACAAAGCAGCATGGAAAGAAAAAGTGAGAAAAAAAATTTAAAAAGTAGGTAAAAAATTTTTATGAAAGTATTCATAGTCATATTTTTTGCGATTGTTTAAATAAACTGATATAACACATCTATTCTTGATTTTATTCAGTCGACACATTATTAATTTATTAATACAATGGAATAATATATATAATATAAATAATATTTTTAAATAATTATTGTGCATTTTTTAATTCCTGTGCAATCGATCAATGTAATTAGATACGAAATATTTGCATTACTTAGTTGTCAAACAACTTATATCTTAATAACAGTCGTCATTTGTATTATAATATTAATATTAAAATTGTATAGTAAGAGAGTAAAGATTACACAATAATATTGTTTAATTAATTAAATCGAAACATATATGAGCACTTCTACTTTTATAATTAATACAAAATTTTATTATTTGGATAACAGTCAGATTTTATACCTGTACTGTTTAAAATATTGTATATGTATATATATATATATATATATATATATATATATACACTATATACTATTATATATAATATTATATATACTATTATATATACACTATATACTATTATATATAATATTAAAAAATAATGTCGATATATTATATGGATATAGTATAGCTATTATTTTTACATATATAATTAAACTTTTAATAATTAGAAATATATAAATAATAAAACATAATTTAGCTGAGTAGATATAATATATACAATATGAATCTTTTATCAATCTGCATTTCTTTTCTGTTCTGAAAGTTTACATGTCACATTATTTCTGCTCGAAACTATTTGAGATACAGAAGTATCCATTTGAATTACAATAACAATAACAGAGAAAATCGAAACAAAAAACTGAAAATAAACAACAATTATTATTTAATTTTTTGCACTAAAGTCTAATTTTTATATTACAATAATATTTTATTATTACAAATATTGATAATATTAAAAGCTCACCTTACAAAGAAATTTGTAACCAAAGTAAAATAGACCCATTCCAGTGAATTTTAATGGCCGAAGTAATAGTTGCAAAATAAACTGGCAAATCTGTATTATATACAAAAAAGCAGTTATATTATTGAAAAATAGATTATCAGAGTTATTTAAAATAGTAAAAAAATTGTTATAAATGATATACCTTACCTCTTCACGTGCGTTTGCAAAACAGATAAGATTTGTCAATTTAAGAATAATGCTCTTAGTTTTCTGCGCCTAAAATAATATAAAATTAATCGTATAATTTACATAATCTTAATGATAAGTAAAAATTTTCGTTATATATTTATATAAATAAATTTGCATCTTGAAACAGTTTTTGGATATCATATCGAATTTAGTATCGTATCAAGTATTTTTCATTATTATTATTATATATATATATATATATATATATATATTTTTATAAATAATTTGTGTTTTTATTACAAAGCAACTTACTTTGGCGCTAACGCTTTCGCAGATATAGTTTAATAATACGAGTCTTATTGTGTCGGTGATACACCATATGTAAGTAGTAAGTAAACATTTCCAACTAACGGCATAACCAGTGTAAATGAAGCATAACAACATGTGGTATTGAAAATAAAACGTCGTCGTCAAAATGACAAAATAGGACATTGTCTGCATAGTCATTTGCATTTCGAATAAATTATTTATATCAAATGCTATTCGGCAAAGTTGTGAATGCAAATGCCTGAAAAACATTGTACATATATTTTTTAAATATTGCGTTAATATACAAATTGTTAAAATATTGAAATATAATTTCTGATCTGTTTCTGAAGCTTTATATAAATCATTGTTTGCATTTTATTAAAATGAATAAAGCACAATAACTATAACTTATACTGAAAGATCTATTTTATCGTAAAAAGTGCGAAATTCACAAATTTACAAATTTATTAGATTTATTTATTTATTATAAAAATTTTGATTTTAATAAGTCAAAATTAAAGCAGAAAAGTGTAAATTAAATTGTAATATTAAGATAAATTAGATATTTATACATCTCAAATTAATAGAATTATTTTTTTATTTTACAAAATAATGTCTTAAATTTTTTATTATTGCTTATATCAAATTACATTACGGTCCATAATATACGCTTCCGATTCTCTGTGTTATGGATACAGTGACGACTAACGAGAAACGATTCTTTAGTCTCTGACAGTTGTCTAATATGGTCATTTATTTTATCATATCTTGTACCGATATATCTGCAAAAGATAGATAATATTATTTTAGAATTGTTGCGCGACATAGAAAACGAGCATGTGTATATTATTTATACCTTATTTTTATCTAAAATTTTATGTATAATTAGCAGAATAATAATATATTAAAAACTTTTGCATTTTTTCATATACATTAAATTGAAGAATATAGATTTAATGTGACATAGCATCAATTGTGTGCGCCTTCTGTGTGTAGTGCAATATAAAATTAAGTAATAATTATTAAAAATCTAATTTTTTATAAAGCATTTCTAATCAAAATATTTAAAAAAGAGGTAACTATTTAAACGATTTCTGACTTATTCGAATTCTAAATTCGGGTTTTTAGAATTTTTATTTTTCAAAGTTTTTATTTAATTTTTAAAAATATATGAAAATTAATAGTATTATAATAGTGCAATAACTTTGTAGTGAAAAACATTTCAAACATAATATATAGATTATAAAATGGGAAATATTTCCGGTATCCGGATATAATAATAATTACTATTACGTAATTTTAATAAAAAATTTATTTATATACAAACCTTAGTAGATATATAAATATTATGTTTACTAAAATATTGATATAGAAAGAATAATTTGTCGTGATAGGAATAATAAAAGTGTTTGAATCATTAGTCATTTCAATTATACATAAAGAATCCATAGTCAATGTTGTACATATAAATATAAACCACATAATTAGTATCAATTTTATCGAATTTTGCAATTTATGATATTCTTTAGATGTTCCGAGCTCTTCTAGTGTATTGTCTACTTGATTAAGTTTATTTATTAATATGTTGAATTTCTGAAAATAATGGTAAAAAATTATTTAAAATTATGAAAAAATTTTTGTAAACAAGATTTACAAATGACTTGTGAGCAATGACTAGATAATAAAGCAATAATCTGCAATAATATATAATAAAAGTTCTTTTTATAAAAAATCTTTTTCAACTTATTTGATGCAAAACTGATTTAAAAAACGGAAAATTGATTAGTTGAATTTAATTCCTCAATTGCTTCGAAAATTAATATATTAATATAACATTTACCCTAAAAATATTAGACTTTATTTTATGTACAAAATAAGTTTATTTATGTTTATATATATATATATATATATATATATAGTAAATTTGATTGTCTCTTCGAATAATCAAAGAAAAGATGAATAATGAAATTGATAGCTAATATTTTGTTTATTTGTTGCGTTTAAATATCATTATATTGTTATAGCACTAATGCATATATAATAATGCAACATTTTATATAGAAAAAAATTTACCTTGTGTTTGCGAATTGTGGTGATTATAAATATCATCGTGATAAACAGATTTATTATTATTGTAAAGTAAATCATAAAGGATGTTACGTAATTCACAGTATAGATAAGCACATAATAAAAGACGCAGGCATAAACACTCCATAAAGTCAATATATATATAATACTTAAGCGAACTCTTGGGTAATCTAAGGGATACCTGAAAATTCCAAAACCGAAGAGAAAAGCAACTAAATAAACAGAATTTAAAGCCTCTTGTATGGTGTCAACCATGATATCACACAACTCTCTCACAGTTCCATATACGTACTATCAGAATTTCGAATTGAATATAATAGTGCGGTGTGCGTGAGGCATAATAATAATAAGATACCGTTTAATTAAAACAATTAATTGTGTTAGCGCATTCATTTGTGAATAATGATATGAATAATGTATATGTAAGATAGGATCTATCTATCTATTTCATCAATATTTTCACACGAAGTATTAGCAATTATTTTTTTAATTGTAGTTTTATTTTTCTTGTCTAAAATATATATTTATATGTGGATAATATAATAAGCGCTATGAATATATATATATATATATATATATATATATATATATACATATACGATATGTATATATCGATTCAATTATCCTTTTAATAATAAAACAAGTTTTAATTGTATTTATATATCAATTTATTTTATCATTATTTCTTTTGTTACAAATAAATCATGTTGGAAAGGAATATGATTATTTATTTATTATTATTATTATTATTATTAATATTAATATTATATTATTATTAATATTATTATTAATGTGTTTTTAAAATATTACATTTTTTATTTTTTCCTATTTTTAACATTTTAAATTATTTTGTATTACACGTGCAGGTAAAGTGGCACTTTGTGTGCGTGTTTTCTATGCGGAAAGCGGCCGATTTCCTACGCCGCAAGATGGCGGCGTGCGATCGGCCACCTCGCGCACAGAAAACGCGCACAAAGCCACTTTGCCTGCACGTGTAATACAAAATAGTATGTGTCCACAATATACTATAGTTTTGAAGAATTTTATTAAATATTTTAAAATATGCTTGATATTAATTACATTATTTTTTTTTAATTAATTTTAATAAGTTTTTATTATATTTCTTGTAAACTCCTTTTTTTGTAGTTGAATGTATGGCATATTATGCGTCTTTGATGTGATCGAATCCTTTTATGAATCATTATATTATAACGGCGTGTTCATTTGTATTAGAATAACCACATATGTCGTGACTGTAGCAAAAAACTGAAACAAACACGTACATATCATTTTTTTCTTTCTTTTTAAATTTTACAATTATATTAAATAACAATTTTATATTTTTGTAATAAGTAATTAAATTAAAAATAATAATTCCAAATGAATTGTATAATTTTAATTAATAGGTTTAAATATACATACCTTGCCAGTAAGAGTATTATCAATTGAAAAAAAACCAGAAGCAGTAAACCTCAAAGAATTAAGTACTATTTGTTGTGTAAATTGAGTAATCTGTAAAATAAAAACACACATTTATGTGTATTTATTTTATTTTCTATTAAATTTTAAACATAAACAAACTATTTATACAGACAAAAATGCAATGTTCTTATTTTCTACCAGATAATCATAAAATTAATTTTTAAACAATTAATCTGTATAAAATATGTTTGCATGTTCTATTCATTATGGGAAAATTAAATTTGATTAATATTATGATCGATAATAATTTACATTAACAAAACTTACTTCTTCTCTCATGTCATCATCGATGTTGCATCCTTCAAAAGATTGCATAATTTCACCGGTTTTATATGCCTGAAATAAATCTTAATAATGTAAAATGGACGAATTTAATATAAAATCATAAATTAATTATACAGTAAATATGCAAAGCGTATCAATGTATATTAATGAGATATTCAAAAATATATTCTAAATGTGTGTGTGTGTGTATATATATAAAATTTACATGTCAGTATATATATTATATATATATAATATAATTTTAAATATATACAAATACGCGTATACATATATGTATTATATTCAACTGTATGCTGGAATATTTTTTACCTCATCTGATACACTCGTACAAAGAGCATTCACAAATATAATTTTGACCGAGTAAATTCCTGCCCAAGCCATCATGGCAACAATTTTTTCATTATGAATTGTCATTTGAAACTGGCCGGTAAGTGTACCATATAGACAATAAACAGAAGCAGTTACTACCGTAAAATGTACTGCCATTTCGAGCAAAAGTTGCGCACAATAAGTATAATTAATTTGTCGTGCTATTTTCGTGATTTCTAAATGTAAATGTCTTTGAGATAAAAAAAAGTATTAATTTATTAGTAATTATTGAAATCATTTTAAGAGATTCACTTTAGACAATTTTTAATTTGCGACAGAATTTAGAACATACTATATACTTTACGTATCGTATATTTTGGCATGGTCTATATATATCTCATTATACATTTTAATTGTTTAAATACATTTGGTATACATGTAATTCTGTGACAAATTATATATATTGTATAAAGTGAAATTAATTATTAATTTCATGTAATTATAAATTACGTTAATATACTATTTAGCGAAGTATCAGAGATGCATAATGAAAGATTTTCATTTTTAATAATAATATTAATTATTATCATAAAATTTTATTAAAATGTATAAAATTTTATTAACTGTGCGATAGGAAATGAGAATAATTATTAATTTTACCTCAATGTCTGTATGAGATGCAATATCCTCTCTTTTTTATTTTCATGGTTTAGTCTGACGATTGCAAGAGGTGCATTTTTATGTAAATCTTGGATCTTAGAGGTATCTGATTTATTTGCATAAAGTACTACACTGTTAATCAGAATATTTGTATTCTGAAACTTTATTTGAAGGCACCTGCTGATGCGATTTTACGTTATTATTTTTATACATAATCAATTATGCACATTTATGTATTTCAAAAATGTATTAAAATGTATTTAATTTTAAAAAAATATGATGCTATGTGTGTAATTAGCAAATAAGTTGAAAATTGACGAAAATAATTTTAATTAAACAAATTATTACACGTTATTTCATTTAAAAATATTTTTATACTTGCCTGACAAATGAAGCAAAAGTGACATCCACTACGGAATTTGCCAGAATCGGAAAGCAGAAGCATAAATCGGTATAAAGAATGCCTGAATATCCCATAGATTCAGTACTTTGATACATCCATACTATATGCATAACGTTCAATAATAGCATGCCTATTACCCAAAGAACCATAATATAGAGAACGTTGCGATGTGTTCTTTGGTAATTCTTTTTTATGCCGAATGCTTCTATAGTATTGTCAATGATACTAAACTTCTTAATTATGATATTTATATTCTTGAAACATCAAAATTAAATTAGTAAGTTTGTTCAAAGGTAATAATTCGGAAAAAGAGATTAAAGGAAAAAATCCTCCATAGAGGTAAAAATTTTCTCTTTGTAATTTTTATCAAATTTTTGTTTGCTATTTGTATCGATTTTATATGAAATATTGTTACATATAATGTATAGACATACCTGTGATTTGCACCAGAACAAAATTATAACGAAAATGGCAACTAATACATTGATCGTTAAAACGGAGTAGAATAAAACTAACTCGTAACCCAACATTTGCTGAAAGATGATAATTGACTTATAAAGCAGCAAGGAGTATGCAATTGCTATCGAGATGACATAGAAGGCACTTAAAAAAATTCGCGGGCGATTCACAGGAATTTCAAATATTCCCATGCAAAATAAGCAATTAAGCCATATGATGGGCATCAATGCCTGTTTTAAACTTTTCATGTCTGATGTCATTTTTTAATTCGGCTTCTATAAAACTCTAAATAGATTATATATATAATTATTAATATATTAATGTACAAGTATTTGCGTCATTATATTATTAATGTATTATATGTAAACTTACGTTAAACTTATTTTACGTGCATTCAAAACAATAAACCACACACAATGATGGAGCCTCGAAGAAACTAATTACTAGAATAGACGTCAAAAAATCGTCTTCCTTGCCTGATATGTCTGAATGCGATCAAATGGTTTTGAGTGATGAAAAAAGGTGTTATACGTGTTCGATGTCTACAAGGACTAAATTTCTCACTTGGATGAGTCCTACATATTAGCATTAATGAACTATACACCTGGTGAGCAACTAACAACTGATAAACGATCTCGCGTGCTGTTACAATACGTTCAGACAACCTGCGTAGGTCATGCAATTTCACTTATTACACATGTCTCATGTCGGTAATGTACAAGTCGTATAACGCTTTCGATTACTTGTTCGGTTAATGATAGCCTGCCTTTCGACCTTTCTCGTGCCGCTAAGAAATTATATGAGTTTGACTATTAACAGTAATAAATAATGCAGTCGAGGGTCACATCTTTCTTCGCAGTTTATTGTAATACAACTGCTCCCGATAAAACCTATTCTTACGTCTTTTGCCTCGAGCTTGATTGAATGAACTGCAACTTCGATCAATATTATTTTTCAATTCAATAATATTTTTTTTAGTTCAATATTATTTTTGAACTATGTACGTAGAACTTTCATTGATTAAATGCGCGTGAAAATATGAATTAATAAGGTTAATACAAAATTGACTATGTGCAAACTAATTGACGTAAATAGCTCATTTTTTCGATTAAAATAATTGCTCTTGTTTAATATATTAAATACAAAATTAAATGTATAAATTATATAAAAGTATTATATATATGGTAAATCTAAATATATTTATATCTTTAAACAATTTAATTTTTTATATTAGATTTAATAAATGTAGAAAAGTATGTTTTTTTAGAAACGTATTTTAATGTAAATATAAGAAAATATAGCGATATATTCTCATTACACAGGTGTACATGATATGTTTGTCTTTTATCGTAGATGTTACGATATGATCTGACATTAGAGCGCATTAAGACTTTTATTTTAATTGAGAGTTATATGTTTGAATGTCACGCGTTTTTATATGATCCGACGATACGTTATTATATTATACGTATCAGAAAAATATTATGTTCTTATATATTGTGATTTCTATATTTAGCATTCTAATAATATTTAACATTTTAATCAACATTATGATATATTAAATGGGTATAAATTCATTATGCTTTCATATCATTACAAATTCTTAATATATATATATATATTCATTATAAAAATATAATTTTTATTTAGAAATCATCGTCAGTACCAATTTTTGAAGCGCTCCACAGCGCGTTTCCATTGGCTAAACGCATACTGATAAGATAATCGTGATTCTTCGTTTGGTTTAAATATCCTATCTACTTGACGTAGCGTCGATATTTCTTCTCTGCTTTTCCACAAACCTGAGATTAAAGGATATACATTAAAAATTATATTATCAATTATTACACATGATTATTTAACAAACGCATATATTAATTGCAATATAATCTATCAATACAATCTATTATAATCCCATATTATCAGAAATGAATAATCTCTTATTTTAATTTATAAGCCCCCTGGAGAATTCTATCGATTACCCTTATTGTTTTGTGCGGTAAAATGAATAGAAAAAAAGTTATACGGCCTAGAGAAGTTGGAAAAATATGTGAAGTTAGCTCCTCGTAACTTCAAGTGCTATTAACTCTTTTATTGGCATCACAAGTCCGAGAATGTAAGTAATAATAAATAATAAAATTGCGTAATTTTTACCACATTGTAAACCAGCTACGAATGCTACTCCTAAAATGGACATCTCGATAGATACCGGACGTTCCACTTCCAATCCCGTCGAATCAGCCAACGATTGCATAATAAAATCATTTTTGGAAACTCCACCGTCGACTCTAAAACATTTATATGCATCAAATTGATATTTTTTTTTATTGTATTTGAAGCATTATTGAAATTGAATTATTGCGGCAGAAATCGATTACACAAAATAATTAAATATTCTTTTCTTTTATAATATTAATTATTATTGTTAGAATTGTTAAGTGTACAGCAATGTTATTATATATTTTTTACTTTATTTTTCTATATGTGAAGGAAGTTTCCTTGCACAAACATTCGTGGAGTAGTCGTATCCTAAAAACGAGGCTCTCTAATAAAGATCGAACGATATGTTCTTTCTTCGTGGTGGGTTTTACTCCTAAGAAACCGGTTGCGGCTGTATAATCATTTATAGGTGCCTGAAATAATAAATAAACCGCATATTCTTAAAAAATATTCTACTGCGAGAATATTTCTAATTTAATGTTCCTTTGTCCTTATACAAAAAAATAGAAATATCTTTTAAATAAAAATAATATCTTTCAAATGTCGATTAAAAAGAAATTTTGTAATTAAATTTGTATCTTATAAATATTTCTCATTAAAAAGCCAGTAAACTTTTTATTCAAAAAATTAGAAAGAGTAAAAATAAAAATGCCATAATTAGAAATAATTTTTTCGGTTTTATTATAAATGTTTGTCTTCTTTGCGTAAAAAAATTATTTTATCATCATAATATAAAATAAATTTTATTGTAATAAATCTGATTTACCTGTAATCCACTGAATGCCGGGACGAAGTATACTCCATCAGTATCATCGACTGAATTTGCCATATTAGCTGTTTCCATAGCGTCGTTTATAATTCCTGCGACAATCGTATGAAATCGGAATATGACAGATAGAATTAAATTCTATAAAATCTCTCTTTTTGTCTTGTTTTTACATATAGATTATATTACTAATGACATAAAATAGTACTATTAATTCTATAAGCAATAGAATATTATTGTAATTGAAAATATATAATAAAAAGAGAAAGATATGTTTAAAATTTGTTTTATGTTTTTTGTTATTTGTTATAGGAAAAATTAGGATTATCAATTTTTTTATAAAATAATTTAAAAGCTGAGGAATCACCTATTGATTTAGCCCATTCGATTAGTATACCGGTATCGCTTGAAGATCCTTCTGCAACATATATTAGTTCCTTTCCGATTCGCCATCCAACAACTGGATAAAGTCCTATAAATAATTTTTGCACAATATATATATATATATATATATATATTTGTTTAATATATATCTATTCTCTTTAAAATTTTTATCATATATTATTTATCGATATACGTTATATTCTACGCGATAGAAACGATGACATTTTAAACAAAATTAAAATCCGCATTAAATGAGTAATAAACTCGCAAAATTACCAGCAACTGATGCGTGTGGTTCCCGTCCTGTGTTAACATTCACAAAAGTACCTGTCCCCATGGTGACTTTGAGATCACTAGGCTTAAAGCATCCTGAACCAAATAAGGATGCTGCTTGGTCGGCCATCTAATTTTAGCGGGTTATTATTAGAAATAGAGATGTTTGTTCAAAAAAACTTCAAAAAAAAAAAAGATCTCGGATATATAATAAATAATATACATATATATTGCGTGATTAAATATAATTGTCTAATTAGTAATCAAATTATTTTATTAATATCAAAATACTTTGTAATTTTATTACTTACTGAACAATAAATGGGAATTTCAGCCCCAAACACACTTTTGGGTATAATTCCAAAATCGCCCGCTGTATCTACTACTTCCGGAAATATATTGCGTGGTAATTTCAAAATGTCTAACGCCCAATTGGCCCATTCCATTGTAAATGGATCGAATATACCAGTGGCTGAGGCACATGAAACATCCATTATGTGCTTTCCTGCAATTAATGAAAAACGGATGGCAATTAACTAGCACAATATGGGGAATAATTATGAGTATACGCATTGTAATAAAATGCCAACAGTTATATAAAGGAATATCGTGTTCACATTTAGCATTGTTATGGGAATTTTAAAATTGATATAAAAATATATTTTATAAACACAGTAAGATATATTTAAATAAAAATATGATATATTTAATTAATTGTGCTCTTTACATTATTGCCAATTTTTATTTGATATTAAATATATCATTATTTTACCTGTTAATTTGTATAAAAGCCAACAATCTACGCCTCCGAAGGCCGCTTCTCCATTAGATGCTGCTTCTCGAAGACCTGGTATATTCTGAAGAACCCATACTAATTTTAAGCTGACCTGCAAACAACATCGAAATTAATTTCCTGAGGGAATACTAGTTGCAAGAAATATACAATAATTGATAGAAAGTTAGGAAGATCCATAAAACGAAACTGTATTTTAACGAAAAAAAGAACGATTTGAGAGATCATTAAAACAATGTTAAAACAAATATTAACGATATATATACAGGGTGTCTGACATAAGGTGTCACGCCGAAAATAAGTAGATCTAGCTTGTTATTTGGAGACAATTTTTCCAAAATATTGAAGCATCAATAATTTTCGAGTTATAAAGTAAATGGAAATAAAATATGAACAAAACCACATTCTCCAATCAATTTCAAATAGAGTTTACTTTAATAAAATTTTAATTTAATTATAGAGATACATGTTGACAAAAATTGTGAACATGCAAGAAATGACGGACTCCCTCGACATTTTTACTAAACAATAAGAAAAAATCGTCTCCAAATAACGAGATCTCTTTGTATATATTTTCGGTGTGACACTTTATATCCGACACCTTGTATAATTAGTGGCATAAAATATGAATGATAAAACATTTGAACCTGCATATTCATAAATTTCAAGACGCTACCGGCCAGAAAGCGTTTGTTTCTCGTAAGAGTGTACAAAACACGCGAGGCTATTCGCAATCCTTTCATCGTCATCGACTGATTCCACTCGTCGACCAGATCGGCTGCCCGTTGATCCTTCCATGTTATAAATCTGAAACGACAATATCACACGATCGTGAAACTTCATTCTAACCGGATTACTATTGTTATCTTTGTCGCTCTCACTTGTGATAGTGTCGTCCAGTTTTCAAATCCCAGGTAATAAAGCTGGCTCGTTGCGACGAGATTCCAAAGCAAACGATAGACTTCGGATCGATTTTGCTGTCTGCAACCATAAACAAGACAAATTGGTCCAATCACGAACCCGAGATAAGTTACAACATAAAACACGCAAACGGCAAATTGAACATAAAAGAAGATATCAATCGGACATAAGCGGTAAAATTCCTGAAATTAAAGAGCTGCTTTTTCTTTTCTTATAAATATCTACCTTTAAACTTCTTTTTGCGAGCAAAGATGATAAATTAGAAATTAGCTGGATAAATATTTATACGTGATATCTATAAATCGTATCTATCTTTTTTTATAAGAAAAGAAGAGAACGTTCCGTCAATCTGATGTGTAGAGCAAAAGAAAAAAAGCATGTCATTGAATCAAATTAGATTCTTGATAAGACCTGAAAAAATGATTTAATCGGCGAAATAATATCTGAATAACAAGCATTTAAATGCATCGGGTGTCGCAAGCAGAATGTGTGATTTATTCTTACTTTCGATGCGTCCGATTGCTGTCATCTTGGTTTACGATGGACATTTCTAGAACAGATCGAAATACAGAAATGAGGTTTTGCACACATTCAATGGGTAGCCAAAGATTCAATTAAAGTCGACGCTGATCTTTCGAAATGCAGAAAAATTAATCCAATTTTTTATATCAATAATTTTATTTATTAGAATAAAATCAATTAAAGCCAGTACAAATTAAAATTCAACTAATACATTGGCAGTATATTATTTTCTTGAATCTTGTCTATTACTCATCAAAATGATTAATTAAGATTCAGCGCGACTCCAATCAAAGCTTCAAATGTCTACTGAAAATGCGTAAAACCAAAATTTTCTGCGTTTATCCATTCTAGATTGTAGATCTTATAAAGATTCGCGTGCTTCGCACAAACAACTGTGACAAGTTATCTTTAACTTCAGTGTGCATTTATTTGTCTCTCTTATCATTTTAATTCTTATTGCATAAAATTATTGAATAGATATTGCAAGACAACGTGTGCGTATATTTAAAAATCGTATGAACTTCACCTATCATTATAAAAAATTATTAAAAGACAATTTAGTATTTGATATTTTACAATTAAAAAAACATTTTACTAGCTTACCCCTTAATGTATCCTTGATTACTTTTACTATAATCCGCCATAACTGATCCGGATCTATCTCTATAAATCCAGGTTGTGGATAAATCAGGTCTACCTAAATTTTAATAAATAAAGTACATTATTATCTTTATTCGTGTTTCATATCTTTTTTATAATCACTAACATGCATGATAATAATTTGAAACATTTAATAAATAATGCATTTTAATAACTTTGGAATTGCAATTAATTGGAATTATGACGAACGTTTTTACACTCAATTTTTTCGACCATTTACTTCTATACTTTATATTTTCTAACATTTTTAAATTTTCTTTATGTACGATTTATGTTCCATATAAAACGATGGTAATGACATGATTTCTAGATAAGTATACAGTTTCTAGATAAATATATACGGTTACTAGAAAAATTGTAGAGAAGAATATCTCTTCATGCAATTTTACCGGTCAGTGTGTCATGACATTGCAGTGATATCACGTCTGTTTCGCAAAGATGCTGCAATAAACCTATTGAATATTTTATGTCACTGAATATTTTATGCGCTCAACCCGGCCACGTCAAGTTTTTGCACTTTAATTCTTTTAATGTCGGGTCTAAATTTGTGACTGCATAAAATCATTCTTAAAAATACAAAAGCGATTCTTTGATCAATTTCTTTGATATCAGCTCGGATAAAAATCTGCAAAATTAATACATCATTTATACTTTACTGAGTAGCTTTGATTTTATATTTAAAGCATATTTGCATACAAAATGTCGAATTTTTTTATATACTTGACGTGTTTTTTTTTCTACGAAGATTTATTGTGATAATATTAAATCAATTAAAATATTTTTGATAAGCGGAATATATTATTTTTGTTTCAAAATAATAGAGAATATATGAATATTTTTGCATTTATTTTTCAAATGAAATAATTGTGATTCAAGATTCTAGAGAAGCTCAGCACATGCGCGAAATAGAAAGTAATACATCGCTATTGGCAACGACCTTTACATCGTCATGGTTAAATCGATGTTCAGTACGTATAAGCATATATGACAGTCTGCCGTGAGGTGTTCTAGAAACTTATTTCTGAGTTTATTAATCCGCGAGCCGAGAAACACCTTTACATTAACTCGATTACCTTGACTTCAAGCTGTTCTATAGCTATTTCCTGTTTCTTTCCATTACTTGATGCAAATTTATTTCACGCTCTCAGATAAATTATAATCGGCTCGTTATAGAAGAAAAAGATACAATAGTCTCTTTCATAAATGTATACTCAACCCAAGATGTTACTACATTTTTCAATAAGGCAGATAAGCAAGATCAAATTTAAAATTCCATTTTTTTTCTTTTGAAATGCCCAAATTATATTACTTCTGTTATTATTATTATTTATGTGCACTCTATGCATTATTGTTTGTGATATTATATATATTCATGCAACGCATCACCGCAAAAGACATTATTTTCGTACTCTCTTATTTAAAAGAGAAATAAGTTGCGCATTTCTTGGGGAAATTTTGTATTAACATATTTATTGATGCATGCATAAGTACTAAGAGTTTTAAATATCAAAGACTATTGTAACATTTCAAAGACTAAGTCCGAGGACTATGGTTCCGCTTTTTGTATAGGCTTCGCAGTGAACTATAATCACAGTCTTTGATGAATCTACAATCTTTGATTTACATAACTTGTTATGCACGATGCAAAACAAGAATTATAATTAAATTTGTTTTGTGCATTTTGAAAGGAAATATAAATAGAAGATGAGTTAAATAATCTTCGTTGTGTTTACAAAAGAAAATTAATTGCAAGTAACAATTTATATAAAGTGACAAATAAAAGTAGGTCATTAATGTAACGTTTTTTATGTATTGTAATTTTAATATTTTTCTTTATTTATGTCTGACTCAAGATTCTTCCAAGTAACTATAAGAAAGAAAATAATTAATTTGTTCCGAGTTATTAAAATTAAATAACTTTTGTGATATTTTTACTAACTGAAACGTTACTTATTAATTGTTTATATTTTTCTATATGAGATATCAGAGAGAGAAAGTCTATCTATAGTCGATATCAGCTGTCAAAAGTCCGATAAGTCGTGCATATCAAGTTATTTCTCGATAACATTCTAAATAAAGTAACATCTTTACGGTTTCTCTATCATTCGATATTAACGCATACATTGATATTTAGACTTATCTATCTTTTCGTAACCATTAGACGATGAATTATACCAATTATGTTTTTCAACTATCTCCGCTCGCGCGTATATTATTTTTCTAAGCATATTATCGCAGTAAATTATTTTTTAAAATATATTGTACATCGCAGAAAATAATATTTTATTATATTACAATTTGTTAAATAATAATTTCTTAATTTTTTCTTGCAATTTCTCAGTCTTTGACGAGATTTAAAAATATATTTTTTTATTATTAATTATTATTTTAATTTTATTATTAATTATTATTTTTTAAGTATATTATCGCAGTAAATTATTTTTTAAAATATATTATACATCGCAGAAAATAATATTTTATTATATTACAATTTGTTAAATAATAATTTCTTAATTTTTTTCTTGCAATTTCTCAGTCTTTGACGAGATTTAAAAATATATTTTTTTATTATTAATTATTATTTTAATTTTATTATTAATTATTATTTTTTAAGTATATTATCGCAGTAAATTATTTTTTAAAATATATTATACATCGCAGAAAATAATATTTTATTATATTACAATTTGTTAAATAATAATTTCTTAATTTTTTCTTGCAATTTCTCAGTCTTTGACGAGATTTAAAAATATATTTTTTTATTATTAATTATTATTTTAATTTTATTATTAATTATTATTTTTTAAGTATATTATCGCAGTAAATTATTTTTTAAAATATATTATACATCGCAGAAAATAATATTTTATGATATTACAATTTGTCCAATAATGATTTCTTAATTTTTTTCTTACAGTTTCTCAGTCTTTGACTAGATTTAAAAATATATTTTTTTATTATTAATTATTATTTTAATTTTATTATTAATTATTATTTTTAAAGTATATTATTGCAGTAAATTATTTTTTAAAATATATTATACATCGCAGAAAATAATATTTTATGATATTACAATTTGTCCAATAATGATTTCTTAATTTTTTTCTTACAGTTCCTCAGTCTTTGACGAGATTTAAAAATATATTATACACATTAGTGTAATCAATTCAATTTTAACGAAATTATATCAAATATTCGAGTCTGCTGTTTGCTCGCGAATTTAATCGGTCTTCAGAGAATACAAGAAAATCGCGACGAACCTTCTCCGCCGAGGAAGCCACCGTGACCGCTTTCTCGTCCAGAATGTGGAAGCGTACCGTCGTGGTGCCGACGTCGAGCGCCGCGACGTATTTCATGGTACTACTGGTTTCTTCTTCTCCGACGAATTTGAATATTTCAGCGCCAATTCGCGCACACACTCGCACTAGAATTCGTCAATAAAATCCAGGCCGCGGAATATCGAGCCTTAGATCGCGCCGCGTCTGGCATGGACTGGCGTCAATTAGTGCCACTTTCTACCTCGTGTTACGGGCAACAAGCGGGGAAAAACAAGAAGAGAAAAAAACTTGGGACTGCCGATGGGCAAAAAATTAACACGACTTGAAGCGGCGATCAACGTTGAGGCACGCTCGCTTATTGTAACACGACTGTCCTTGGCAGCGTGGTACATCACGCATGCTCTAACAAGAGGTTTTATCGAGACGTCACATAATGAAACGATGAACTCCCGACTCACAACTTCCTCGGCAACGAGTGGGGCATTTTATCGGAGCGTACGCCGCATCGTTCGGGCCTCCGTCTTGCCGATTATGGCTGAAACGCACCTTTGAAAATCCTGAAAGATTCATTCTGCGTCGATCAACGATTTCTTTCGCGCTGAAAAAAATTATTAAACTGATAAATATTTATTTCAATACCGCTCGAATAATTTATTTTAAATAAATAAATATTTATCTGTTTTGAAATGGATTTTCTTTTATCAAATAAATATTTTATTCGTATCACACCAATGTTAATGGTTTCGAATAAATCATTTATTAGGTAGTATTGAAATAAATATTTTATTCGAATATTTAATAAATTATTTTTTTAATGCACCGTGCGGTCTGATCATTTAGAAGCCGCAATTATTGTATTACGATAGCTATATCGCGATTGCGATCGATTATTTGAAATTATTCCAGCGTTAAAGACGCTTTTATACGCCACTGTGGAAGCTTTATTTTACAACGATACAAAAATTAGTAATCTTATCTAAGCAGATGTTTTCATTCAGTAAGCATAATTAGCATTCAATAACTTATTATAAAACTTTTAAAATTCCAACTTTTTCTTACAATTAATTAAAGCTTTACTGAAATAATAACTTTAAAGTTACGTTTTATAAATTTAAGATAAATACTTCTTCATATTATAAAATTTTGTTAATAATAAAATATTTAATATTGAGTATTCCGAAGTAGTCTGTTCTAATTTTCAAGAGAAGAGTACATTTTATGCAATTTTACAGTTATTATATTCTTCAATACATCTGTAAAAAATTAATTTAAATTAATTTTGTTTAAATACTAGATCTTTGGTTATCGCGTGACATTTGTCATTCACATGAGAGATATGATGCGACAGATGTCATGCGCATTAAGTACTATCTGCAATTAACGAAACACATTTAGAGTTGTTTAGTGTTATTGTGTGCACAAGGTTAAATGAATTTTAAAGATTCTGTTCGTGTGTTTGTAAATTATCTCTAAATTTACTATTTTATTTAATTAGTTAGATAGTGCTATTATTTGGCAAGAGAAAATAAATAATAATGTAAAGTCATGATTTGATATATTACTTAATAAACATAAATTAATATATAAAATCTTCAAAAATTCAAACTTTGCATGCATGTATGTCAATTAAAATAAATATACAATAAAGAACAAATGTATGTTCAAATATTAATCATTTTTAAATTATAAAAAATTGATTGTAAATAAATAAAAGTTTTTACAAGTTAGTATAATCAATAAAAGTTATTTGTAATATTTATGAAGAAAAATAATTTGTAGAATGAGATTGTAAAAATGAATAACTTATTAAACAAATAATTTTTATGAAAGAAGATTCTAAACATGGTACAAAATTCTTTTACAAAAAAATATTTATTTGACGTGTTATTGCTTGTTACGTTACTGAAGATCAGATCGCGACGTGCGCCTGTTGGTAGCAACCCAATTGGCAAAGAGTAATGTATAATATTCATAACTTAGGCGTGTGTTTTTAATACATGTTGTCATTGTCCCTTTCTAAAAAAGGCATGCAAAGTTGATTATCGCAAATATTGTTGCTGTTTTTCCGCGATACTATAATTGGTTGTCTCAATTAACATTATGGCTGCGTTCGTTTTGGACGCTTTCAGCGCTATAAGCAAACGCAGCCTATGTGTTATATTAATAGCATCAGATAACTGCGTAAAAGTTAATAGTTTGATAGTTGTAAAATAGAAATTAAAAATAATATCAATAACGCGCGCGCTTGTGTTCTGGTAAAAATATATTAATTAATTATGCAACGCATAAAAATTCAATATTTTAATCTTTTACAGAAAATACGAACAAGGAAATAAAATTTTCTAAAAGAATCTTTTGTGATTAAATATTTACGATTTTAATAGACTCGCGCGAGACTTCATCCCCCCTACATCTATCACGTTGCGCGGTTCGCGCGAAACTGATTGTCGAGCAGGGTATCACGAGCGCGGGCCCGATGGTCACATGACCAGTAGTCACATGATCAGTAGTCACATGACCAGTGGTCACGTGACCATCGGGCCCGCGCTCGCGATACCCGGCACGAAAATCAGTCTTGCGCGAACCGCGCAACGTGATGGATGTATGGAGTGTACAGGGTTTGTCCGGAAAGTAATGCGTCGCATTTTTTTAAAAAAGAATTTATTGATCGCATAGGTAAAACAACTTAAAATTGTTCGAAGTATGACCCTTCTGCGTCAATACATTTTTGCCAACGCGATTTCCATGCGTCATAAGATTTCTGGAACTCCTTGACTGGGATGCTGTTCAGGGAGGCCGTCGAAGTAGCTTGTACGTTGTCAACCGACTCGAGCTGTTGTCCTTTGAGCTCCCTTTTCAGCCGAGGAAATAAAAAAAAGTCCGCCGGGGCCAAGTCGGGACTGTAGTTGTTCTTCACAAACTTCCACTCGGTGTTGCTTTTGCGCATCGGTCAACACTCTGGGCACAAGTTTTGCGCAAATCTTCCGCATGGCCAAGTCTTCCGATACAATCTCGTGAACAATCGTTTTCGGCAAGTTCAATAATTCCGACATTAAGCGAACATTCATTCGACGGTCTGAATTCAATAATTGGCGCACACGAGTCACATTGTCGTCCGTTCGCGATGTTGACGGGCGTCCTGCGCGGGCCTCGTCGGCGACCTCCTTCCGACCTTCTCTAAACATCTTGTGCCATCTGTTTGACTGCGATTTGGAAAGGCAATCGTCCCCGAAAACTTTCTTGAGCATTTCAAAAGTTTCCAGCGGCGTCTTGTCCAGCTTCACGCAAAACTTTATCGCATAGCGTTGCTCTATCGTTCTCTCCATCACAAGTTCGACGCGACCACTAAGCAGAGGTTCACAGAATAAGCCGTCCTAACCCTCCAAGCGCATGGAAACAATTGAGCGACCTACCGTTGGAAAGCTAAGGGTACCCCCCTTCCTCCCCAACCGGTCCCATCGCTCTGCGATGTATAGTCGCGTCACAAAAAAATGCGACGCATTACTTTCCGGACAAACCCTGTATTAATCTGATGGAAAGGATAGAAAGAGAGTTGCTTTCGTTGTGCAGCATGCAGAGCTGAGCAGCGTAGCGGACGCGTACAGACGTGCAAATCTAATGGAAGCGCTATTTTGATTGAAAGATTCTTGTAGAAAATTATATTTTTTTTCTGTTAAAAAATTATATATTGAATTTTTTATTGTTATGAATCGCGTAATTAATAAATATATTTCTATGCATGCATTGCAATAATAATTTTATACATACGTTGCAATTTTTAAGGTTTTATTATCAAAGAATAATATAACTTCGCTTCGCGCACGTAATTATATTTGACTAAACGAAACAAAATGAGAAAAATATATGTAAAGAGATACATCTATACAAAATAGTTCTCAAACAATACAATAGAAATTCAGCAAATTAAAATTATGTACATAATAAAAATTTAATAAATAAAAATGATATACATAATTTTACGCGCAAAGGGCGCGCTTGTTTTGTCTAGTCTTTATAAATTTTCCTACAATGTAAAATTATTTCCAAATTTTAATTTTATCAAATTTTTTCCATTTTGCTGGTAGATCCAGCAATTTTTATTTTAAAAAAGACGTGTCAAATTGATACTCAAATCAATATCAATATTTTCCTAAAATCTTGTAGTTTATTGTTGCTTCTTATGCATGTCATCACATACCATTTACATTTCTCTCGAAAAATGGAAATTTATTTTGATAAATCCGTCACTTTGATACTCTAATGAAACTAATTAATATTGAGAAATAAAAATTTTGATAAAAATGAAACAAAATAGTTGTGTTCTTGGAATTTTTATGTTAAAAACAATTTTTATATTAAATACGATATATGTATGTTACAGTAATTTAAATCAATTTGCATTTTATAAAATTTTAATTATATTTTTTTTTTCTCTTAGATTTTATCCTTATTATCAGCAGGTAGCATAACATGCAAATATTTTTCTTTATTGTCGTAATGTGTCTTATTGCAGTATGCATCGTCAAATATGAAAAACATAGTCATAAATATTGACACGCCAGCAAAGATAATCGATATAATCAGCTCTAATATAATCTATAATAAAAATTATAAATTAATTAAATAAATTAAAAATACATAGATAAATCAATAAAAAGAATATTTAAAGCTAAAGAAAACAGAAAATAATTATTACATCTGATATTTTTAATATTCTCAATATTAAATAATTATGAAATACTTACTTCAACAATCGCTCTCAAGATCGCTATTACATGATGCCTTACAGATATCCATTTCCAAATCATAAAGGGTAATAACACAAAGAGCAATAATAAATCGAGTACATGTATGACAATCACAGAAATAATTTTGCTTACATTAAGCATCTGTATCTTTTTATACATGCTAATTAGAACATTATAAGATAAAACGTGAATTAATTATATTAAATTAATTATTTTAATTATAAATACGTAGTAACGAATATTATTGTAATTATATTTATGTTTGACATAAGTACAAAAAATTTTTATTACGTTAAAAGATAACAAAATGAAGAGACTCACGTGATTTTATTGGTTTCTTAATTACATATTTTTTAAATAAATTATCTCCACGTCATATTTTTATGTTTAATATGTGTTTGTCTCTTGAATTGATACAGTCTAAAATTTTGCGATTTTGAATATATTAACCTCGCTGTATTGTGTCAAATAATGATTAAGAAATTAGATGCAATTATTTTTAAAAATAATTTACATTTTGTTTTTAAAATTGCAAAATTGCATTTCAACTTTTCAAATTTGGAGAAGTAAATATTATCGAGCAAAAATTATAACACGTGCGATTTACTGTCTATTTGTTACACAACTGTCAAATATATAAGTTTGTTGGCAATGGCTGAATGTCGCACAAGTCTAATTTTGACTTTGTTTAAAATAAACGAACTAATTTCACACACATATAAATATAACATAACTTCACTATCTAAGATTAATATTAATAATTTCTATATTTTTTTGTATCGCGTAGAAAGAATAAAATCATAGTTCCAAAGTATTAATAAAATTATTAAAATAAAGCTTGTATTTAAGAAATATGTATGTGTAATCTTATTATTCTAACGATGAGTAACAATGTGTAGCGTCTATTTAAGTACAGTTGATGATACAGATAGGTTTAACAGTACATGAAACTATATCTACACTTATTTTAAAGAATTAACATATAGATCTCGTAATAAAAATATTTTATATATGTAAAGACAAATATTCACATTATTTGGGAAATCTAGTGTATGTACGTCTAATTTACACAACTTCTACATAAGATAAAAATCATTAATTTTTACGTATAATTTAATTTTTCTTGGTATAATTTAATAGAACACGTCAATGATGGTAAGGTTGATGAATCGCGTGCCAATGATTTTTATGCGCTGTGTTTCTTGCGTGCTTCCGTCTTTCTCTGGCGGCTACTTGCTGTCTGTAGACAAATAGAGGCCTGAAGACCTTCGCATCCTGGGCTTCCATATCCTCTGCTTCATCGACGATCTTTTCTTCGATTTTGTTCTCGGATCCCGTGCGAACGAATCTTTTTCTCTGATGTTTTCGGATCGTGACCCCAGTGTAACAGGCTGACGACCTGAGTTTGACAGTGGCAGTCTTTCGATAAAGCCATTAGTCTCTACATTATTCTTCGGAATCCCATAGGCCTCCACCTAAAAAAAAAATACAATATTTGTTAGAGAAAAAATACGATGTTTATTATTAAATATTTTTCTGTCTTTAAGTCCATACAGCACAAAATATTATGAATTTTTCAAAAACTATTTCTAAATATTTCTATAAAATATTGCATAAAAACATTTTAAATAGTTTTAGGGATATATTAAAATAATTTAAAAATTTTTTGTAATAATATTTTTTAGAATATTTTAAAAACATATTTTTGAAATATTAATCTAATATTAATCTATATTCAAAAATATTTCTGAAAATGTTTTTTAAACATAAAAAAGTGGACATATAGAAACATTTTAAAAATATTTGCGAGAATTATTTTTATCTTTTAAGAAACATTTTTAAAAGATTTGAAAAATATTTTGTGCTGTATGGGAGACAACATCCTACTTCTAAGAAATATCAAGAAAATCTCGATAATTTTTGCATTGTCATTTTGAATTGCATTAATTACATATTTAATGAATAAAAATAATATTTACCAATCTGCCATTTCTTGAAACGCCATCGACCTGATCTTCTCCAATATGCACTCTTTCGATAACACCATTATTTTCTAAGCGTGTTTTCGGCAAACCGTATGCGCGAATACCCGGTTTATCCTCCTCGGATTCCAGATGAATTCTTCGCACCTTACCATTTAATCCAGCTTGATTGCGGATCTGCACGTGCTTAATGCGTTTGCTATTATCCGGGGATTTGTGTAATTGCGGGCAATCAGGCTCGTCGATTGCTCGAATTGTGGTATCTGATATAACATTTGTGCTCTGTCCTACTTGAGCCGTGCTCAGACTCAATAAGCCAGTTAGTGCAAATACCTGAAAAATAGATTAATAATAACATTTACACATTTTCATATCAATTATAATTAGCTAATTATTTATAAAGACGTTTGACAGTTTTTAAATATGGAATATATACGACATTATCTACAAAAGCGAATTTTAATGCTTAGAAGAAAAAGAATAAAAAAAAGATACATATTCATGCCTTAATAAATTATAGGATTATACATATATTAAGTTAAAATGGTTATTGTGTCTTTAGATTCTTCTGTGTAGACATGATATAATTTCTGCTATATGACGGAACATATGCACATTTTATCTTCTGTGGTCTGCCACGATAGTCTTAATCACGCTTTATTAAAAACACGGAAGATTACACTCCAATGGCATTTACTTAATTGGATATAAAATAACGTGTCCGCGATCTCACGGGAAACCTTTAAACAAGATTCAATGATAACTCGTTTGCTCAATGTTTCAGAGTTTATTTGCAACAATGAACAGTATAAAATATTATGTACGTGTACGTTTATGATTTTTACTTTTAATGAGAATTAATAAAGTATTCAACGTTTCTCAATATTAATTACAGAGTTTAAATACCGCTTAAAATCTTTATGTATAAAAAAGGCAAAAAATTCAAGTCAAGGTAGAATAATAAAAAATACAGGCATATAAATTAACAAAAAAATACTATGAAAATTAAAAGTAAAATTGTGAAAAATATCAGGAGTTTATTATATTATTATTTATCATAAAATTGACATGATTAATTTGTTATATTTTTGACAGAAAAAATTAATAATTATACTTGTATCATAGATTATTTCTTAACATAATAATTTGTATTAAAGCTCATTTTATTCTATATTTAAAATAAGTATAAATAAGCAAATATAAATAAACAATAATGATTACAACACTTTTGACATAATATATTTAAATTATAAAACGTTTCGAATAACATTCAATCCAGATTTTTAAAAAATGGCGAAAAATAGAACCTAATATGAAACAATTAATTCTATAATGTATCATTTTTTATTCTTACCGTCAGTATTAATCTCATCGTGTACAGCTATCTTCTCTTCCTGTCGTGGAAAGATATCCTGCTTGCTCACTTCCTAGCTCCTGCTCGGACTCTTAAGCGACGTTTGAGGGAAAAGATCGACCGCACATCGGTTATATATGTAAAGCCGCCTTCTCGAAGAACGCGTGTAATTAAGCTGCTCTCACATGGGAGACTGCGATGCGGATATGCAGATTCATTGTAGAGCGAGAGCGCAGTCTCTTTCCTGGTAAAGATGCTGAACTGCAGTGAGTCATTTTTGTAAACGAATCGCATGAATGGGTCAAATGACTCGAAAAATTACAATGCTTTTACTGTTCTGAACACGTGTGAAAGCCTTTGATGAGAAAACAGATGTCGGAGGAAGCAGACTTTCGGCAGCCCCTGGAAAAAGTCTGAAAATGCTGTAGTCAACTTAAACTGGAAATTATATTAATAAAGATTTTTATGAAATAAAATGTTTTTAATTGTTTGATTTGTAATAAATATATATCACAATTTTAAACATTAAAATTTAAGTTATACCCATACGGCACAAAATATTTTTTAATCTTTTAAAAATATTTCTTAAGAAATAAAAAATTCTCGAAAATATTTTTATAATGTTTCTATGTCTGCTTTTTTATGTTTAAAAAATATTTTCAGAAATATTTTTGAATATAGATTTAAACTGATATTTTAAAAATATATATCAAATATTTAAGAAAATATTATCTGAGCGAGAAAAAACATTTTTAAAAATATTTTTAAAAATATTTAAAAAAATGTTATCACAAAAAATTTTTTAATTATTTTAAAATATTTCTAAAACCATTTTAAAATGTTTTTATGCAATATTTTATAGAAATATTTAGAAATATTTTTGAAAACATTCATAATATTTTGTGCTGTATGCGGGTATATAAAAACATATAATGTATAATAATATCGTAATTATATATTATTATAAATAATTATAAGTGCAAGTCTAAATTTAATTAATTATTTTACGATGATTCAGAGATATCGAAACTATTTCTGATTTTAGCTTTAACGGAGAATAATTATTATTTCCGTCCTTGCTAATTGGCAGTGAATCGTATAGGTGCTAAACGTGTATTTACTGATCGCTAAACATTCAGACATGTCGCACATGTAAGCGGCTTTTCCGTTCTTCTAATGTCGGTGATTCGATGCCAGTGTTTCTCAGTGTTTGAAAATAATTTTGTCATACATAGATACTAAAGTGCTATATACTTTTAGCAAGATATAAAAATAATAGAACAATTATATTTCTTCTACCACTTTTTCTCTCTTCTCAATAAATTATGCTGCACATAGAATTTTATATTTTACAAATTATAGGGTTTAAAAGGATCGCTTAAAATCTTTATGTATAAAGAAAGGTAGAAAAATTCAAGTCAAGATTTAATAAAAAATATGGTAATTAACGAAAAAAAACAATTAAAAAAAAATAAAATTTTTAAAAATGTCAAGAATTTTTTAATTGTATTATTATTTATCATATTACCATAAAATTAAGGAAATTTATACGAATCTCGAAGGTTTCGGAACATCATGGAAAATTAGACAACCGCTTATCTTATGTTGTATGAATGAATAGATGGAAGAACGAGTGACTGTTCTTCTCAAGGACATTAACGATGACACGTTTACTACGGATTGCAATAATTTCCGTCATCGTATTCCCAGTAAAAGCGCCAATGATCGTTCACCGAACGATTTGTTTAACGAGAGCGACATGTTTGATTGATGTCAAACGCGATTTTATTATCGCCCAACGTCAGAAATTTGTTTATACAAGATCTCTCTGTTCTACGAACACGTATTTAATGCTAAACCAGTCATTATTAATATGGATAGTATTTAGATGATTTCTCTTAATATTATATGTACATATATGCGAATAGAATTATTATAATTAATTACATTAATTACGGTGCAGTGAGTGTTATTGCAGTATAAATACGGATGCAATAATAATAGTTCATTATCACTAATAACATGAAATAATGTTTTGCTTTCGTACCAAATTAGCACTGTAACAGTTATTGTTAATTCTAGATTATTCTATTCAACAATTTAATATTTGTTTACTAAATTTTTCTCGGAATATTCATCTATTACACATTGCTCGATTATATTTGCATTTTTTACTGTTAAGATTAAGATACGCATGTATATTGCTTCTTATGTTGTCCTACTTCCGAAAGTAGCATCAGATACCGGTTTCGTTTATCCGTTTCATCAAAACAGTTAAATAACATTGACTTGTACATATACAAGTTTACAAATTTTTTATTATTACGCATATAAATGTGCGCTTCCTATATGCGAGATAATACGATTTATCACGAAATACTGTTCAATAAATGTTAAATTAATTCCAAAATTTAGCGGAAAATTTGCAACCATTTAAAATATAAACGCACTCTCCTCTGTTTAATCTATAAAATCAATACATATAATGTGAAGAAACGTGTATTTCGCAGTAGAGTGGAAAATAAAATTCTTCGAGAAGTTTATCAATTTCAACTCTGACTATGACGCATAAATTGAGGTGCTAATCAATGAAGCCGATGATAATCGATAATTATATTCGATATTTATACGCTGCATCAATCATTGCAGAAATATTTCGAAGAGGATGGAATGAAAGCGAAATATTAAAAACATTATTTTTTATATTGCATTTAATGCATCTAATCATTATTTGTTCTTTAAAATAATTAAATTAATCTAATTGAGAAAAGATTGTGTAATTACACAGTAATTTAATAATTCTACTGAAGTTAATAGCATATGAGAATTTTATTCTTTCTACTTCAATATCACTATTATTAAAAAGCCAAGAAAATGTAATTTATTTTTGACATCTACACAACAATGCGTTGACTGACGCTTGTCAAAATTGCATATATTGATAGTCTTTTTCAATTTCGAGCGCGCAACGATGTCGACTCGCGATATTTATATTTGTTTTCACCGAAAGACGTCACAAGGAATGATGTAAAGGGAACTGGGTTATCATTTCGTAAAAACTAAAAAATAACAAATAATTAAAAAAATAAAAATGGATGAAATACATTAATTACACACACATGTATTTTAATTAAAATGTCATATAAAATATGTTATTCCATTACAAATATTAATAATAATTTATCAGCTGAAATGTCAAATATCTTTTATTCTTATCGTATTAAAGTTTTTTTACATACTTGAGGAAATTGATTTAAAAATTAAAACTAAGATGAACGATATGTATATCTGCTGTCAATATCGTAAGAAAATATACATAAAATAACGAGAATATTTATTGTCATTAATACGCTAATAATAATCATCATTTGAATATCGAGATCTGTAATTATAGTTGCGTCTCGGATAAGAATCGTAGGAATTGTATCTTTGATAAGCGGATCTCCTATAAAATTTCTGCTGCGCCTCCTGTCGATATCTAAAAAGCGGTCTGAAGACAATATCTGCAGCGACATCCATGTCATTTGGATTTTTCGGATAATTAGTGTCTGCATCTGAGGTCCAAAAGAGTGGTGTTGCAATGTCAAAACGAGGCATTACGATTGGCAACGGATTTTCGTTCATGTATCGGGTCTTCATTGTAGTCGGCAATGAAGATACTTGCCCCTAAATGTGGAAGTGTCTTTTAATTTTTCCTCAAATTTTTGTTTTCTATCTTTAAACGCCAATTAATATAATTAATTTTACAAATTATAATTAATTGGAAAATAATAGTCACTCTTTATTAAAATTCTGAAATGTTATATCTGTGAAATACCGCAAATATCTTGTGATATATATAATTTTAAGCTTTGTGCAACGTCACATTTTCTAATTTATATTAATATAAAATATAAATGCTATTTAGATTTATTTGAATATTATTTCGAATTATTGATTAAAAATAATCGCAGAAAAATCATGAAGCACATATTTCGACGGAGTTATCATATTTTGACAGTTTATCTGTTCACTTCGAAATCTCACATTTTCTAAAAAATTGAAAAACACTATAAAGATAATTTCCTTGAAGAAAACGAAAATAGATTTACCTTTGACAGGGAAGAAGCGAATTGCCAATTATTGGGATTCACGCTCCACGAGTTTCCATCAATGTAATCTTGAACGCTCCGTTGAATTTCGTCGCGTTCGTCCTCTACTCGATTCTTCAAGTTATCATCTCTTGACAATGTTGTCGCGATTGGCACGTCGATCCTGTCAGAGATCTTTGCAGGATCAAGAAACGCTATGATCGGCACCGAAATCGCCGGCGACAAATGTTCCGGAAGTGTTATTTCCTCAGTCGGATTTGGGATGAGATATGGAATTTCTTGCGGCGCTTTATCGATAGGAAATATCGGTTTCAGCGTAGTCTTAGAAATTTCGTTTAACGCTCCGTAGAAATCATTTTGGGACGCATAGAACGGATTAGTTTCATCCTTCTGGAAAATTATATGTTTAACAATGTTGGCGAATGATCGCAAGCATGACTTATTCATAATTAATCCCTTAAATTACAACAACAAATTTGCTACGTATAGAATCAAAATTATTATATATGTAATTTGGAATTTAACACATGCGTCATATTTTTTCAAAATATTCAATCAATTATGTAAAAAAAAATGTTAATTTATTAAATTTTTTTTAAAAGAGACTAAGAGAGAAATTCTAAAAATTAAAATTAAAATCGAATAATAATCAATAATAAATAAATTCGCGCGTTTAAATGTCAATTCTTTAATATTTTATACATTCTCATATTTTACCGATGAGTTTTCATATTCGTCTTCAGCATCCTCGGTAAAAGATTGATTATCTGTAAATGCCAAGCCGTCCACATCTGTTCCCGCATTTACAGTTTCTGTTATATTTTTCTTCACATCTTCTAAATGTATCATGGGAACAACGAGAATCTGTTTGCGTTGCGACACCACCTTTCAAAAAAAAAAAAATAATAATATGACTACTAAATACTAAATATTAATTTTATCTTGTTCTCTTCTTTTTTCTTCCTATAAACAAGAATCATCTATATTATATGCCAAAAACAATAATAATAATTAATATTGCGCATAATTATATATAATTTCTTCCGATAACTTATTGACATTCCCGAACTGCTGTTACATAAAAATGATTAATCATACTTTAAATTAGTCTGTCATCGTTAATGAAAACTAACAATTCTAATCATCCTCGTAATTAACGAACTAATTGCTAATAGCAATATTTAGTTGCATTCTCAGACATCTTCCTCATTGAAAAGATACATAAAAATATCGGTATTAATATAATATATATTATTGATTAGTCGATTTTAAATTTACACGAGCCTAATTTATTTTTTAATTAAATATATTTAATATATATTATAATTTAATCAAATATTTTCTAATCGCATTTCTGAAAAGAAAGAATATCGCACAAATGTTTTTATACAGACCTTAGTGGGTTCAGCGGCGGGCAAAACGAAGACCTGCTTTTTTACTACCAAGCCTTGCAAGGATCCATTTCCGACCGCGTCCTGCACAGCATCCTGGACCACCGGATCCTGCACAATGGCAGCTAACGTATCGTTCGTCGTTTGAGGTTCCGTAGGCAACAGATTCGCCACGTCTTCATATTCCAGAGGTTTCGCGTTCAAGGTTCCAAGGAACAATAAAAGGACAATGGAAAACATGACTCCTCTTTTTCCCATCTAGAAAAATGCAAGAAATTTATTGGAAATATGTGCTACTTTGATCTCGATCTTCTATATAACTTAGCTGTAATTAAAAAAAACATATAGCCTTCTTATTGCTTCTTTTTGCACTTTCTTTAATTTATTATTACAATACAAATGATTAATAATTATCGAGATAGTTATAACATAAAATGTTATATATTTAAAATATTAATATGTACAATTTTTGTGATATGTCATTACCATAAAAGATTAATTATATATTAATTTAAATAAGAATTTATTATTACAATATAAATTATTAATAAATATCGAGATAATTATAGACATAAAATGTTATATATTTAAAATATTAATATGTGTACAATTTTTTGTGATATGTCATTAAAAGATTAATTATATATTAATTTAAATAAGAACGACACTAAATTATAATACTTTATAAGTTATATACTTTTCAAGTTTCTTGTGATTTTATGACTCATCTTTCTGAAATAGAAAACTTTGTATTGACTGATCATGATGCAAAGTATAATATATATATATATTCTATGTACATTTATATATGTTGTGTTAATTGTCACGTGAAAATTGGGTTTTTCAAACGCCACGATTGATGTAAGAACGTACCAGCGAATCGATTTTCATCGCGATGACAAAATTCTGCGCGACGTTTCTCTTGCTGCTTCGACGAGATTGTCTCGCCAAGGATTTTCCAGCTCTGTCAAGGTATAACGGACCGTACTGGCTTTATACGACGTGCTGAAATAATTATCGTTACCCCGTTAATAAACGTGAGTATCAACCTTGCGGTAAACTGATACCTTCGTCGGATGCTGTATCATAAAGGAGATCATTAATAGTCGATCATGCAGCGAATAATTTTGCCAACGAGTTGTAAACCTGTATCTTTTATATACCTATGTTTTTTGTTTAAAATAATCATTTATAAATAAATAAATAAAAAAATAATAGTCATTTATTTAAAAATAGTCATTAATTAAAAACATAATAGTCATTTATTTATAAATAAATAAATAAAAAATAATAGTCATTTATTTAAAAATAGTCATTAATTGAAAACATAATAGTCATTTATTTATAAATAAATAAAAAATAATAGTCATTTATTTAAAAATAATCATTAATTAAAAACATAATAGTCATTTATTTATAAATAAATAAATAAATAAATAATAGTCATTTATTTAAAAATAGTCATTAATTAAAAACATAATAGTCATTTATTTATAAATAAATAAATAAATAATTTTTTATTTTAATTGGTGTACTTGCGAGCACAATAATTCCTTATAATTCATCATTATATGTCAAAATGGAGAAGATAATTAGGAAGAAAAACTGGATATTAATTTAATTAATTATTTCATACAAGTAATTTTTTACAATTTTTTTTTCGAAACAGAAAATATACAAAATACGAGGATACTTAATTTGGTGACCGTTCGACCGAACGAATATTTTACTTATCGTTAGCGCATTCTTAACGATCTATCTTCGAGACTCGATGGTGTTTAGCGAGCGACTTAGCAACACGACTCCAGGATAACGAGCTATAAAAGACTCGTTTCGTCTTCCTGAATCTCTAGTCTGCGACGAGAAATCACACTATTCGGAAAAAATCGAACGAAAGAATGGAACGCCTCGGCATCTTCTTTTTCGGTCTCTTCTCCCTCGCGATTTTGGCGGAATCGACAATCGTCGGCTCGTCAACGACGACTGAAGCTTCGACGAAGAGAAACGTCATCGAGAAACCTCACGCGGATCTACCGAAGCCAAAGGACGCGAAGAGCGATCCCGAGTGTTCTTTGGTGAAGCAGAGCCACGGGAAAGGTAGTCGATCATGCGGCGAATAATTTTGCCGAGTTGTAAACCTGTATCTTTTATATACCTATATTTTTTGTTTAAAATGATCATTTATAAATAAATAAATAAAAAATAATAGTCATTTATTTAAAAATAGTCATTAATTAAAAACATAATAGTCATTTATTTATAAATAAATAAATAAATAATTTTTTTATTTTAATTGGTGTACTTGCGAGCACAATAATTCCTTTTAATTTAAATTGGAGAACGCAGTCCGTCTCTGAATAAAGTATCCGATGCATTCACAATTCCAGCTGTCAGCTTGAAGGAGCATACAAAAAGGGAGGATCACAATGCACCACTAGGATCTCGTGATTTAATATCGCCTCGTTTGACTCGCCAGGCCGAAGAGAGCGACGAGGATGGGTCTTCTAATCCCTCATCGGAGGAAAACCTGAGTGTAGAGTCCGACAGCGAGAGTGAGAATATTGGTTCGTCGCAGGAGACCGCGGATCCCGAGGGTGATCTTGGCGTAGCGGAAGATAGATATCGATACCAATATCCTTATTGGTATCGGAGACAGTTTGCAAATCAAAGGAACCGGGCGGACGATAGGAGAGAGCCTTATCGTAACTACTTGACATATCCTGTATTTCCAGGAAAATAAATTTCAGAAGGATTTGATTTGCTTTCTTCTTTATTTCTTCATCTTCAAAGAGGAATTGGATTTGCATGTTCAATTTTATGCTGGACAATGTTTTAAGAAATGGGGTAATAAAGAAGGAATTTCTTTTAGAATATATTATTGTGTCACGATAGATGTAAGCAGATAATTTTCTACTGTCATTAGCACTTCAATTAGAATGTTCATTGATGATGATTAAAAAGATGGTCTCTGAAGCAATTCTGTAACAATGTTAATAATTTGTTTTATCTCGTTTTATACATACATAATTAGACAAATATTTTGTCCAAGAAAATGATACATGTATTAATAATTTCTTTAAAAAAGATTATTATTTAAAAATATATTGATTATAAAACATACTTTAAAAAATAGATAATAAATGATCGTACTTACCAATTTCTGTTTGTACAATTCTGTAGCTACAAATATATTTTTGAGTATTGTTTTTTTCAAATTTATTTTTTTTTTAAATATATGCATTATTTATTATGAATATAGAATTAATATACAAATAATTTAAGATGTAAAAATAAAATATCAATTGTCTCAAACTAATAAATATGTATGAATTATAAATAAAAATATTGTACGCAGATACCAAAATCTAAAAATATAATAAATTCTAAAAAATATATAAACTTGTAGATATACAATATTTCGATATTTGAAAGATGCATGAATAAAAAAAATGAACAATTTATAAACAACGTGTTTTGTATTTCTATAAAATTTTATACACGTATTTTCGCTTTATTGCACATTTCTCATCGAAGAAATCGTATCACAATGTAACGTTCTCGTATATATACATTCAAGTAAATTATAAATTCAATTGCACCATTCTGCAATGCAACTTTGGTAACCAGCCTTTTCAATATCATTTAAATTAGTAATCGACTTATATACATAAAATTAAAAGAAAATGCAACTTATCAGCTATTTAAAAGACTCAATTATAATCTAACTTAAATTTACAATTTATACAAGAGATCATATGTGATCATAAAATAGCTAAATGCTTTCCTGGGTTTCCCAGTCGCCTTTGTAGTTCCGACATCGTTGAAAAAAAGGTCTCGTTGAGTCAGCGCATCTGTTAATTCTTGCCGTTAATGTACGCCAAAACAACAAGGTCCACAACCTTTTAGCGTAATTACTACAAAGTTCAATATCCCTCATACTGTCGTTTAAAGGTTCGTCCGCTTTTTTCGAAAACTTTCTCTCATTGGCGACTTTTTCCCCTTTTGTATTCTTTTTTTAAGTCCCACCGGCTTTGTTTGGTGCCTCTTTCAATTTATATGTGAATTATATCGACCAGGCAATTTAATCAAGTCATCCATTTTTCTTTCATTATAATCCATCTCCTTTTATCTGTCCATCTGTCACTTATCAAATATTAATGTGATTATCCATTAACTCATGAGATGATATTTCTTGTCATATGCAGGCTCGATTCTTTTTCAATCTTCTAGGATTTGAAAGATCGTTAGCATTTTTAAATATCTCGAATGCATTACCTTCCTGATAATACCGAAATGAGATAATGGCCGTCGTGCTGAATCCTTGACAGATCGATTCTTCCTGGTGCCTTTTAAATTAATATTTGCCTTCCTCGTCGAATCGCATTTCTGACACGTTGTCGATACGCGACCTGCTGACGGTAGACGAAGAGAGGACGTAGAATATTGGTGCCAGCTGCAGTTTCGAGGTCGTCATCGGCATCAGTTTTCTCGATGCTGCGTTTTTTGACATTCATGACATTTTTGCTTTCGTCCGCAATCTTAGAATCGTCGCTTAATAGATATATTGATATCGGTTCTTCGTCTATCGCAGCCTGAGTTTCATCGAGGTCTTCGACGAAGACTGGCACGGCCAACAGCGAGGAACCGTGTAAGGTTGCCATTCTAAGAGGCGAGGCGTAAGAGCAGGCGACAAAAAGTAGAGCGAAGACGATGAATTTGGCAGGCATCTGAAAACGAGATGAAGGATCTCTTTACATCTGGCAATTTTTAAGTTTCAAAAATTAATTTGCATCTTATCCCATACGGCACACAAGTTTGCAGCAATGTTGCGACAACATTGCATGGCAATATTGCAGAAATGTTATATAGGCATGAATTTGCAATATCGTTTAAACAACGTTGCAGCAACATTTCAGAAATATTGTGAAAATAAAATTCACGCAAAAATATATAAAAATATGCAATGTAATAAAATATTGCAATGAAATGTTGCCACAATGCTGCTGCAATCTTGTGCTGTATAGGATAAGCCTCGAAGATTCGCGAGTAATTGATATAGCTCATACTTGAAGAATTAATAAAATTAACTTGAAAATTGATTAGCTATTTAAATAAAAAATTAAATAGAAAATATATTTCAATGTTCTAAATACGCGAATAAATATATTTGACGTAGAAAAGAACGAGTGCTCTGAATATCAAATAAGCAATCTCCGAATCAAATCAGAGCTTATTTTTTAAACATATTTCAATTACATACATACATAATTATTTTATTCAAAATTAATATCCTTCTTTAGTCTCTATATATTTAATATAAAGAAAAGACTTTTTTTAAATATTCTATAAATTGCACAAAAAGAGATTTATTGAACTTGTAATATCAAAATTGTACATTAAACGGAAAAAGAAAGCAACATCGTATAATTAAAAAAAAAAAATCTGCTCACCATTTTACGTCTGGAAATCTCGGATTTTCAGCGACTCTTCAAGAAAATAACGATAGCTTCTGCAAGCCGATTACTCGAAGAAGACGAGTGTCTCGACTCAAGTAAGAGTAAAATAGGCGCGGCAGGATAGCTCTCTCGTGACTTTATGACCGCGATCGAGTATTTATTCGGTATTTATATGAAACAATGACGTCAAACCAGAGCACGCTAATTATACAATGACGTTTTACGACGGGTGATAACTGACCTGGTAAACCAGGTGGACGTGATTACACGTCGAGAGCTATCCTAGGCGTGTGTACTGCATATACGTTGTTTCTTAAATTGTTTTGTTGCCGATTTCGCAGGTGTTAACTTGGCTACAAGGTATTATTATACCTCCTGGATAGCCTGTTTATGCGAAAAATATTCAGCATTTTTGGCACATCGATTCGCGCACGAATCTGGGTTTCCCGAAAATGTATAAAAAAATACACACCAACCACGATAAAGCGATAGAATTTAAGAAATTTTGCTCCCGATCGCGCATATTCCGTAAGATAAATCTATTTTTATCTCCATTAGCTTCTTCTGTGTTGAGTTAATAAACATATTTTCCAATTTGTAGAATGTTTAAATCTCATATTTAATCTTTCCTATAATTCTTTTATTTTAATTTAACAAAATGAATGTTTCATCTTTGTCAAATTTTTATTCCGTTCCAATTTTTCATATTTTTGTTACGATTAATAATTCCAAGTGTACTCTGTTGATTTTATCAAAAATGTGGTAGTGTATAATTAAATAAAACAAATAAAACTTCCATTTTTAAATATATTAAACTTTATTTTTGTTAACCGGTCCATATTTTTCATCTCATAATAAATAAAAAAAACATATAGAAAAAATAAAGTACTCCAAATAATTAAAATATTAAAAAAACTGCTTCTATACATTACTAAAATAAATATTTTGATATTAAATTAATCGATTATATTTTATTAATATTTATTTTTATTTATCGATTACTGTCAATTTTAATCAAAAAGTAATAAAAATAAATTTTATAATTTATTTCAATATTAAAGAATTTATTCTTGTTATTTTTCGATTAAAATTGAGAATAATTGATAAGTATAAGAACAAATAAAATATAAAATATAATCAATTAATTTAATGTCAAAATATTTATTTTAGCAATGTATAGAAGCAGTTTTCTCTATATTATAATTATTTTGAGTAGTAACAATATTTCTTTCGTTATTTATTATGAGATAAAAATATGGATGGGTTAAAAAATAAAGAGTTTAATATATTTAAAAATAGAAATTTTTTATATTCTTCCAAAACATTTCGTTGTGCAAGATGTTGTTAGATCTTCACGTGATGTATGACATAAGAGAGAACTCCGTAGAACGTTGTGCGATGTTACACATTGTTACATCATTGCACATGTGAAAATTTAATTTTACTCTCATCAATATAGTGCATAATAAATCATCATTTAAATAAGGGAAAAAGCATCCAACTTGTTAATAATACATATGATAAAAAATGCAATTTGTTCCGTTGATGTAATAATAATGTAAAGAATTTTTTCGTAATTTATTTTTCTAGTTAATTCTCTTATTTCGTAATAAAATATTTGTATAAGAAATTAAATTGCATATAAATAAGTTTAATGCATTTTTACGTTATCCAATTCTTTTATGACTTCAGAAAATTCTTTTTCTTATTTTGTAGTATAATATTCAAAATTTAATACATTATACTAATTACAAAAATAAATTATTATCTGAAAATGCTTATACCTTATTTGATTTTTATACCTTATATTTTAATTTGCAAGATCGCTAAAGATTGGAAGAGGATGAAAATCGGAGGAACCCCTTGAAATTTTATAATTTAGGACTCGAGAATTCGCGCGGAAACAAATACATCGTGTTGTTTTGGTGTAGCAAACCATCTGCTTTATTTTTCTATCAATCATTGTATTAAAACAGATTCCCGCGTCTTCCCCTTTTTATAAAACGCGACAAGGCACAAAACGGAGAATTATTGCGGGATATCGATTAATATCATTCGTTCTTTCGTTTTAGATGGTGGACTCGGCCTTCTCGTTCACAGATTCGTCGTCTTCGGTGGTTTCGCTTTTTGATCTGAAAGAAATCACCAGATAAGGATCTTTCCGGGCTTTGATTGGACGGAAAAGGCTAAGTACGAGAGATGACAGACATGAGAAAATAGTTTCGCTAATAATTTTAATATACGGCACGATTTTTTACGGTTCGCAACGCTGATGTGTGATATATATATATATATATATATATATATATATATATATATATATATATATAAACATTCCAGGGTTTATTCGAGATTACGAGGACAGGATTAAGGTCACACGAATCAGACCATTTATTTCGAAAATGGTGTTTATCGCTTTACAGAATTATGCAAAAATTAAGATATGACGATTTTACAATAAATTGTATTGAATATTGTTTTTACACAATTTTCGAAATAAACGATTTAATCGACTCTACAATGGAGAAATATATCAACAGTGGATGTACTATCATCAGTTATGAGCAACTTGTATGATAAAGTAAAAAAATAGAATAAAATTTCGAGATTGAGATTCGTGTTTCAAAGTGATTATTCAAAAGATTAAATTAATTAATAATTATACTGATATTAGTACAGCCATTATTGTTATGACGATAGTCGGAAGCATAATCTAATTAAAAAGTAATGCGTACCAGGAGTCATCAATTTTTAATGCAAAGAAAAAGTGCGAATAATACATGTAAATGAAATATAAAATATGAGACTCGAAAAATGTTTGAATTTTTACTAAATAAGCAATTAAAATTAGTTTTAAGGTACTCCTGGTAAACATCGAATTTTCTGATAAATCGTCGAACATTTAAATAAAGAAAAGTACAAATTAAAAAATCCCTCCTCTTCTTGATTGAACAAATAATCAATATAATCCATCGCACTATTAATCTTAATCAAATAAACTGCCTCTTTTTCTATGTGGAACCAAGTATATAAAAATCAAAAAAGTATCCAGGTTAAATAATTCGAAATATCTTTTCACGTGTGATTGTCTGGGATCCACTACATACTTAGTTACATCGATCGGTTTGTAAAAAACATCTGTATTACCTGAATCCATAGTACATGAATCCGAACTGTCCACAGAGAGAAACACATATTTTTGCGAAAATAAATTTACGATAAAAAATGCACAGTAAATTGTAAAGATTACGTATGTAAAGATTATGTATGTCCGGCTCGTAGTCAAAAATTAGGGTATGAAATCTACATAATATGAAAGATTCTATTCTCACAGTTTTTCCGGCTGCGTAAAATATCTGCCAAGTGCAAAAGTCTCTACGACGAAAGTCGTCTCAATTCGATCCGATACATAAATTTATGCTCGTGAGATCATCGATCTTGCCGCTCTGTTACTTCCGTATAAATAATATTTTATTGCATGCAAGTCTTTCGTAATATCAGTTCAGTACCTATCCGTGCAAATTGTCGTAGAACTATAATAGAGAGAGAGAGAGAGAGCGATTTTTTTAGCTTTAAAAATCGTCATTCACGAGAAGATTATTCCATCGTGTCGATTAATTATAAATAAATTTAAAAAAATCTAAATTATATCCGATAATTAGGATAAACAAGCTAGATGACATAGCTGTGGCGAAATTAGATTACGGAGGATTTTATATTATTACAGACAAAAAATAAATTGGTAAAAAAAAATGTTAGCGTGATTAGTAAAGTTTGAGAGAAAATTTTCATGAAAATTTTCTCTCGCCGATAATTATGCAACCGATTGTGACAATTTCTCTACGTCGTGTTGCGTATTTCGCTCCTCTCTCTCTACATCTCTATTATTTTTCTTTTTTTCTCTTCACCCAGTTCTCTTCTCTCTCTCACACACGCTTCCAATTTCCAATTTTTTTTTCCTGTTGCTTTACTGTGCGCATCCAATTTTCTATACATTAAAATACCATTCGACGCAAAAGTCCTACAACGATACACCGTAAATGTAATTAACTACGAGTTGCAGGATGCAGAATGGGCTAGAGAGGAATGTCATCCTCGCCGACGCTATACGATTATTCGACGATTGTTTCTTAGATCTTCGAAAAGTATTCTCAATACACATAATTATAGAGATATACATAAATATATGGTTTATATTCTTATAGTTAGTATATATTTTTCTGAACGTATTTCAGAATTTTTTCTCTTTTTGCTGGCTTTCTTCTACCTAAAGTGTCCAAAAATATGCAATATATTACATAAATAATAAATGTAAAATTACACGATATAAATAATGAAACATGCATACATTTACACTTAATTATTTATGTAATTTTACATACTTTTTTTTACAGTGTATCTTGCACTTTGAGAGTAAAAAAAAATCATTCGTTTCACAAGATACCTAATTTCTCAATTGACGGCCGATTAATCGAATAAGCGTCCAGCTCTTTCTACTCTCACGTACTTTTGTCTCAATCTTTTGAAGCACGCTCGCATACAATTATCTATTTTTCATCTTGAGGTAAATTCGTGTCTTTCCGCATCGACGATGATAATCGTCAGTGTGTAACTGTAAAAAGGCCCCGTCGTACATATAAACGTAGACTAAAAAGACATCGCGTGATCTACAAAGTGTATGTTCTCTAACTGATGCGCTTCTAAGAGAGAGAATTCAAGGACTGTTTAATTTTCCCTGTCTTACCATTCTTACATCTGCCTAAAATGCGTACACTCGACTTCTTATCGTTATTTATTTAATCCGGCTGCCAAGCGTATCGATCATAATCGTCCGATATCGTCATATAGGATCCACGTATATTGCTTTTAAATTGAAGAGATGAGAGTTTCAAGTTCAATATTGTTCTCGCTTAATTAATCGATTTCTCAATCGTAGACTTCCACTCGAGATACATAAGCTCGGAATCGTCGCTCGCGCATTTCATGTATGTACCCTGAAGCACGATCGCTCGGCAATCCGGAGATTATGATAAATTGATTAATTCGAAATGGTCTCTTCTCTTTTTCTTGATACACATCGCAAGAAAATTTAATACGCCTAATTTTGTAAAATAAAATATGTAGAAGGAAATTGTACTCTAATAAAAAATACTTGCATTTTTATTAGAATCGTTCCACGACGGAATATATGCACACTTTTTCGATTAAAAAACGAAGCTATATAAATTCTTGATTATCAAAAAAAATCTATATACAACCTACAGGAAAATTGTGTATGGAAAAAAAGAGATATCTATCATACTTAAAATATAGTGACAGCACCGGAAATTCACCATTTCGAATAAATCATCGCAATCTGATAGATATATTTACTAGATAATTATCTACTTATATATTGTCAGATATATATTAAGAACGATTCGCATCTCCACGGTGACTATGCTCTTCCAAAAAGGGGAGAGATCCGCTACCGTTATACATTATTTTCAACCGATCGCTGTGGTTTCACTTTCTTCCCCTTGTTTGTACGAGTAGGCACTTAGCTATGTTTCTGTGTTTTTTTGCTTGTATGTATATAACGTTATGTCTATTGTACACACGACGAGTAATATAAAAGAATGTGTCGCCGGATCTGCTCTTTTCGTGTCTTGCCCGATGCTGATTGCGAAGCTCAGTCAGACGCTTTCAGAGGCTAATAATAATAAATCACGTATATAAAAAAAATTGTTATTTCTAATAACTGGCAAGAAGATCATGGTACCTTTTTGTATAAAAATGACATAAAATTAATTAAAATTATATATATTATATAATATATTTATTATATTATATAATATATTTGAATATAATATATTAATATAACATATTAATATATAATATATTAATATATATCATATATTAATATATATGATATATTAATTATATTATATAATATATACTTTAAGATAATATATTGATATAACATATTAATATTATATATTAATATATTAATTAGTATATTAATATATTAATATATTAATAAAGATAGAAGATAAAAATATATATGTATATATATATACTATTGTACGTGTGCATGTGTGTATCTATGTGTGTGAAAATATTTTGTATCCCGGAGAAATAAATGTTCAATAATTGCGCTCGCAATTTTCACAATTAATGTTCCACGAGTTGCACGATCAACATCGGCGATCCCATCCTACTTCGCACTCCTATTACGCATTCATTTCCTTCATACACGCGTTCATCGAAAATCTATACACGCACACATACACACACAGGCACGCACTTCGGAGCGCGCATCGGTTTTGGAACTTTTAATTAGCACCGTGTCTTCGTGACCTGTGAACCTATACGTGAGCCTACATTATGTCTCACTTCCGGAAGCTTCGCGCGATCGTCAACAACGGGGGAGACGAGTGATCGAGTAACATCTTCGCTCTTTCTCGGGCATAAAACGATGATAAATAAATTGCAATATCTCTCGATTTTAACGCGATAACGATTAATTGCAAAATTAGCCGTGTATCCTGCTCGACGAAAGATAGATAGATAGATAGATAGATAGAGAGAGAAGAGAGAGATTGCAGTTTTTATACATACTTACATAAATAATATCTCGATAAAAATTAGATAACAATATAGTATATTAATATATGTAGGTGCATAAAGTTAAAACGTGTTGTTGACAATAAAGAGAATACTGCATATCCCCTCGAGTTCCGCGTAGAGTTTTTTTGTCTTCTATTTCATCTTTTTTTTCGCCATGTACCATTCCATAATCACGCGAAGAGCACGTCAATATATATATATATATATATATATATATAATATACGCAAATCCGACGTGTTAAAAACCTCGTTGGGAGATCGTGTTCCAACGGCAGTAACGTACAAAAGTAGAAAATACGCTTTGGCGAACGCGCGTTTTTTTTCTTCTTCAAAGATATATATTATCGCGACGTGCCGACTGCTTTCCTCATTACGCTTCATCTTTGGATGGAACACGATCTGACAAGTCTTTCTCTCAAGATGATCTATATAAAAGCTCGACTTAAGAAATACGCGGGCTTAAACTCTCGTTATTTCACCACATTTCGTTTACTTCGTCCACCTTCCTAGAATTCATTAGACATACTCAGTCTTTATCCAACGCCCAATGTACAGTTTGCAACATATATATATGTTTATTGGGCGATGAGCTGAAATACACATTTTTCTAAGATTTTTTTTTTTTACTTAAAACTTCCCCCGTTTTTCTCTAACGATTAATGTAACTTCATTATTCGATTTTTCGAAATTTAATATATAAATATTGATTGAAGTAGAATGCAATGTGATGATTCGATTTAAAGAAGAATCAAAAGCGAGACTCTATAGAAGTATCTCTTGAAAATGATAATTTGTATTATATATAATATAATTATCGCGTCTGTTCTTTTGATGCTACCAATGATTTATCGTTCTTATAACTTCGTAATTTTTTTTTGACATTTATACTTTGTGAATCAATTAACAATAAAAATTAATAATAATTGTACATGATAACGAAAAGTTTTTTCGATAAATTCAATTTTTCATATGACTCTAATGTATCTGAAAAATCCAAAAAATCTATTTTATTTAAAAATCAGAAAAATTTAAAGCTAATGTATTTATATATTAGGAATGTTTTGTTGCAAAGTAATTGTCTCTATAATTGTATAATATTGCTGTGCAAAATGATAGGATTCGTATAAATAGCAAGCTTTAACACGAGTTTCTCACTAGCTGCATCAAACTTACGACATCCCAGATGACAATTTACAAAATGTAACTATAAAATCGGTTGTAACAAAAAAAAGGAAAATAAAAAGATCGCAAATAAGGAAGAAAATATATCTTACTCATAGCTCATAAAAAATCAAATGAGATTACTATAATAAGTGAAAAACATCTCTGAAACCTGTTTGTAAAGTGTCAATATATAATATATGTATAATTTTTATATGAATATTTTAGATGTAAGACACAATAAAATCTACTTCAATTGATAAGTCATTAAAAAGACATTCATCTATGAAAACTAGAATAAAACTTTTTAACAATTTCTTTCTAAACCTAGTGTACCTCTATTTAATGTCTATTAAAGAAATTAAGAGACATATTTCCAAATCAATTAAATTCATATTTTTTAATATGGAAATTATGAGCTTATTCATTATGAGCTTTCCACGAGCTTTATGATTTTTGTAAACTCCATAATTTGAAAATATAAATCTAAGATAAATTGGAAATTTCGCCAGACAATTTAGAAATGTCAGTTCATTTTGGTTTGTAAGCCAGATTTTGATACCCTGAAATATATATTGTTAATAGTAAATCTAGTTCGCACACTTAAAAATGATTCATTAAAAATCACAGAAATGTAATCTGCGCCTTGCTTATCGATTGTTATGTTAATTGAATTACAAGGAAAATATCGGATGCTAGTGTAGAAATATACATTCACGAATTATTTACGGAAAATGACGAAGTCAAAGTCGCTCGACTTCCAGAAGATGTAGTCTTCCAAATTAAAATTGACTATATTGATAATTGATTCAAATAACTTTATATATAACCATGATTCTTACTAATTGTAAGCATGGCTATGTGTAATACTATACGAGCTTATCATCACCGCTATAATGTGTGAATAAAGACTGAATGACTGATCAGAATCGCGAATCTAGTCATATAATGATTATTAGTTTATTATGCAACTAGAACAAATCTGAGTAAATATTTTTATCTAAAAGAATTATTTAAAAAAACACGATAAAAACTAACATAATTATAATTATATATTCCATATTCTCTCATTATAACGTTTCTGTAAGCACGTATATCAAATAAGCTACTCACTTTTCGATAGTAACAGTTTGAGGGAAAGTAAAAAAAATGATGAGAAGAACATATGATACGCGCCCTAACGTTCTAGGTACTTGTCGAGAGTAAATCACAATATAAAAATACAAATCGAAAGTCCTTTTTCTTTTTCCCTGCCTTCGTCGATTTCCGATTCCGCAATTATTACTGCTCTTGATTACTTCTTAGCGCTGTTTTTTCTCTCTTAACTTTTTTCCTTTCTCGCTTATTGTTTCGATATGTGGAAACAATATTGTTTTGCGATATCGCTGGCTGTGCACGATTATACTACGGGTCGTACAGTACGCTCTTTTTCGATTTCGATCAGAAATATTTTAGTCAAGATTAAGTTCTAGAAAAACCTTGCGTTAGAGTCGCGTGTTAAGCGTAACCTTCTTTCGATTATCTAGATCATTCAATGTGTTGCTGAAAATACGCATGTACGTACGTACGTACAATAGCATTAAATGCGATACGATAGATCTAACTACGCATGTACAGATAATAATACAGCGCTACGATACCCCCACCGATTCCAATGCCTATGCCTATTGTAAGGGGCGTAAATAATGACCTCTTGAGCTTCTGCCATTCTTCCGTTTCCTTCTGTCGGCGTTTCATCTCGCGCACTTGTGCCGCCAGTCGCTCGTTCTTTTCCCGATTGCGCCGACGTACTTCCCCTTTCCTGTTCCGAGAACAAACTCATGAGCGTCATAATGAATTAAATATTTAAATAGTTTGCGTTTCGTTAAACCAAGAAATATGTCACTCACGCGTCTGAATTGGACGGAGGACTGTTTGTCTGGAAAGAATTATCGGTATCGCTGGGAGAGATTTCATCACATATTGCGGTATCGTCCGGGCTTTGCTCACTTACACAGTTTGTGAAGGACATAGACGTATCTGTGGATAAATCTGCGTGGTTTGGTGGTTCAAACGGTAGCGGCTTATCAGGTGGTGCACTCGATTCATCTGTAATTGACATTAAAAATCATTATTTTTATTAATGTAAAAAGAACTTTATACGATAAAAAAAAAATAGAAGAAGATAAAGTACCACTTGATGCTTCCGGGCTAGTATCTGCCATCATACCACGCGTCAAAGATTCTCCTCTCGGAGGTGGCAGAGGAGGAGGTTCGTCATCTTTTTCTAATGAGTTGTTTTTATTATTCATCTCTTCATAATAATTCTTCAATATCTCGTTATTCTCGGTATTCTGTAATATAAAATTCCATGGAAATGTCGGTGATTAAATCTGATTACAGTGGCTCAATTTAAATATCAAAACTTTGTTTAAACGTTCTCTTGTGTGAAAAGTATTATTTAATGAAATCATGTATATTTTGCAAAAAATAAATATTTAAATGCAAACAGAGAAAAAATATCAAAAAACTCTACCGGGACTAACTTCGAGGAGCTCCTATAAATTACCTACCGAATTGCCAAGTGGCGATTGTTTTGCTCCTTCAATGATGGCAGCATACGAGAAACGCAGTTGTTCCGGCGTTTGTATCAGACCCATACGTGACCGTCTCATATCCAGTAATACCTCGCGCACATTCACAGCGTTTAAAACCGTTTTTCTCGATCTGCAATCAAGTAATTAGCAGTTAACAATTGTTAAAGCAGTTTCCTCCAGAACAGAAAAACGCTGGCTTCATTCGGCATACCAATACTAAGCACGTATCAACCAAGCACAGTGTTCCCGATCTTCCTATTCCTGCGGAACAATGGACGATCGGTGGACCAACATTTTGATCTAATGCTCCTGATTCCCTAACGTCTGCCAAGAAACGTAAAAAGGCCGTTGGAGATTGTGGTACTCCAAAGTCTGGCCAAGTGGTATAATGAAAATGTAAGATTTCTCTACTATCGTTAGTTTCCAAGTCCGTTAAACTGTAGATAAGTTAGAAACATTGAAAACGTTGTAATAATGCTTGGAGAAAAATTAAGAATGATTGGTCAATTTTAAACCAAAGTTTGATAAGAATGTTGTAACTTGTGTTATACGTGTAACTCTTTACCGTAATGTCCTAGTAGTATAATCTGAACATTCTATCTTGCTGACATAGTCCACCTGTAAACTGACGTCTTCAAATGTCATAGTAGGTTCATTCGAGTCATCCAGAGGCCAGTACTGATGGCATTTGACTTGATTTTTTTCAATTATTTTATTTAACATCAATACAGCTGTACTATTTTGCTCCCATACCATCAGCCAAAAGTGGCCAGTAGTATTCGGCAAGGGTCCTTGTGTCAGGATATATTGCCTATTAGCACGTTCCACCTAAACAAATTGTATAATATATTTATATTGCAATATTATTTGTTATACTTATGTCATACAAATTATTTGTTATATAATTTAATATTTACTTGTATAAGATTGGCGTGAATATAGTCACATACACCTCTTTTAAGAATAATTCTAGTGTGATCGTATGGTGCCACATCCCTGTAGCGATTCAAGTTTTTGTTCTGTGGTTTTTTTGATTCATTGCATGTATACTCATAATTTCCACATTCGTTACGTATATGCTGGAAAATGTTAAAAGTCGTGATTAATAATAAATTCAATAAAGTGTAGAAAGAAGAAGCAATCTTTTACTGTCTTTACAAGTAAATCTGTAAACAAAATTGTTTCAGAATCATATATGAATTAATATGTATCATAGATGAAATTAAATATATCTGAAATTTAAATAATTGTTGTAAATCTGAATTTTTAATGTACATTCAATATAATCTTACATCCAAATAAATTAATTTAGAAAACACAATCATATATGTAAATTATATAAATATAATTGCTCCAAAATATATAATACAATCGAAATCTGTCTTTAAATAAAATATAATACAAATCAAAATCTAATTCAGAGAAACTCAGTAAATAAAACATATACACTGGCTTATAATGTTTACAAATAGAATCAAATAACTAATTAACATATAAATCATGTCATTAGATACACAAGATTAAAATAAACAAAAAACTTTTATTATAAAACTTTCTACATATATTTTTACACATGTAGTAATGTAATATTGTATCTTTATTACAGTATTATATGTTAATATATAAAAATATGATACTGTATAAAAATATATACATATATATATATATATATATATATATATATATAAAATTAATGATATTGTATATATGAAAAAAGATCTTGATAAAAAGTAGCACTTCTGATAGAGATAAAAATCACATCATGTGATAAAATTCATTGAGATTAGGAGACATCAAATCATCACAGTAAGATATTAAGAAAGATAAAACGACTTCTAATAAATTATAGCACATTCGAGTGTATCGTACATCACCGAGTTTCTCACGCTTCGGAGAAGTTGCGTGTGATCGCTAAATATACTGAAACCATACATTTCCGAGTTGGAAACTGACCTTGAATCACGCCACCGTATATACATACAATACCGAGTACAGGCGTACATTGTCAATCTCTTCCGTTTGACAGATGCCACAAGTGACGTATAAAAATATATATATATATATATATATATATATGTGTGTGTGTGTGTGTCACTTTCTTTTTACGACGAATTCTAATAAAACTCGGTCCTCTAATTTATCTCAATCTCATGCGAATCGCGGAATAGTATCGGCGTAATAAACGCGGAAGTCATTAGTTATAGCTACAGTTCGGCGAATTCGCGTGTCGACATCGAATGACACATATATGCACGCACACACACGCTCTATTGTCTATCGATACTATGTAGCATACGTATATTGATATCGATTGCAAAATACACGAAAACGAATTTAACATAATTAAACATATTTTCGTCATTGATAGAATTCTCGCTGTCACGTGTCGATCTGTCAAATTAAACGTCACGCTAAAAAATACGCAAAGTATAGTTCTTACATGAATATTCCGCTCTTTCTTTCCACGAAACGTTATACCTGTTCATATGCAACCTAGCGGTTCTCGAACCGGCAAATTTTCTCACGCAGTAATGGAGCGAATCCGAGTTGTGTAGACTCGTTACAGGATGCACAGAAACGGGAGCATTTTTTACGAATGACGACCGGAGGAAAAAGGTGATAAAGGGAAGAAGCGAGAGTGAGAAGGGAAAGAGAGAGAAATAGCCGGCACGATGTTTCAAGCGACATCGTTAAAATCGTCGGAAATGGCAGCGGAAGAGTCGTCGTCGAGCGGAAGAGGAGCCATTCCTCTCTCTCACTCTTTCCCTCTACTTCCTTCCTTCCTTCATTCACCCTCGTTCCTTCTCTCACCTGATAGAGAATCGGCCAAGCTCCCTTGGAGTTGATCTCGTGATACTCGGTCTCGACGTTGCTGATCGTCTGCTCCCGCGTCTGCTCGCTGCTGGTCATTCTGACGGCTCGCCGACTCCCGGACCACCCGGATCCTCCTGACGGAACGGTAGAATTTAGAAGCACGCACGCAGTCACGAAGAGGCTGGGCCGCGCGCCTTTGACACACACATATACTCGCACTTACACACGCGCGCACTCGCTCCCCTCGATTAAACGTCAATCGCGAGCCGAACTGTCATCCGCGGATCGTCTCGTCGGCGAGTAAGCGATCTTCGCGTTGTGTGACGGTGACAAAGAAGTCGTAATGTTGCGGAGGACTTGTGTGATGTGTTCTACGTAACCTATCAATTCACTGCGACTACGCATGCGCTGACCGCTGACGCGCCGACTGAGCGCGCAGCTGTCACGCCTGCCAACTTGACGGCTTACTTCGGGTGCTATTGGACGGATGTTAGTTCCGATCTGCCGGCGCGGTTATTCGAAATTTCAAAGAGCAAATTTTTTTTTTTTTTTTTTTTACAAAATTATGTAATAGTGATAAAATAATGAATTAAATATATTATAATATTGCAAAATATATATATGCTTTATGTAAAGATATATATGTTATAAAAATTCTAATCAATTTTTACGGTATTTTGAAAAGTATATATATTATCTAAATAAAAATATATAATTAATTAAATTAATGGATTTACTTGAATTCCTTATTTTCATTTTATGAAAGTTTTGGAACGTTTTATTAAGAACAGTTTCAAAAATATACAATTATTAAAAATATATATTACATAATACAAAAATACAATTTTGTGAGGTAGTTGTATTTCTTGAGAGAAATGTTTTGCTATGATAATATTAAATTAATAATTAACATATGTTTACAGTATTTTTAATAGTTACTTTTAATTAATGAAATACTGTTTAACACTCCTAAAACTATTTGGCGAGATTATATATTTTTTAAAAAATATTGTTTGTTAGAATGAAATAAATTAGTGTATGTATATATAATATAAACATTTAAAGAGCAAAAACCTGCACAAATTAAAAATGTGTATCAATTTGTACAAATTTTAATTTTTCTTTTGAATTTTGAGGCCTTTCTTTTATCTTCCTCATTATTTATATTTGTTTCTTTATTGGTATCTGTACTTTTTCTTTTATTTGAACCAGATCCTTTTAGTAGCCAAGAAGCCATAAAAGATTTTTGATTATCTTTTTTTTCTTCTCTATAGAATAATAAATCAAAAATTTGTTTAATCTTATCATTATACAATATTAAAAATTAATTAGAAACAGAGTTAAAAAATATATAGATTTTTCTAAATATATTTAGAGTTTTATAAAATAATTAAAGATTTCTCTTTAATAATTTATAGAACTATATATTTTGAAAAATCTATACTTTTTTTTTAACTATTTAAGTTTAGGTTCAGATTTTTACTTACTGTGATTTCTTCTCTTTTCTACAATCAGCAGTTTTATGAAGTACATTATTGACAATCGTAGATACTGGATGCCAGCTCAATGTTTGTTCTTGTAATATCATGTCATTTAATCTTTTAATAACTTTATCTGTCGATAAATCTTTATTTAACCATACCTAATAAAAGAAAATCAATTTGGTTGAAATATATAAAAAAATTTAGAAAAGAGGAAATTTACATACAGTATCTACATACTAAATTTATATCATTCTGCAAATGATATATAATAATATTAAACACTCACTTGACATTCTTCCTCGTTGCTTAGACATACTGGCATGCGATGATGCAGCCAAGATAAAACCTTGTTACTTTCTCTTGTAATAATTGTGCAACTATGTATAATTTTACCCTATAATAATAATAATAGTCGATCAGAAATATCTTAAATTTTAATTATTTCTGATATAATAAAACAGGAAGTTTGTATACCTCTTCAGTTTCAAATGTTCCAAATATTCCAGCTAGTTTCAAAACTCTGAAACCTTTCCATCCGTCCATCTCAGAAAATTCATTATTCCATGTTGTAGGATCGTCCACTTTTGTACCTTCATCTTGAGTTGCATATATGTAATACGGTTGCTTTGGAGATTTGTTACTTGTACCAGCTTTCCATTCATAGAAACCCTCACAAACTACAATGCAGCGTTGTTGATTTCGTAACGATGGAGAGTACAGTTTTGAAGTTTGTATGCCTTCCAGACGGCCATTGTGGGTGGATAATTTATCTGATCGTTTTTTGTAATCTCCCTGAAGAAAAAAATTAAAATCTTACATAAATTATCACATATATTAATAAAAGATCAATTTAAAGATCTTGTTATTCGTAACATACATATATATATATATATTTTAATAATCAATTTTAATCAATTAGAAGATGCTAAATATCAAATTGACATATCAAACAACTGTCATATGTGATTTAACATTAAAGCTCTGATATTTTCACTCACTTTATGCCACGGTGGAATCATTCCCCATACCATGGCACAAAGGACTCTTTCCTTTTCTTCGTCAAAATGTGAACCAGACACCACGCAGGGCAAAACATCTTGCGGACCCATATTATATGACGGAGTATATTTTAATTCGGTTTCAACCCATGTCAGTTTCTGTTGTTTACCATTGGCATCTTTATATTCACACGCACAGCACAAAGTATCTGGATCCAATGAACTGTAAATTATAATGTTTTATAAAATATTTATATAAATTATAAAGTTTTAGATCTCACACACACAATTAAATATAATAATTTCAATAATTATATATAATGATAGTGGCAAAATTTTTTATTTGCTCAATCATACATGGTTAAAATATATAACATTTTGCAATAATTATAATAACTAATAACGAACAATTACTTACCAACAAGTTCGACCACACATTATTGTTTATAATTTTCTTTTGCGCTCCTGCGCATTCCACGATGATCTAATTGAAAATTATGGAGGCTTCTCTCTAGTTCTGATCTAGTGATGAACGAAATATCAAGTTGGTAGCCGTGGCGAAAAGGCGCGAGTGAAGTCACGAAAAGGCACGCGCGAGTTCGTCCGCAGGTAATTATATCATTATTTCAGTATTAATTACGATCATTATTGCGTGATACGCTTAATTGTCAAAAAACAAGTACAAATTATATTGTTACAAATCAAACTTTCCGACTTTTTCTGCTAAAATCGATATGTATACCGCGTTTTTTTATCGATTTATTTCATCTCGCGACCCCTCGGCTATTTCGCCATTTATTTGATTTCATTGCAATTGCTTAAACGGAATAATTTTGGAGGTATACTTTTTTATTATTACATGCATATCATGTGTATACGTATGTGTGCATATGTGGATGTGTGTGTATGGATGGTAGATATATATGTATGTATATGTGTGCGTCTGTGGATGTGCATGTGCATGTGCATATATGCGTGTGTGCGTACATACATATGTATGAAAAATAAATATTTTTCCTACTCATTAGCATGAAAAATTATCGTCTGCACGCATGAATAAATGACATAAAAATATTTAAATATATATCTATTATATAATTATAACAAAAATAATTGTTTTTTTAATTATCTATAATTTGCAATATTTAAGACAATTATATTGACTTCAAAAATCAATTTTTAAAATATATATATTGCTTCAAATTGTAACATTATTGATATAATTAATTATGTTTTATAAAAAATATATCAAACCATTTAATCAAGAATAAGTTATAATGAATTATGTTTAATTTGATAGTTTTATGATGAAAAATAAACAGCATCATCGATATAAATGCTATTATTACTATATTGATTAATTTCTGTTTTTGTAATTTTTTTAAATATAAAAATTTGAAAATTATAATATATCTAAGTAGCAAAAAAATGTGTAAAAAATGTTTAAAAGTATATTTTCAAATATATTTCAAAAACATAAAAATATTGATTAAAAGTCCTAATAAATGTTTTTTTAATAAATAAGAAGGGACTTTTACCAATTATTTTAACATTTTTTAAATACATTTGAAAATAAGTTTTAAAGATATTTTATACTTTTTTTTACAACTTAGGTTGATTAAAAAGCTTGATATATGTATCACATAAAATTTATTTTTTTATTATAATTTATATAGCATTAATAACATAAAAAAAAAATTTTTAATTTATAAAATTTATAAAAATTAAATTGTTTATATTTACTTTAGTCTTTTATTTATAATATGTGTTTTTTAGCATAATTCTTAAACTAATAAGTTCAGAATAAACGCATTAGAATTTCGTGCAAAAAATTGTAATAACATTAATTAGAGCCCACACAAGTCTGAGCTCAACGACACTTAACACAAGTGTTAATTTTTACAGTGTAATTCACACAAGACAAATTTACGTATGCACAGCTGAATAATGAGGTGTTCGACGTCTCGTCTCGAGAGCAGCGTAATGACAATATTATGCTAGTGTCAGCGTTAAAAATGGATCACACACGCTACAGTCATTAGACAAAATGGGACTCCACCACAATCGGTCGATTGCGATTCCTTCCACATATTTTATTTAAATGATCTTCGGAAGACTGGAATTTTCTTAGGTATTTATAATCTATTTGTCATATTTATTTTTTCTTTTAAGAACTTTTGACATCGAATAAAGAGCGAAGGTTGAAAACTGGTATGACTACAAAAACGCATTCTTGCAGATCCTTCCCTTTAATATACAGATAAATTGTGTAATTTTTTTGATAATTTTAAGAACCATTTATCTTCTAAAATATAAAAAAACTGATTTAAGAAGCTTATCAATAATTTATAAAGATTTTAAAATATACGATCAATTATGTAAAAAGAATATACTAAAAATTCAAATTTAATTTTTTTTGTTTTATATTAAAACCTAAATCTTACAGTCTTATAGAAATAAAATTAAATAACATTTACATATTAAATTTTTTTCGAACAATTTGCATACATTTCATATAAATTATGACAAATTTAATAGGATTACGAAACTTAAAAATTGATAAAATGCTCTTATATAAATTTTACTAAATGCAAATTTTTTGTCGGTCTACAACAAGAAATATACAATATAATTCTTTGTTTGGAATGCACCAAAGGGATCAGTCTTTAACCCTCGAGTGGTAATTATTCGCGTAGGGCAAGGGACAAATTATTCCTTTTATGCACACGTGTACTCGTTCGGGTGTGCTTTTTCCGTCTATCTCTTGGGATGCCTAGCTTTCCCGGGCTCATTGAACCGGAGTTACTAATTCACTACTCTAATGAGCCGCGCGAAGAACATCCTCATTGACGACTTCGCGATGAATTGCGAAACATATGATGTTGGAAAAACCGCGAATATATATGATACACTTTTCGACGAACTTGTGTAACACTTATTACTCATTTATTAATGCAATGATGAAACAAAAAGAAGAAAAGTGATTGCATCGATTCATGGAAGAATCAATCAGATCGATTCAATATACATGCTAATAATGCTAAATAAAAAGTTCAATTTACATGTTTAATACACAATAAATATCTTCAAGCGCTTTAAATATTTTTGCTTTAAATGAGAAATATTGGTTTTATTATCTAAACAATTAATTTGTAATAATAGTATATATCTTGCTTCTTTTCAAACATTTTTTACTCTGCTGTTATTCGACTCTTTGTTCTAAATTACTTTAGTTTTTTTTATAATCATAGTTTTAACAATATAAAATATTTTATTATTATATATAATATATATGTTTATCATACTTTTCAAACAATATATTTTATTCTTAAGTATTGTACAAATAAAAAAATATGTGATATTCCTAAATGAAACATTATTAATTATAATTTTGATAGATGCATCTTTTATCTCGGAAAGATAATAAAATATATCACATATTTTTTTATATTTAATATTAATAAATGAAAAAAAAAAAGTGTATTAAACACATGTTGTATAATAAAATATTTTAGCGTTATCGTTAAAATTATGATTATAAAAAAGAAAACTGATGAAGTAGTAGTCTAGAATAAAGAGTCGTACAACAGCAGAGCAAAAAATGTTTGGAAAGGAACAAGATAGAATGAAGGAGCACCGCTCAAGGTAGACAGGAATCAGTGGGTAGAACCCCTTCTTCTTGCCCCTTTTATTACTTTCTATAAGTTCTTCCATCAGGCCTGAATCGCCTGGCGATGGTGAAAGTAACAACAGTGGTGCTCAGTTCTGAAAAATTTTCATTAACATTCCATTGGATTAATAATAAATATATTATACTAAAACATTTAAGCTTATAATGGTTCTATATAAATTCTATAAAAGTAAGCTTTTAAAATATTAATCAAATTTTTACCATTTTAATACCTATAAAAATTATCTTCAAGCTATGCATTTAAATTCTATTTGCATATTTGCGTGTTTGATGAAAAAGGACTATACATATATTAATAAAAATTTTGTTTTCAAAAATATGTTTAAATGTCAAGGCTATCGATTTAAAAAAACGCGAAACACGAATGCAAAAAAAAAATGATTTAATTTATTTATCATTTATTCTGTCAAGTTAAAAAAATATTTATAGAAAAGCACTTTTTCCCTCCTATAAATGCTTTTTAACTTGAGCAATCTCCTAAGTATATATACACTTATTTGGAGAGTCAAGAACTGTTGGAGCATGATTTTGCTCATATCTTCGCATATATTTTTGCGATAAGTGTTTATATTCGAGAAATGCAAACGGATCCGGAACGTCGGCTATCCTTGCCGGTCGACTGATTATCCTTGGCCGGAGATCAGATGGTCGTTCTCACCTGCCAGCACGAGTTCCCCTATCCGACACACACCTGGTGTTCCCGACTTCGGTTCGAACGTACTTTGGTGGGGCCTCTTCGGCTTCGCCTCGATGCATTATATACGTGGGCCTTCAGTTGACATCGCGACGTCGACGGAATCGTATTGCGTGTACGTGCATTTAACCGGCGTGTTTGACTGGTCCACGGTTTTGGAAAACGTTTCGATTATTATTATTATTATTATTATTATTAGTGCGGATGCGTTCGCGAAGATATTTGTGTCCAAGCAAACGTGTTCCAGTGTGAAAATAGTGCAGGAACGACTCCGGGAGATTGAAACTGCATCAGCCTGAGATCTAATTTTGGTTTCACGTGCTATCAATTCTGTTTAGCGCACATGTATGTCGGTGATTAGTTTATTCTTTAATAAATTGCATGTAGGAATTTTATTTAATTTTTTTCATTCTTACTTGGCTGCAGATTTTATTCTTTGAAATTTGTTTATCCATTTAAATAAAACGTTCTAGGCTTGTCAAAAAAATTAATATGCGTTAGATGTATTATTTATTAAAGATTTTCTATGTGTATGAAGTGTGATTTATATGAAAATGTTTTTACAAATGGTTGTGTTTTATTTATTGAATTAACATGTGGGAATTTAATTTAATTTTTTTTTATTCTTTCTTGGCTGCAGATTTTATTCTTTGAAATTTGTTCATTCATTTAAATAAAACATTCTAGGCTTGTCAAAAAAATTAATATGCGTTAGATGTATTATTTATTAAAGATTTCCTATGTGTATGAAGTGTGATTTATATGAAAATGTTTTTACAAATGGTTGTGTTTTATTTATTGAATTAACATGTGGAAATTTAATTTAATTTTTTTTAGTTCTTTCTTGGCTGCAGATTTTATTCTTTGAAATTTGTCCATCCATTTAAATAAAACATTCTAGGCTTGTCAAAAAAATTAATATGCGTTAGATGTATTATTTATTAAAGATTTTCTATGTGTATGAAGTGTGATTTATATGAAAATGTTTTTACAAATGGTTGTGTTTTATTTATTGAATTAACAACTTGTTATTTGACCATGCATTTGATTTCGCAAGACTGTTATTTTACTTCGACGATATCGTTTTATGTCTTCTATATTTCGGGACAGAGACACATATTTTAATTAAAAACAATGATAAAATAACGATAATAAAAATGTCTGCAAATGTTTATGTTATACTGATTTTTATATACTTATACATACACATGAAACATGCCAAAATAAATATATATTTATGAAACTATTTATATTAAACACAATTACTGCATATTTATTTAAATTTTAAAAAAGAATGCAGTTTTAATTAAAAACATTTTATTAATTTTGATTAGCTCTTTTGATACGTCATTTTGTTTGATAATTAAGGTAACATATTGTACATTATGTGATACTTTTATCCGTTATATAAACATATGATTACACGCCATTCAAAAAAATACGCGATTACGATATATATCGGTTCCCGCTATTTAATAGACATATCCGTCTAAAAGCAATTTTGCAATACAAATGAATAAAATTTAAATCGATTATGTTTGATATTGCTATATCGAAATTACCTTGAATCATAATCGATAAATTGATGAAACTTAATATAATGAAGATGAAATTTGTCGCAACATTATAGCGTTTTTTTTCTAAATAAATCACTGACAATATAATTAATAAATGTAAGAGATCATGTGAGATTTGTGTAATTATTTTTGTTTTAATGAGAAAATCTTTCTATTTTCAATATCAAAATTTTAATAATAAACAGAATTTTTCATAATTAAAAAGAAATATTTTTATGCTAAAGAAAAAGTATTCTTTATTCTTTTGCATTATTATTTATTCTACTTATATAAAAAATATTATTTTACAAATAATAATAATTAAATATTCTTATTATAAATATATAAAATATATAATATATATTTGAATAAATTTTATGTTATTACAGAATATATGTATATCATTACAGTCATAATAATATTGATTTGTTGCAAATCTAAATTTTAATTTTTTACAATTTTTATATCAGAAAATAACAAAAAATATAAAAGAAAAAGAAGTTTAAAATATGATTACTTCCTGGTACAATGACGTAGACTGAAAAACAAACCTATGTCATCATTATCATACATATTATATAAACAATTAACAAAAACTTGACATAATTATTTTAATATATAGATACAAAAAATTGTGAGCATTACTTTTATCTAAATTTTAAGTAGTTATAATCGGATAATAGTTCCATTTTTCTACAATAATTCTATTTTTATTTTTTAAACTTATTTTGATAATCGTCATTAAAAAAAATTATATATTATTAATAAAATGGATACTAATTATATATTTAATTTTAATTGACGAATAATTTTTCTACTCTATATATTATAAGATTTTAATATATGCAATATTATGTATATGTATGCAGTATACATAATATGCATAGTGTATATCTCAGAGATTTATTTGATCTAGTTTTACGGATTTCACGGTGAAATAGGAAAGCCGTGTGGTATTTGGGTTAATAAAGACGCACGTGTTCTACATTTGAATTATAAAATATTCGTCAGGTTGCTCGCACATTAATTACGCGCATAAGTGAATGCGAAAAGTATGATTGCTTAATGGATATCTAATGAAAATCGAGCGTGATAGAATGCGACTGCTACTTTCTCGCGGTTGCTAATTACAGATGTAATTACTAACAATTTAATGTGGATTAACGCGTATTCACGCAACGTATACAATTTCACTTGCATTTAAAAATATAACAGGATTTGTTGCTCCATATACATACTTATGTTGATTACAATGCCTGAAATTTCACGTTTCTTTCATATTTTTATGATACAATAATAGTTTCTTTTAATGTCGCAGAAAACGCGCGACATAAGAAAAATTTAATTTTTTCATCATAAGCATAAAATAGAGATTTCTAATTTATATTAAAAGAGATATAAAACATTATATATCATGAATTATTTTTATTGCATTTGTTTCATTATTCTGATTATAATCCTATCGCTCGATACAATAACATCGATATTTCAAATGGCTTTCAATTAATATTATCGCGATAGAATATGCTTTCAGGCATTGAATATTATTCACATAAAACGTTTCAACGAATACAATTTTGTCACATGTTAATGTAAATTACGAATAATGCTTGTGACAATTATTTTAGAATATATAAAGTTGGATTTATTTAGTAAATAAAATAGTAACGCTAAGAAATATGCACGTTAATAAAATAACGTAAATTATAAAAATAATTTAAATCATTTCACTTTAAGCATTAATAATTTAAATATTAATACTTTTTAAAATAAAAATTTTGGCCCTTCTTTTATTTTCGTAAGACTGTAAAAATATATTATAACAAATAATTAGATTTTATTTTTACGTTAAATATAATATTTGTATATTCTTCTTTCTCAAAAATAAGATGCTTTATTTTACCGAATAATAATCATTAATATCCGTGAAAAAAATTTAACTGAAGACATATAATAATTACGATTACATCTTCGGAACACGTGTGTTTTTAAAAAATGGCATTGAAATAATGCCTTATTATTTTAATGATAAATACTTGTTTTTAATGATATATTAACTGTTTTCGCGCATGCACATAAAGCAGAGGCGCCCTTTATATTACATCTAATCGTTTAAACTTTTCTTATGTAATTCTTCTTCTGAATTACGCGTCACAGGAAATTGTGACGTTTGTAACAATCGCCTATTATCGCTGTAATTACGTCAGTAGTCCACATATCTAGTTCACATATGCATATAGTCATCGTATATACGATGTTTGAAGTGTCAAATATTCTTAAAGTCTTATGCGCGTCGAATAAACTATTAATTGATTTTGTTTTATGATTTATGATAAGAGTATAATGATGGAAACAATTATCAAAGGAGAAATATAAAATTTTCCACTTTTTATCTAATAGAATTCTAATTACAGATAAATAGATAATTATAATTAAAGTAACTACCAGCTCTTTATAATATTAAATAAATTTTAAACACATGTCTTATAAAAATGTTGTGTATTGATCATTTTTTATATGAACATTTTTTCGTATCTTTGTTTGTTATATGTTTATAAGTTGCATTTTCATCTAATTACAAATGAAATACATCTCTGTTACATAATTCCGCAAACTTGCTTTTGCTTGCTCTTATTCTAAGGTAAATTTTGTTTTGGCACTCGGTTTTATGGTACCTCGTAATACAGAAATAGAACTTGAAGGTATATTTGAATTAGGTGAACAATCGCTAGTATAAATAAATAAAATTTTTACAAACGTCACGTATTTTGAAAATAAAGCTAAAGATAAACATATCGTGAATTCACTCTTTGTAGAAACAATAAAACGAAATTTCAGAATTATTAAATACAAACTCTCTATACATTTTATGAGAAAGAGTGCTCTTTTACTCATATTTCAAAATTATGTAATATAAAATTATTTAATAAACCGTCTGTAACACATGCATATATTTATTTAATTGTGAGTTTGAATCATCTTCGTGAATAATCTTTCATGTCATCGTGATAGAGTCATATTTTGAATGATATCTTTGCATGTAGTAGCCAATCGACAGGTGACATGCAGCAGCAAGCGCGATTACGTCAAGATTCTCGTTCCTTTTCCTTCTTTTTCCTCGATCATCAAACGTGACCTCGTCATCGTACTTATCGAAGCTCCATGAGCATGGCTTTACTTTCACAGCAGGCAAGCAAAAGATCTCAAGTAAATGCGCTATTGCGCAACATAAATACGCGAGGCAATAAAGCCGCGTGGCGGAGATTAGTGAGCACTCGTACGATCGCTATTAATAACTGTACAAATACAGTTGTTCTCGATTTTTCGTACGATTAAGACAAAAATGTTCGTGCTAGCAAATCGATAAAATCAATTAATAGTGTGAGAGGTTCTTTAGTTTCCTGCGCGCACAGTGACCTACCTACGACAGACTCGCGTTCGAGTTACACAGCTGGAAATAAGTTATTTCTCTATTAGGTCCCCTTAGGCGACACTCACATCCAGCCTCTTTCATATATCATTCAAGCTTTAATCTATTTCTTTCCGTTCTGCTCCTCCGCACTTAGCGTATTGAAATACTTATACAAGCTCTTTCTGCAAAAATACCTTTGTTAGACTTCATAATTCATACAATAAAAATTATATATTTATACATACATTATTATTGTCGCTGGATAAATTTGATATATAATGAATAATAATATTAATTGCATTTTCAATTTTTAGGTGAGATAAAAATATATCTATACAATTTAAAAATGAAATACTTACAAGGTCTTTCTGCAAAACTACCTTCGTTAGACTTCATAATTCACACAATAAAAAGTTATATGTTTATACATACATTATTATTGTGGCTGGATAAATTTAATATATAATGAATAATAATATTAATTGCATTTTCGAATTTTTAGATGAGATGAAGATATGTATATATATATATATATATATATATATATATATATATATATATATATATATATATATATAATTTAAAAATGAAATACTTACAAGTTTTTTCTGCAAAAATATCTTCATTAGATTTCATAATTTATACAATAAAAAAATTATATATTTATACATACATTATTATTGTCGCTGGATAAATTTGATATATAATAAATAATAATATTAATTGCATTTTCGATTTTTAGGTGAGATAAAAATGTATCTATACAATTTAAAAATGAAATACTTACAAGCTCTTTCTGCAAAAATATCTTTATTAGACTTCATAATTTATACAATAAAAAATTATATATTTAGACATACATTATTATTGTCGCTGGATAAATTTGACATATAATGAATAATAATATTAATTGCATTTTCGAATTTTTAGGTGAGATAAAAATGTATCTATATATTTTTAAAAATGAAATACTTACAAGTTCTTTCTGCAAAAATATCATCCTTAGATTTCATAATTCACAAAACACAATAAAAAAAAAAAAATATATATATATATATATATATATATATGTGTGTGTTTATACATACATTATTAATATCGCTGGATATTAATTGCATTTTTAAATTTTTAGATGAAATAAAAATGTATCTATATATATATATATATTTATTTAAAAATGTTTAACAGATCTTTTTGTAGTTTCAAATTACATTACTTGATGGAATTTTATGTCGCTCAGTAGTACATAACGCAAAGATTTATAAAAAATGTAAATACAATCATTGCATTGCACCATTAGCTTCGGCTTGAATAGATATCAGAAATGACGTATAAAAAAACTCAGGGACATATCACGTTATTTTGCTTCTATTCATAATGTCTTTACATTAAACTGCAACAGTAGGAATAATAAGCCATGCAGGAAAAATTTTATATTTTTCGTTTATTGTGCAATAACAATTGTTATAAAACCTTTTCATGATTCCTATTCTTTTCAATATTTTCGCGGAAGTGAAATTCTGAATACCTTCGTCGAGCAACATCGATATTATATTGTTCTGTTGAGGACAGTCGCTTTGCATTTAAGTGCAGGGAAACGAGCTGAATACATTAAAACGAACTTAGACTTTCAGCTATGAACGTAATCGAATGTTGACGAGTTGTTGTATTCTAAAGTGTGACGCCATAAAGCCGGAGAAGTCTTACGTCGTACACCTTTACCTTCCTTCTCACATAAATCAATAGGCAGGAAAAGTTTTAGGACTTACTCTTTCCCGATCTAAAGAAGAGAAACTCAGATTTATCAAAGTGTATTATATAATATGAAAATCAATAATTGCATGGAGTTTTCTTCTTGATAGAAACAACGTTTGCTTCGATTTATTTCCGATTCAAGTGATAGGTTCTTTATTGATATCTCGAGATATATATATAAATTAAAAAATCATATTTAGGCTTCTTTGAAAAATTGTAAAAAAATAAATAATTACTCAAATGTTTTCTTTTCAATCGTCATTTTTTATCGACAATATTAAGGACATTTTTCTTCAGTTTTTTCAAGTCGAATTTTTAAATTCAAATAGTAGTTCCTAGAAATGTATTGATCACGCTCGATGTGCTATCACTCGCGCTAATGGCTTGGGAAATCATACGGCTAAGTTGGAATCAAAGTTTCATCAGCACTTAAGCGTCTCGCGAGACCGAAGAAACGTAATTCGTGTCGGAGTTTCTACGAAGAAATATGGTTCTATTTTTTTCTTTTTATGAGAACAACGGAGTGCCTTATTTATTTCATACACTTTGTCTCTGCGGCTCTCTTTTATTTTTTTATTTTTTCAAATTATAATTTTTCCTCAGCAAAACTGTCGGGATCATTTTTTGCATGTTCCCAATTTTTGCCATTATGTAGGTATCTTTATAACTAAATCTTAAATTAAAATTTTACTTAAATGAACTCTACTTGAAATTAATTGAAAAATGTAATTTTAATATTTTATTTCCACAAGGCTTAGTTTGCGAAAAACCCTTTCTCTTCTCAATATTTTTGCTGCGGAAAAATTGTCAAATAACAAGATCTACTTGTATATTTTCGGTGTGACATTCCATATCAGACACCCTGTATATGCAATGTGTTGCATTCTTTTTTCCTTGCCTTTTTAAAGGCATGTCGAACTTAATTCTACTTTCGAAGAGAGAAAGGAGAGAGAATTTTGGCTACATATATCGGGAAAAGCGATCGAGATATTTTCAGTTCGGTCATCAATCATGGTTCAAATGACTGAACTAAAAATATCTCAATCGCTGTCTAAATAAACGATGCCGATCAAAGCTATCCTCAGGCGAATAATCTTTCTCAATTTTCCAGACATTTATGGAGTGACGGATGCGCGGGACACGTGTGCGAGCACGTGGACGCCGAGGAAATCGCCAATCTATCGTCTATCTATCGCGAGACGTCTGATATCATCCCTGTTTTATGCACCAAAGCATCCCTCGAACGTGACTTACGACGCGTCGGATAGGATTAGGAGAAAATTCCCTGTCGAAATTGCCTGCAGATTGGCGAGTCGTGAGTCATCAACCACATCCGATGGAGGATGTACTGACAATGAAGTCAGGTTCACTTCCGTGGAGGAAGTGAAAGAAACATATATACGAGTCCAAATGTCATTCTGATAAGCGTCATCGGCAGGAGAAATATTCAGGTACAAAGAAATAACGTTACATATACGTAATTATTTATTTAAATTGATTTTTTGATGAAAGAAAAAGAGAAAGCTTTCCCAGATAGCACCATGTCCAAAATGCACGCATAAGACGTCATTAAGAAGTCTTTAAGACATCTTTAAGAAATCTTTAAGAAATCTTATTATAATGCAATATCCAAAAGATATCTTAAAAACATTTTAAAGATGTCTTATGCACAGAGAAAATTTTCTCTTGGAAGAATTTTATAAAAGCTTTTCTGATTAATATTTACCACAATAAAAATATTAATATCTACCACAATAAGATATAAAATATACTCGATTAATTTTACTACATATTAATATTTTTTATTGTGGTAAATATTAATCAGAGAAACTCTTATAAAATTCTTCCAACCCCATATTACCATGATTTTCAGAGTAAATTCTAAGAGAAAATTCTCTCCGTGTGCGTGCACATAAGGTTTTGAACATAAGGTATTATCTGGGTTCACATTTCACCAAGATTAAAATCGCGTGTAATAAGCTGATAAATTTATAAACTCAATGTATTTTATACACGTCGCTTTATCAAAGTAATTGAAAAGTAACATGATATTTTCACGTTATAATGCAGCGTCTATCATAAAAATTATACCTTTCCATTTGAAAACTACGAAACAATGATTACCAGTTGCAATTCAATTATCGCGTAATTACGGCGCTAATTTGCGATACTTATTGTTAGTTATGGTCTCGTTACGTGCGGTCATGCCATTTGTGTTCACCTCAGCAGATCCGCCGGAAGTGAAGGCACGACAGGAGGGTGACATTAGGAGTGGACGTCCTATGAGCTGCGCGCGCATCCCTTAGGACACTGTCGCGCGGCGCGCATACGATGCAACCCGACGAGGAGATTCAGTATGCGCCGAGAAGCCGGCCGGTGAGCTTTTATGACAACTATAAGGTACGGTTTTATCCACGTGCTTTTGTTTACGCGTGCGCCTTTTGGCTCGTTTTATATATTATTAAATTGCTTCGCGTGACGATGCGACGTGACTGACATTAGTCATCGATTTTATCAATATTTTCGTGTGTTTCAAAGAATTCTTTATATTATTTTGTGCAATACAAAATGCTTTTACTATTTTTTTATTGAAGAAAAATATATTACAGCTTATATAGTCTATAAAACGCGTTAATTGCTCTGAAGTATTATTGAATTAATTTCCAAGTGAAAACATGAATAGATAAATATTCTGCATTACTGAAGATAATTGGAAAAATGTCGCTAAAAATGTAACGTTTTACATCAACATAATTAGACTATATTGATCGTAATTGATATTAATTATTCACATGCATCGCACACAAAATTATCATAAATTTCCATTCTTAATATGTTTATATTAAATCTTTATTTTTTAAATACAGTATACATTCTATGTTTTCAAAACTAGATATATAATCTGTATTTATAGAGAGAGAATGCAATAAAAAATATTTTATTCATGCGCAAATTTAAATATTACACAAAACTATATAATCACTCATTATAATTCAAAAAATCTATCAACATTGAGAACTGCAATTTTTACATATATTTTTCCAGTCGTGCCTTTTTTTAAAATGGTTAGAGACATTTAGCAAAATTAATTCGACCCTTTTTTCCGATTCCGCAGGTTGTGCCGGTGACGCCGTCTTGCGTCACTTCCGCAATGAGCGTGGGCAATCTGAATCAGGTTCGCGACGGAAATAGCACGTCCGTCGTGTCTCACAGCATCAACAACAGCATTAATACCAATATTAACAATAATAACAACAACAACAGGGTCAGTAGTGCCGTCAGCACGGGCAACGTGTCGAAGATTAACACTGCCAAGGTCACCGGTGAGTTGAATGCACTTTCCGCGATATGCTTTTTGTATTTTATGTGCACGGTGTCTACTTTTTAATTACGAGAGATTCAACCCGCGACGACAAAAATAAAATAATAAGATAATTATTCTTACGCGCTCGAAAATTGCTTGCTTTTTTCACTTACATTTTGTTTATATCATAATCATTAGCGAACTCTAATTTTGTACTGTTTCTGAATGATTGTCGAAGTGGTACCGTAAATTTAATTCGTTTTTTTATTAGTTTATCTTTATTATTATTTTATTTTATTATTTTTTTACAAAGTTTAATTTATTTTTTAAATCTAAAAAATATTACATATATAATTGCAAGGAAAAATATAAATGATTTTGAATAATTCAAATTAAATTACTCGCACTATACATGCATATATTTGCCTATCTACACCGTGTATTAATCTCTTTCGTGTCAGATTGACCTATTTGTTCTACCTCAGGTGTTTTCAGCACCACGAAACTTTATCGTCCTGAATTCTTTATGCCGCGGTGACTGCTTTTCATAGAATGTTCACGTGTGCCAAAATCGCGTGTGCAATTAAGAAAATTGCATATTTCGAACAACAAACAATATATGTGCAACGCTTTCCACATTTTCTTTAATAACGATAAATTTTTCTAAAGAAAACTGCAAATATTTTGTATGCAACATAAAATATCTTATAATTGTAAAAGTAGAGAAAAATATGTATATGAGATTTAAAAATTGCATATGTTATGCTCGACTATATTTCTCTTGAACTTTTTGTCATATCATTATCTTAAAAGAAAAATAAAAGAAACATAAATGATAATTAAGCAATTGCTAATGTATAAAATATGCAAATGCGAGAATAGTACATTATCATGATCAAGCTGAATAATTGTTTTAATATAGCTTGAAGTATTAAAGTAATATTACTTGATAAAGTAAATAATGTTTAAAATCGCTTGTATAATAAAGAAAGAGAAATAAAAATATAGTAGTATACATGTTAGAATTATTCCTAATTTTATTATCTTTACTTCTACAGAAACGAGTCTTCTTATCGAAAATGAAGTATTTCAGGTATTCCTAAAAAATTTGATAAAATTATATCAAATAAATAAAAAACAAATAAAATACACATCAAAAAATACAATAACCAAATCTGTTTTTAATAAGATTTGTGACACGTAATTAGATAATAACTACGATAGTTTTAAGTGTGTTAGAGCTTTGCATTTAAATTTTGTGACTTAGGTATCTGTTCTTGCAAAATATTTTTTTTATAATCAGATGTAATTAAAAATTTTTTTTTAATTTTGATAAAAAAAAGGATGCAGAATATTTAAGTATTTTATTGGGTATTTTATAGGTGCAGTATCAACCGGGAACATCGGACGAATCTCCCGCGGCGATAAAGAGAAAGAGCTCGGTCGAGCACCATCGATGGCCAACTGCTTGTCAACCACGGTTCCTGTCAACCTGGCAGCTTCTCAAATAGCCGGTCGACACACGCCCACAAGGAATTCTCTAAGGCACAGCAGGATGATCGTGATGCACCGAACCGGTCATCGTGAGTAGATTATTACCTATATCTTTTTCCTTTTGTATCTTTGGAATAGTTTTCAAAGAGAACAAAACTGCTCCGACTTCACATTTCAAGTAATTTACACACTATATACTTTTGTGGGACGGATGCATTTAGTCGAGCGATTTTATGATTTTCAATTAGCGGGAAACGATAATTTCTCATATTATTGCGAGAAAGTAATGAATATACTTGAATTTAAACGAGCGTTTCGGGAACACATGCACTTGGCGAAGTATCGTAAAGTGAGTAACGCTAATGGCATTTCCTCCGTTCCACTCGGTCGATGAAATCTTGCGTACGTGTTTATTCGTTTTTTTTCTGATTTTTTTGCAATCGATTGAATCGATTTCTCCCGAGAGCGAGATTGCGCTCTCTTGGGAATCTCATTTCTCCGTCACGGAATGCGACCGATCAGGTATCTCTACTCGATTTTCTTGATTTTCTTCGACGTCTCGTCGCTGCTCGCGACACATTATTATTCCACTAATGAGTGTCAATCTTAATGCGCCGCGCAGGTTACCAGGATCGAGGTTGCTCTGCCAAGGTAGACAGGAAGATTATAATTAGCGCTGCATACATTGTAGAAGCAGGAAAGTGCGGTGGTATCATCGCGGTAATTAGATAGCGTGAAATGAAATACTCAGCAAATGACAGCTAATGAAAGACGTCGGAGGTGACGAAAGTGCGATGTGTAATGAAGCTTTTAAAGAGAAAGACCGTGAAAATTGAGATGACGCGTTTATGTCGATATATGAAATATTTATTATATTAATTTCTTTTTATTTTTTTTAATATATTAATTAATTTTTTTAATATATGAAATATTTTTTATATTAATTTCTGTCAGTCGATAGACGAGAGAGATAAATGATTGTTAATTCGATTTTTTTATTTATAAAATATATTCAAAATAATTATTATTTTATATTTATTAATTCGTCTAGGAAAGAAATTCTTTATTTCTTTTTTTCTTCTTACGAGAGTCATTCTCACGTAAATATCTCACTGAGTTTTAAACGTTTCTTGCTCCGCTGGTCATAAAGTTCTTTAAAGTGGATACACATGGTTCTCCGCAGATAGCGGAAGTACCAGGTCGGAAATATATTGTGATTTTTTTTGGCATCTGTTCGAAATACACAATTTTTAGCTTGGCGCACAAGTGGAAAGAAAATTTACCATATTTTCTTAATTGCCTCGTATTCCACCGCAATTAACTTCATTTGCCATTGTATCATAAGACTTGTTAAAATTGTCACACTGCTTGATTTTAGTGGGTTTTAAAAATATTTACTCACATATACATACATATAATTTTAACAAGCAAAATTTTCTTGTCGAAAGTATATAAATTCTGTTATTTAAAAAATCTAAAAAATATAAACTGCATTAATTTATATTCAAACACTAATTAATAGAAAAAAACGACGTATATTAAGTTAACAATGAGCATCGTTTTATCCGTGCATTTGCAAGGAAACAAGCGACACGTGTGAGCGTCGAAGGGTCGAAATTGATGAAACGTACAGTCCTGCTTTGTACAAGGGCCGTGCATGCATTTACCATTTAGCCCTAACTCTATTTCGAGACTGGCGGAACAGACTTACTAAATGGGACTGCTATTCTTACGCCCAATTTTCAGCACCCTTACACACGTTAATCCTGCGTTTGGCTTTCATCTAAGAACGTCGGACGGTCAAACGATCGCACTCTTTTCGCTGCAAACAGCTAAAAATTTTAATTTCTCTCTATCCTATTCCCTAAACTCGTGATAAATATTTATGATAATTTGAACTTGCAATTATTAATTATATTAATAATTTATAATATACACAGGAAATTGCTGAAACTAATCAGCTGTCATTTTTAATGCATGCAGTTATTGAGAAAACTATATAATATATTTATATAATATTATATTATATATATACTATATATATAATATTATATAATAATATACAACATATATAATATTATATAATAATATACAACATATATAATAATATACATATATATATATATATATATTTATATATTATATTATATATTATATTATATATTATATATTATATTATATATTATATATTATACATTATATTATAATATAATACATAATTATATATCTATAGATTATATTTTCAATAAATTCATTTTTCACCGATGAAGTATGAAAAACGCAAAATAACTACTAAGTATCACCGATTGTGACTAATTAATGAGAGGCAAATCGAAGACGAATCAATAATTGATTGTCGGCGCAATGCGAAATTATCCAATTATCTCGTACCGTAGTTTCTTTCTTACGCAAGCCGCGTAATTGACATTATCTATGCAACAGAGTCAGCGAATAATGAAAATGTACCATCCAAGTACTTTTCCATGTATGCGTGTACGTGGGTCGTAATATTTTGCGAATTTGCCAACCGTAACGACGCGACGGACCACGTTGCTCATTGTTATCTTCTATAATGTATTCATTTAACGTTCGCATCCACACATAAACGAGGTCATTCACGCCTATGTGCGCAACGTACCTGATGCAAATGAAGAAAAATTGCGGCTAATTACGCCGAATTCACACGACAAATGCCATTATGTGAGTTAAATATGACACAAATAATTATATCTTTAAATCTTTACAAGCTTAATTGTGACTCGGATGATTCTAATCTTTGACTTTTTAATAATGTACAACTTTAATAATGAATGATACATCATTCTGACAATTAAATTCTTCTTTTTTATTTAATGTTACCACAGAGCATTGTTATCAGCAGTGTTTGCTGTTATCTAAATAAAATTATATAGATGATCGTCTAGATGAAATTTTCGCGTCATCTAATCTTTATATAGATAATAAAAATGTTTCATCTATAGCTGCATCTTAGATAGAAAAATGTTATTTTTATTAAATTATCTAGAATAATGTTCAGATAATTTGGTTTAGAATTTAGTCATAGTTTAAGCAGTAAACGATAAAAATTGATAAATAAAAATATGAATTATATATTTTTACATACCTTTTATAATTTACATTTTTTAATAATTGTGTTTACATAAGCGGTGTTAAAAATAATATTATCTAGAAATTATCTAGATAAATTGCCATATAATTTTACCTCTTTTATCTAGATATATTAAAAACAAAATCATCTTCATCTTATCTAACAATAAAATAAATTTACATATTTTTATCTCATCTTTATCTAGCTAATTTTAAAACCATCTAAGCACAACACCGAATATCAGGTGTCATCTGATCATGGTAATATTTAATTAAATTAAAGGTAATATAGATATATAGCTTGTTTCGTCGGCTATTTTGTCGCCGTTTGACCTTTCAGTACGGCCTTTCTCCTTTTATATTCGCACCGGTATATTCTTCTTGCATTGTGCAATAAATATGACATATGTACATATGGCGAGACGGTACACAATGCGAACGATGCGTATTCATGTTCTGTATTCTTGCATCGTGCGAACCACTCCTCGAAAGAGCAGCAATATCTGTCACTTAACTGTAGTGTCCATTTTATCCGTTATGTTGAAAACGAGAGAGAATCATGAGAAAATGATCCTTTCTTGAGTGCGGTATAGTACACTGAAAAAAAATTTATTTAATTCGAATAAGTATTTATTTCAATATTGCCAAATGAATCATTTATTTGAAACTAATAATATTTATTTGATATGAAAAATATTTATTTGATAGAAGAAAATCCTTTTCAAAACAAATAAATATTTATTTCTTTCAAATAAATGATTCATTTGGCAGTATTGGAATAAATATGTACATATATTAATTTAGTCATTTTTTTCAGTGTAGAAATTTACTTCTTCTTACTTTCACAAAAATATTGGGTATCTATAATATTATGATAAAGCCTCTACACGTTTTGGATATTTGAAGGAACGTTTAATTGACGTTTTACAATTTTTTTCAAACATTGTTTATACGTCTTTCGAACGTTTGTACATATGAATCGATCGAGAAAGTCAATTCTACATAATCCAGTCGTAATATTCTTTAACTGTTCTAAATAAAAAAATTATTTGCATAATTCTCTTAGTCATGTTCTGAAAGTATATTATTACTGACATTTGTTGAATGAAATGTCATATATGATGTATATAATTAATTAATGATGTAATGATATGTGTTTTATTAATAATGAATAGTTCATCATTAATATAATAAATTAAAATTAGATTATTAATGTCAACATAATTGATAGTTTTATTACACTGCGAAAAAAGATATTTGTTTTTTTCTGAACATTAAAGTAAGCATTATTTCAATTTTTTTAATAACGATAACACTCTAACGTAGCAAAGTATAATGAGTAATGCTTATATAATAATTCTTAAAAGGACTAAGCATTAACATTTTTATTACTAAAAAAAATTGTTTTTAATCATAACTCACTTTCAGGGTTGGTGCGTTTGAAGTGAGAAAGAATGTGTAATTTTTTTGTAAGGAGGAGAAGTAACATTTTTATCGCGCGTTGCCTCAAAGTATAATTATGCATGGGAACTGTTTATGTCCAACTCTTATTCTCGTTGACTTACGGCCCATCTATCTACAGACCATATATGTTCCGCGTTGTGCACCTTGCCTTCTATTCGCCAGCTAAGTTATAACATGTATTTGCAGTACAGTTAGAACTTCTGGGAGATGCAATCTCCTCGTAAAGCGAGTACGTGCATTGGCATTTGCGCAAGTGAAAATCATTTTTTAATTCTTCAATCGAGAAAGTATCGCACCTTTCACGATTTGACGTGCGTCGATAATCGAAATATTAAAATTCCACGCAAGTATCGCGTGGCAAAAGAATTTCTCTTCTACATGCATATAATACATATAAAGATGCATCCATGATCAATTGCTGACGAATTAATCGTATAAGAGCGAGAGTATGACGAACTTTTTTGAGTTAAATTACATTGACGTGGCATTGTTTACTTTGATTTTACAGTTTTTGCTTTAATATTGATAAGGGTCTCATACAGTACAAAATATTATAAATGTTTTCAAAAAATATTTCTAAATATTTCTATAAAATATTGCAGAAAATATTTTAAAATGTTTTTAGGAATTTTTTAAAATGATTTAAAAATTTTTTGTGATAACATTATTTAGAATATTTTTAAAAATGTTCTTCTTTATCGCTCAAATAATATTTTTTTAAATATTTAATACTTATTTTTGAAATATTATTTTAAATCTATATTTAAAAATATTTTTGAAACATGAAAAAGCGGACATAGAAACATTTTAAAAATATTTTCGAGAATTATTTTATTTTTTAAGAAATATTTTTAAAAGATTTTAAAAATATTTTGTGCTGTATGGGGTTAATGTGTAATTTTTATAAAGCCAGAATTTAGATTTCTCACATATTTTTCTATATATATTGAAAAACTTGGGAAGATTGTCTACGCAACATATCTTTTTCTCAACGCAGAATCAAAATATCTTACAACAAAAGAGATCATAGAATTTCGTCTATGATTGATTCTAAACCACTCTGAATGATCCCATTTTATTCGAATAATACTCCAGTTCTCCGAAAAGTTTTAACTTTCAATGGAAATCAATGACACAAAATGTAGGGTCAAGAATCGTTAATACAGAACTGACAAGATTGGTATAGTTAATATATTGGCAACCTTTTGTTGGAAAAAATTTTATCATTCTTAAAATTCTATTCTATTATTCAGGTAGGAAATGGACTAATAAAATCTAGACGCAGAATTAGGTGGAACAAATTTATGTTAAACGTTTTCTTTATTTGATTTTAACGTTTCGGTCCTTTTCCTTTGGACTATCTTCAGCTGATATAGATAAAAAAGGATCAGGCATTTTCATCCTCATTTTCGCCTTCCAAGTTTTCGGCAAATTCTTAAAACAATCGAAGACGAGATAAAAAAGAAAAGAGCGAAAAACGCATAGCATGATCTTACCTTCAAAGCAACATGTTTTTTGTCAATTAATCTGCTCAAAATGGTTGAAAGAGGAAAGACCGAAACGTTTAAATCAAATAAAAAAAATTTTAAAACAAGCTTGTCGCGCTTTATTTTTATACTCTTACTATCCCATTTTATAGTTGAATTTTTGTTCTATTATATAAAATAATTATATTGTGCAAATACGGATTATAGTTTTTTTTAGATCAATATATGCCTAAGAAATGCAGATAAATAAAAAAAATATATAATTTATTTAGAAAATTTGAATTAATGTGACAGAAAAAATAGCCTAATCTAATGTTATACATTTATAATAATCGCGCATATTTTAACTACCAACTTAAATTCTAATTTTGGATACATTTTTATTCCAATAAAATGTTACGGTATGATATATAATATATGTATATATTGTTGCAAAATATCGTTGTGGTGTAAACTATCATTCGCGTTTCTATTTAATGGGAAATAGTTGTCGCGAATCTTGTGTAGATGAATTTCCTAGCGGTTCGATATGGCAAGGACGATACGTTCAATCATCCAGTTAGATTACCTTGTATGGAGGGACGGCGACGAGGCCGTCTTGTATTGCAGGAAACTCTCCTTTCTATCGGACCTACACAAGTTTCTCGATACTACGGGTTATCGACCGTTTACGCCACGGAGGAAATGTATGTCACGAAGAAGGATGAAGCTCATATCTGCTTCGCAATGTCGAATTATCTAATAGATGACCGATCGCCTCGGGACTTGGCTCACTTTAAGATATAGGAGATCCGTGAGATCGAATCATTCACAGACGAGCTGCATTGCGAAAACATGGTTTTTTTCCTTCTCGTGAAATATCTGACTAAGACAGAACGTTAATCGCGCTGGAAAATAAAAACTGCGATATTCTTTTGCAATGTTGTACATATTTGGATGATTTTAAAATTAGCTAGATAAAGATGAGATAAAAATATATGTAAATTCATCTTAGATGAGATAAAGGTGATTCTGTTTTAAATATATCTAAATAAAATTATATTAATGATTCATCTAGGTAATTTTGTAGATAATAATTTTTAAGACTGCTTATATGTGAACACAGTTATAAAAAAATGTAAATTATAAAAGGGATATAAATTCTACTATTCTTTTGCAATGTTGTACATATTTGGATGATTTTAAAATTAGTTAGATAAAGATGAGATAAAAATATATGTAAATTCATCTTAGATGAGATAAAGGTGATTCTGTTTTAAATATATCTAAATAAAATTATATTAATGATTCATCTAGGTAATTTTGTAGATAATAATTTTTAAGACTGCTTATATGTGAACACAGTTATAAAAAAATGTAAATTATAAAAGGGATATAAATTCTACTATTTAAGTATTTTTATGTGCTGTGATTCTAAAGCAAAATTATCTAAAAGTTATTCTAGATAATTTAGTAAAGGTAATATTTTTTTTAATTTAAAATACAAATATAGATAATACATATATTTTTATTATCTATACAAAAATAAGATGATACTAAAGTTTCATTTAGATGATCATCTATATAATTTTATTTAGATAACAGCAAACACTGTTCTTTTGTATTCCAATTTTATATTACATTTATTTACAAAGTGCAAGTGATTGTTTTATAAATCTTATTTGAGATATAATTATTTTCATACACCCACATACACATACAAGTGTAAATTCTGCGTAAATTTGCATCAAATTATCTGCTGCAGTTGTAAAATACAATCTTATACAATCCTTAATCTTCCGTAATCACTACAGTAATAATACACAAGAGTTAAAAGGCAGGTTTACTTTTAGATCGAGAGAAGTTTTTGCCTCCTTTGATCTATCATCGACGATTAGCCCGATGTCTGGCGGCGCTGCAGACTATCCTCGGCATCGCGGTGACTTCCCTGTCATTATGGTTGCTACTTTGGGCACCGCATCTTCCCATCGTGGACAATCCCTACTGGAGCGGCATGCCTGTAAGTAATCACAATTTTACACGGTGACATACAGCACAAAATATTATGAATGCTTACAAAAAATATTTCTAAATATTTCCATCAAATATTGCATAAAAACATTTTAAAATGATGATTTTAGGAATATTTTAAAATAATTTAAACACTTTTTAGAATATTTTAAAAAACTTTTAAAAATATTTTTTTTATCGCTCAGATAATATTTTCTTAAATATTTAATACATAATTTTTAAATATTAATTTATATTCAATAATATTTTTAAACATGAAAAAGAGAACATAGAAACATTTTAAAAATATTTTCGAAAATTATTTTATTTTTTTAAGAAAATATTTTGTGCTGTATGGGATGCACTAGGCATGCATTTTTCATGACGCAAGAATGATACAAAATAGAAAACAATTCTCTTCTCTTATTTAACAAAAGCTAATTATTTGTTAGAAGAGACATACATTAACGCGCGTCGCGCGATCACACTATTACATATACTTATACGTATATGACAAAGTGAAATAATTATATATTTTAAACAATTGCCATTTTTTAACTGATATATCATTTTATAAATCAGAGCAATTTATTTTTATTGAAGTTACAATTCATCATTTACTGGCGATTGCATCACTTTTGATGATTTTTAATACATATTTACATTTTTTATATGATGTTAACAATATTTTAAAACTTTTAATATTTAACTTTTAACCTAATTAAAGGTAAGTGTGCAGTAAAAATCATATTTTACCTAATAAAAATTTTACTAATATTTTTTTTATATTTCTCAATTTTATGTGATATAATATATAAATAATATATAAAAAATTATATATTATTACATAAAATTGAGAAATATAGAGAAATATTAATAAAATTTTTGTTAGTTATTTATATATATAAAAAATTATATTTATTACTAACATGTAAGTATATATATAACATTTTAAATAAATTACATTTTACATAACATTTCTCATAAATTGTCATGTTACTTCGCAGTACTTTCTTAGCATTTGCGTTTAATATACTGTATATATATTTATTGTGATTTAATATTTGTAATTTCGGAATATCTTCAGCTTTTGATGTCTGGCAGTTTTGGAATCTGTCTCCTATGCTGTTTCAAGAAGGAATATCCGGAGATGACTCCCGGATTTTGTCTTTCTACCACAAAGGTATGTAAGAATTCTTTATAATTAACTGTAGATTTTTATAAATAACTTCAAACATCTTATTGCTTTTTTAATGATAATTTTTTATAATACATTTTTATATTACAACATGCATATATTTTATTTAAATATATGTACAGTATAATTATTATATCATTTTTATAGTATTAATATAATCTTGCGTTAGTTACAAAAATCTTCATTTTGAAAGAAATAACTTTAATTTTATTTTGACTTATTAGTAACTTATAATTTTCTGATAATTATTATAAATATAATTAAACTATTATGTAATTATCGAGTAATATAAAATGTTCTTCTGTTTCCTTCTTTCACTCACTCTTTTTACGTTTTATCGCACCTATGTATGTCCTGCTTTGATACGTCAAACAGGTTGTTAGCGTGTTTTTGGCAATTCTGGCTACCGTTGCGTGCGTGAGCGCATGCATATTCTCCGCGATGCACTTGTCGCGTCTCATGGGACTGGAATGCACTCCGGCACGAGTACTAAACGCCACGTGTGTATGCAGGCCACGCGGCGAGCCGCCTGATTCACTCGATGGTGCAGTCAGGTATGTCATGTCAAAATGGGGAAATATTTCAGATATTGATTTCTTAAAGCACCTGAAAATTTATGCAAAGATTTAAACGATGTGTGATAAATTCGCGAATTGTTTTTGGAGGCCATACTTGAATCTCTTTAATCTCCATGCAAGGAGATTTTTATTTATTTCAACATCAGGAATCTGAAGAATTAAATTTTCAATTAAATTCTCTTAAATACAATATAGGACATTTTAAGTTAACTCTGAAGAGAAAAGAACTAACAGCCATATTGCATCGTATATTAACGCAATAAGTTTAGTATTGCGTGATGACATGTATATCAAAAGCGATATTTTTTTTTATATCTCACCAGATATATGGACCTTAATTGTCCCGAGGTAGAAGGTATTCTGACGATCCTCCTTATCTTCTCGTGTACTTGCAACGGATTAGGCGTCTTAGTAGCAGGATGTTATAGTTACCTACATTGGAGCACGCGATACAAGAGGCCAAAGTATATACAGGTCAGGACCAACAACATTTCCATGAACAATGCTCTCAGCAATAAACCGATCTACAAACCAAAGTTGGAAGAACGATGACGCTTGCAGAAGCTATAATGACCGAAATGCTTCCATTTTGTGTTCTGATCCGTCAACATCTTCCTTTATGATCGTAGAATTTAAAAGTTCTGTTTAATTTATTAACGAACGAAACCATCCCGATAAATAAAATGACAAAAGTAATTATTATTTCTGATGCACAAACGAGAAATAAAAATATATCTTTTACACATATATGAATAAGGAAATTTCAATCGACGAATTTTCTTTCAATTTACAGTGGATAATAAGTTCGTAATTTTATAAAAAAAGTGACATAATAAATAATTATGGTAATTGAAAACTCAAGATTTAAAAAAGTGTAAGTGCACATATATATTATTAATGACATAATAATGATAATTATAATGATATTATTAAAATACGATATAATAATGGATCACTGTACGATGACTCGGAAAAACAATTTCGGACTCATTAATTAGCGTTTATTTTTTTTATTACGTGGAGGCTCAGTATTTGTTTAAACTTTATGTGAGTATTTATGTGTGCGTGCATCTGACAGTGCGTTTGTCTTTCAACGTGAAAGAATTTGAAGGAAACGCGTGAATGAAGACTATACATACTGATTTTTATCTATACTTATATATTAAGACTAAGGTTTATAAAAATAAAACAAGTACCTCAAACTTTAAAATAATACAATATCAAGATATTTACGGTTATCTTTTATACTTTACATATTTAGATGTATTTAGTAAAATAATATGAAATTGAAAATTATGTTGTATGTATTTATGCAAAATCTGTGGCAATAAGATATTGATACAAAATTACATATGTACACTATGTGTGTTACAGTCTTACTACAAGATTCAATTCTAGAATTGCTCAAAATATCGAAATAAAAATCGGTATTAAAGAACTCTATGCATGTCAAAAATACAATGTGGAAGAAAAAAATTAGAAATATATGCAACAATTATATTTGTTTTTAATATAAATCTATTTATACTACGTATAAATATAATGTGATTTAATTTGCAACTCTGCTTTCCTATATAAAAGAATTACTTGATTCTTATGCACACTGCTTTTTTAAATAAATAGTCTTGTTAATATCAATTTTATATTAATAATTTATTTCTGCGTGTTTCGATATGTTTATGCGATTTTGAAATCAAATAATATGACAATAATAATTTTTTATAGATTAATCATTATTATAATATTAATTATTTATCTCTTCTTATATTTTATATTATTATACATATTTTTTTATATTGATATTAAAACACATAAATCTGTATTCTTGATTAACTGAAATATTAACTGTATTTTATGAAATATTAATGTCAATTACATATTTATTTAAATGATGGTATGTTTTTTATTGTCGTATTGATTCGAGACGAGTAACACTATATGAAAAATATATAAACAGCATAAAAAAAAAATTTTAATTTTTAAATATACATATGTTTACGGATAAATTGTGATGTAAACTAAATTTTTAAATATATTGTTTAGATATATGTTTTAGTGCTATTGTAATTGTATAATTTGATCGCAATCTAGAATATTCAAATAAAAAATAATGATTTTAATGCCAAATTTGTTTATAACAGATTGTAATGGAAAAATATCAGAGGAAGGAAGGAAATATTAAAAATGCTTTTAATAATATTTTTTTATCTACATTTCTACTATTTTAGTACTAATATAACATTATTTAATATTAATATAATGCTTTATCTAATATCTCTCTACAACTTGCAATTATAATATTTCTTACATATCAAAATTTTTAAAAATTAACACTTATCAAAAAAAAAATTTCCAATAAAAATGTCATAGATATTTTCAAAAATGTATCTAATTAACTACTAATCTTGGGTTTGATGCAGCAAGTTGAAAGCCGAATATGACATCTTGAGCAACTGCAAATAATTGTTTAACATTATTTACAATGTTCGTGCATGATATTTAATAATAATTTCTATTGTATTAATTGAAGATACTGACAGCCACAAACGAGTCAAGATTTAATGTCAGTATGTACATGCTATTAAATTCGATGGGGATTGTTGAGCGCCTCATAATTAGTAAAAAATCTCTCTTGCAGCTATTGCTAAGTGTCGGCCATTCTACTTTATTATAAATATTATTCGCCAAGTTAAGACTCTATAAATAAAAATGTTTTGTAGCAATAGGATATTTTGCATGTCGCAAAAATAAAAATATCTATATTTATCTTAGCTTTTAAAATTATCGATATCTTTTGTTATATTTAAAATTTATTTTAAATGAACTATATACTTTTGTCTTGACTTCGTTTCCGAACCAACAATAGATGAAAATTTGCGTCAATATAGCACCCGTGTAAACCATCAATGAAACAAAGATCACATAGCTCGATGTCGTTGCTAGTCGAAATAAATTCGAGCATATCACCAACATGCTCACGGCGAACTGTAGAGCAATTATTTTCGAAAACATATTATTCACCGTGCACGCGTATCTATGATTGAGTAAAGAATCCTTAATCAATTTCTCTGGAAATATTCTCAAACAAATTATATCGACAAATTAATAAATTCGCGTTATTAAAGACAGATATAAATAAAATATGTCACTTTTCGTTCTTTCTTCTTATTTCGTTAAAAAAAAATTGTTCTTTGATTCAAGAATCCGAAAACAATAATTGTTCTTATTTACTTAGCGAATGATTAACAATTGTTATAAAGACGCAACTTTATTTTGTATGTGGTTCAAATTTTTTGGAGTAAGTATAATAACATTCGTTAAAAAACTAACTTAAAAATTTGATTGTGATGACGAATACAATCATGCAACATGCGTTGATTATGCGTGATTTTTGTTAATCGATATTCCAAAATTTCAAGCTGGCAGCAGATATACAACAAAAGTCCGCAAATTACGCTCTCGCAAGCGACGTTAACTATACCCGAGGTTGCCATGCCTATTAATTGGTGAACATACACAAAAAAATATATAGCAGGGGATGAATAATCAAATGGAAACCATGCTTTGTAGGTCAAATTTCTTTTCTTGAAAACTGTTAAAAATGATGTCAACACTACCGATATAATTGCCATCATAACGATAATCAAATATCGCAAAGTACTGTTCCTACAAAATATATAATTATGAAGATTATTTTAATTCATTTTTGTATAAGATTTAATCACATGGTATTTCTTTCTCTCTTCTCTCTTTTGATATTTATTATATTTATTACATATTAAGAGAATAACTTTTATTATTATTTTTAATATATTATTATATTTTAAAAAATTTTTTTCATGAATATAGAAAAAGTTTTTATTACAGAAAGTGATATATATTTGCAAAAATTAAATTATATACATGTGGAGACTATTGTATAAATATAATGTGTGTATAAAATTATTATGTAAAAGTACATATATAAGCATATATGTAAATATAATATTCTAAGATATCGTGCTATAATATTTAACAATTAAGAACAATCTATTATGCTGCTTAAAAATTGTTACTAAAAAAATAAGTAATGCATATTTATTTGATATCACATAATTTAATGCAACTTGATATAATGATACTTACTCTACTATTTTTTCAAATTTTTTTTGAATTACAGCTTCGTGCGTTTCACATATTGCAAAAGGTTTCTCGGTAAGAACGTTGATTACAACCATAACTTTTTTTCGATCTGTCCACATATAAACTTGTTTATAGCCTGCGACGAATACGGTCAACATCATGTATAAAGAATCGGTGAATTCGTCGGAATTTTCAACATTGAATATGATGTTCATAAATTGCGATAGCGAAAATATACATAATGCAGTGACGAGAAACATGGCGTAAGTTTTATATATTATATGTTTAAATAATGACGTCCATGAAGACGGTTGCCAGCATCCAGCAATAGCACAGATTAGCAATGTAAATTTCAGCACACGCATTTGAGCTTTTCTGATGCAATTTTGTTTATCAATAGCTATTAATATTTATTAATTACATTAATTTTCATTTTATATTATCTTACCATAATTTTACGAAAATAAAGATTTATGTTAAAGATCAAATAAAACTGAAAAAATTTTTATTAAGAAAATATTATTTTTAATTATATTATTGTTTACAAGATAATAATTCATGCAATTCCATATAATGAATAATTATATAAAATGCATATTTATTAAAAATTAGTTGTGTTTTACTTGTGTTTATTTTCTAAATATTAAACTTTTCAATGTATATAATACACATTATGCTTACAAAACTCTTTTAATCCATTTGCATAATAAATTATTCGCTTTTGTATTTAGTTTTTTGTTAACAAACTAATTTAATTTAATAATTTTGATAAAATATTTGTTTAAACCCTTTTGCGCTTTAAATGACGTTGGATGTAGTTTATAGACGATAAGTTAATGGATATTGGAACAGAAAAGAACAGAGAAAATGTATCTATAGTCTCCCGATATGACTTTCTGATAATAGTACTGCTTATTGCATCCCATTATGTCTATCTCTATTTTATCTATCTTATTGTAATATTGATACATTTGTAGGAATCTCCTCAGTGTAATAATATTTTCATTAACCGCGGAGCGAAATTATTTCGAAATGTCTTATGAGAAAATTGTATAATGTACCATTATTTTCATGAGAAGAACGCGACAGAAGAAAATTATATTAAAAAAGAAATTTCTTGAAATAGATCTGCAAGAGAGAAATTCTTTGATATAATTCTCATTACATTTATGTGTATATGCGTATGTACGTCAAGACATTATATTTATTATTGTTCCTTAAATTTTATCAGATATTTTTTTGATATGGTATTAAATAACGAATCATTATAGATGTAATTTACTTCTATAATACTAGCCGAGACATTCGCTCTTGGATATTTCAATATTTTTATGATTATACTATTTATATGTACATATCGGAGTGTAGCGCATCGGTAAGATATTACATCTATTTCTTTGATTATAGTATCAACATTCTGCAGTATCTTATTTTGTCTTTTATCAAACATATGCAATGTAAAGAAATATTTCTAATTCTTAATATAAATGTACCTTCACAAGGGTCAACGAACAAATCATTTGTAATGCAAATTGAATTTCTTATCAATATCTTTATTATATGTATATGTTTGCCTTCTCTATAATAATTATTGCTACGTCTGACGTTATAATACAATAATTATCTAAAATACTCAAATAAAAAATTAATAATTTTAATAAATAAAATAAAATATTAGAAAATTTGAAATGTAAAAATAATATAGCTTTATTTGTTAAATTTTATATCATGAACGTTTCTGTTTAATAGCTCGTATTTGCTGCGATATCATTTAGAATTTGTTCTTACGCGTTGCAATTTTTAAATAATTAAGATAGTAATAAAAAACCTCTCGAAAGATTTATAGATTTTCTAAAAATTATTTAGTCATTTGAAAATGAGAGATAGAAAGAGAGATTAATATATTTATTTTTGCATTTTTTATACATAACATTTTCAAACGTGGTATTATAACAAATTAAACGTGAACAGTAACAGCTTCTGTTATTAATCACGTTATTATTCTTGCGTTTGATGCAGCAGATTGAAAATCGAATATGACATCTTAAGTAACTGTAAAAAAATCATGAATATATCTAACATTATTTCAAATATTTATAATCACATAGAAATAAAAATTAGTATTATCTTTAGTGATACTAACACCTACAAACGAATCCAGATTCATCGTTATTATATAAGCACTGCTAAATTGAATGGGAATCATCGCACGCTTCATAATTAACAAGAGACCCTTTTTGTTGCTATTACTAAGTGTCACCCACTCCATATCATAAATGTTATTTACCATTTGAAGACTCTACAAACAGAAATGTGTAACGTAATAAATTAAATATTATTTGCAGGATATGCCATATTTTTCGTAATGAAAAATATGATGTATTTTTCATTACTCTTGATCTATAATGAGTTAATTTGTTTTCATAATATTTTGCATTTATACGAGATTAATTTAAATAAGGTATATGTACTTTTAACTTGACTTCGTTTCCAAACCAGCAATATATGAAAATTTGCATTAATATAGCACTTGTATACATTATCAATGGAATGAAGCTCATGTAGTCTGTCGCCACAGCTATTCGATACATATTTGAGCATACTACCAACATGCTTACCGCGAACTGGATGGCGATTATTTTCGCAAATGTGTTGTTTATCGTATACGCATATCTGCGATTGAAAGATATTTAAGCGATATCTCCGAAAATAAATTCTGATGTTATCCACAAATCGAATTTATTTGTGTGTGCTTACGCTTTATTAGATTTAATAAATCTAATAAATTTAATTAGTTACAATTTAGATATAAAATATTTAATATATAATAATATTTAATATTACAGAAACAGTTGGAGAGGTAGCAATTTATAATTTCCGATGATATTGAAAAGCAAATGATTTTAAAGATTCTTTTATATTAAACACAATTAAAATTTAATTATTTTCTTAATATTTTAAAATAAAATTTTGACTTAAATTTTAATAAAAGAAGTTTTAGAATTTTAATAAAATAGTTCATTTTTCTTTATATTATTGCTATCTGTCCAACTACATATTATGAAAGACTTAGTTTAAGATTTATTATTAAACATTAATTGATTCAAAAATTAGTAAAAAGAGAAACAAATATTTATTGGCGATATCTTATATTTTTTGTTTATTTATTATAAGCGTTTTAATCATTTCTTTGCTACTTAAAAAGCAAATTATTACTCGCGTAATCCAAATATTCTTGCAACAATTTTGAAAAAATAGTTCAAGAAACTAACTCGAAAATAAGATTGTGATGACGAACACAGTCGCCTAAAATGTTTTGACCATGCATAAGTTTTGTCAATCGATACTCCAAAATTTCAAACTGACAGCAGATATGTAGCAAAAATCCGCAAATTAAACTCTCACAAGCAACGTTGACTATACCCGATGTTGACATGGCTATCATTTGATGGATGTATACAAGGAAGTATATTGCAGGCGATGAATAGTCGAATGGCAACCAAGTCTTATACGTCAGATTCCTTCTTATTAAATCTGTGGTGACAGACGTCGAAATTATCGACAAGATCGACATTGTAACCATGATTAAATACCGTCGTGTGGTTTCCCTAAAATGACGATAAAGACTTGTCAGTCACATTTTTTTATCAAATTAACTCATTTTCTCTCGCGGATTATTATTTATAAAAATTTCGAGTTTTTTATTTGTAAGAAATATTCTTATTTTTATTTGTAGAAATATTCTTTATCAATTTAATTTGAATTAAATTTTATTAGATATAGTTTTTTAATTATTTCTATCAAATTGTCACATAATACAGCACATATCATATAGACGAATTAATGCATTGTTATGAAATATTGAAGAATACGAGACAAAAACATTTTGCTTCTCTTAGAAAATTGATTAACAATGCATTTATGCGTAATCTGAAAATATGCTTAAGACGTACTTACTTTGACATTTTTTCGAATTTTTGTTGAATTTCTATCTCTCGTGTTTCATATGGTGCAAAAGGTTTCTCGATAAGAACATTTATCATCATTGTGATATTCTTGCGATCTATCCACATGTAAGCCTGTTTGTAGCCTGCTACTAATATTGTCAACATCATATACAAGCCATCGACAAATTCGTCAGAGTTACCAACGTTTAATATAATATCCACGCATTGAGACATCAGAAATGCGTACAATGAGGAAATTAGAAACGTTGCATAAGCTTTATAAATTATATGTTTAAACAACGATGTCCATGAAAGCGGCTGCCAGACTCCAGCGACCGCGCAGATTATAAGTGTAAAATTCAGCACATTCATTTGAACTTCTCTAATGCAATTTTATTCTATATATCAACTGCTATTAATATATTTATTAATTTTATTATATTTAGTATGTTCAAAATATCTTTCCCTTTTAATGATACAAGTTATATATTAAATATAATGAAAATCTAGCGAAACTCATTAAAAAATATTAATAAGAATTAGAATTCTATTTTACTATTTATGCATACGAAATATTTTCATCACAGATCATAATTTTAAATATATTTTACGTATTGTATAAATATATTTCACAAAATGTTGATTCAAATTTAATTAATTTTTTACAGATTCATATTTTTTAACGTTAAATTTTTTGACATATGATATGTCTTGCACTTATAAATTTCTTTAATTCACTTGTGTAAACTATTTGCATTTATAGTTAGTTCTCTATTGTCAAAGCAAATTTAAACTGTATAATTTTTAAAAGCATTATTTGTTCTTAAGTCTTTTGTCGTCCCTCAAATGACGACGGATAAGTTAATACTGGAAGAGAAAAATTTACTGAAAATGTCTATAGTCTCATGATGTGACTTTCTGATAATGATTTCGCATTCCTATGTATTTATATGTCTGTTTTTTTCTGTCTTACTATTTAATACTCGCATATATACGACTTGCAAAACTATCTCGCGTAATAATATTTTCATGAATTGAGATGCGAAAGTATTTCTCGAGATATATCTTATTAGAAAATTACATAATGTACCGTCATTTTCATGAAGACAGTGAGACAGAAAAAAATTATATAGAATAATAATTTTCTTGAAATAAATCATTGGCTTATTGAATATAAAGAATACTTTAATATAGCTTCTTTGTATATCAAAGTATTATATCTATATTATCCGTAATTTTGTCAGATACATATTTTTTTAATGTTAAGTAACGAAACATTAGCTTAGCTATAATTTATTTCGATGAAATCTTAATATCAGTAGTCCATACATTTGACATGTAGATATTTTTGTTATATGGCATATAGATTGGCGCATGTATGCCAGATACTATAACTACATTTTTTTTGTAATATCATATTTTTCTTAAATTTAATTTTCTTCTTATCGAACATGTGTTTGTAAATTTGAGCTTTTATAATATAATGTAAAACAAATCAATTTTTTCTCGTTGATATATTTATGTATTTTAAAAAAAGTCATTTTCCATACAGCACAAAATATTTTTAAAATCTTTTAAAAATATTTCTTAAAAAAATAAAATAATTCTCGAAAATATTTTTAAAATGTTTCTATGTCCGCTTTTTCATGTTTCAAAAATATTTTTGAATATAGATTTAAAGTAATATTTCAAAAATATGTATCAAATATTTAAGAAAATATTATCTGAGCGATAAAAAGAAGAACATTTTTAAAAGTTTTTTAAAAATATTCTAAAAAATGTTATCACAAAAAATTTTAAATCATTTTAAAATATTCCTAAAACTATTTTAAAATATTTTTATGCAATGTTTTATAGAAATATTTAGAAATATTTTTTGAAAACATTTATAATATTTTGTGCTATATGAATTATTCTTTTTTCTCTCTTACTTTTATTTTCATCTCGCGCTTGCTGTGTTGAGTTGTCGCAAAATTTTAGGGGACAATTTTTGGAAGGAAAATAGATCCATATTGATTCATTAACAGAAAACAAGTCCGACCTTTTTGTAAATGAGAGATAGAATTATTAAGATAATAATTATATATAAATTATTTAAATTATAATTAAGCAATTCTACTTACTTTTATTACCGGTACATATATATATATATATATATATATATATATATATATATATACGCTATCAAATCTTTATGCTGTAGTTTTTACTAATTTCTTAATTGGGATGATGTACACAATCACTTGCTGGCGATCTTGAAGAACGGATGTCGATGTAGAAGTAAACGTGCAACAGTAATTCTAAGATGAAGCAATCAAACATTGGAAAGGAGCATAAATATGGAATCTTTTATCTGGTGAGTAATAAAATGTACTTGATATAAGAGAGATTTTGCAATGATGTTAATTGCGCAATATTATGATTTCTTCGTGTGTAATGTTTTATTCATATTTGTGTATTTGTTAAAGTTGATAATTCCTGCTTAAATATTTTTTTAAAATAAAATAATAGAAATAATGCAACATTATGTGAAAATATTAAATCTCATATCTTGAAGAGTATTAAATATGTTGAAAATATTTTTAACGCATCAGTTCATATTAAATAAAAATTTTACGCACTACATTAAATTAATTATATACGATATATTTTTGTAATATAATATTATTAATAAATAGATATTAAGCTATACATATTGATCAATACCATTACCTTCGATGTGTTAATTATATAAATAACAGATTAAACATAAATAACAATTTCTAATTTTGTATTACATATTACTGTTTCTGCGATTTTATTAGTACATTAAAAAGCGAATATGACGTCTTGAGCACCTAAATAATTATATAATCAATGAGCATTATTAAATGTTTATTATGTGAAAAAAATTTTCTTATACGAACCATCACGAATGAGTCAAGATTCATTGACAACAAATTTGCGCTGGTAAATTCAATTGGTATTTTTGCACGATTCATGATCATTAAGAGACCCTTCCTTACATCGTTGTTAAGCGTTGTCCATTCTATATTATAAATATTATCCGACAATTGTATGCTCTATAAATAAAATCCCCTATATGTATATTATATGTTATGTATATTATATATGTGTGTTTCTTCTCTTTTCAAAGAGAGATTTTTCTTTCACGAATATATTATATTTATTGAGTAATTTTTTTCTATATTTAATACTGCAATTATTGGCTACAAAATTCAAATTAATTTCAAGTTACCTTCAGCTTGACTTCATTGCCAAACCAACAATAATAAAAAATCGGTGCCAGGGTGCAAGCTATAACCATGACATTCTCTATATAAGAAACTGTATCGGACGATGTCAAAGCCATATGAATTAAATTATAGCACATTACCACTATGATCATTATAAATTCGCTAGGAACTATCCTGGCAAACTTTTCATTCACCAAATATGAGTATCTAAAATTAGACCAAATATTTTTAATCGATTTTCTAAGTCATTTAATTGATATAAATCGTGACATATTCGATATATTTAAAGAATGAAGAAATTAATTACTTTTTATTTGAAAAATATTTACTAAGTTTTTGTAACCTTTAGAGGAGATTTTGAAAAGTACAAGTATATTATATATTCTACGTTGTATCTTACATAGAAAATAATAAAGTAGCTTAAACAAAAATTCATTTCTAATATAAAATTTTGAAGGCATACTAAGAAAAAATATGCGCATTGAATTAATTTATTATTTAGTGTCATGTATGAATGTTAAATAACTTGAAGAAAATTTGATCTGTGAAACAAAAATATTTTTCTCTTTTTTCTCATTGAAAAATAAAAATTTTTTCAAATTGCATAAAATTAATGGAAAAGTTCAATAAGATATATGTCGCATAATTAAAGGTATGTATATAATGTATTAGATTTAAGAGGACTTACTCAAATATACGTATATGATGATGCACGCAATCGCGCAAGGTTTCTGGATTATTCACGATGTTTGACAAGCGATGCTCTAAAATCTCGAGCTGACAACAAATGTATAATAATAATCCGCAAATAAAACTGTCACACGTGGGATGAACGAGACCGATAAATATTAAAGTCATTAGCTGATGAAAGTATGCAAAATAGTATAGCGCGGAGATTGAATAGTCAAACGGTATCCATGCTTTGTACAGTAATGTTCCAGTCTTGAAATCCGTGAACAATGAAAGCAAAATCATGTATAAAGAAGTTATCAGGACGAGGACTAAATAATATAATGAATTATTCCTATAAAATTAAGACTACGATGTTTATCTGTTTGGAAAACTATACATATTATTGGAGAAACATTGAACTTCTTTTTTTTTTAAGATAATTACATTGCTTACACCAAACACATTATTTACTTGCATACGTTTTAATCAGGGTTGGGTAATAACTAGTTAATTAGTTAAAAGTTAAAAAAAGTTAACAAGTTAATAACTTTTAACTTAGTTTTTAGTTAACTTTTTTTATTTCTGAATATCATTATTGTTTTAAGTTATAAACGTATTATTTTTAAATTAAAGTGTTATTAATTTTTATGTTCATTTGTCATCAATTGTAATTATCAAAAAATATATTTTTATATAAAAATCAAAATTTATTTGTTATTTATTATAAATTTTAAAAGAATCAACAAACAAAATTCTAATTTAATATAAATAATGTTTTCGAAAATTACCTTTTGATTTAACTTCAGTTAATTTAATCTTAATTTTTTATTTATGCAAAGCTTTCAACTTAACTAAATTAATTTTATAGGCAACTAACTTTAACTTAACTTATTTAAAAAAAATCACGAACTTACCCAACCCTGGTTTTAATTATACACAGTTTTTTTACTGGATGATAACAATAAAATGATACTTACGTAATTCTCTTGGTAAATTTCTCTAGAATCAAATTTTCGTGCAGATCGAACGGTTTGAACGGAGTTTCGGCAAAGCTATTAACTATCGTTTCAATACTGTCGTGACTTTTTCGTATAACAATTGTCTTGTAACACGCCAGGAGCGAAATTATAACGTTGAACAAGGCGTCGCCGAATGTGTCGGAGTCGTCGGCGTACAGCACGAGCTCCATAACTTGGGTGATGGCAAATGTGTATAATGTTAGAATTACTGTTAATGTGTAAACGTCATACATTATGTGTCTAAACGGCGACGTCCACGTGGTTGGTCGCCAGCATCCTGCGATCGCTAAAATCGTGAGCGAAAATTTCAACACAGGCATTTCGCTTTTCCTCTCAACATCCATTTGCCCAACATCAATAACTGTGTCGATATATTAACTTATTTACTATAAATTTTCATTATTATTATATATGATAACGTCTATCGATGATAGATCAATGGATGAAAATGTGTATGACAATTACGGGACTTTATAACAAGAAGTCATATTTTTTATAATAATTATAAAATAATTATATATAATAATTATAAAACAATTGTATATAATAATTATAAAATAATTATATATAATCATTTTAAAATAATTATATATAATAATTATAAAATAATTAATATTAAGGATAATTATAAAATAATTATCCTTAATTGCTTATCTTTTTATATAGTATATAATTTGTACTTATATAGTTTGTTACCTCCATATATATATTTATTAATTAAATTAAGTTAATAAAAGTTAAATTAATTTAATTAAATTAATCAAATACAAAAAGCTAGATATTTCTGAATAACAGTGAGAAGAATGAAAAAATATCGAAGTGCATTCCATATTATTACGCACACACAATGTTTTTTTTATGATATATGCATTTAAAATATTTCATTCTTTGTTTTGCACATTATTATAAACTTACGAAAATGTTCCGATCGAATTTGTTTGAGTAGTTTGTTGAATACTTTGAAAGATTTGGCTAAATGTTCGCTATACGACAAATCGAATGACGAGACGAGGGAACAATGTTTTAATGTCTATAGCCTCCCGGCTTGATATTAATGATATTATTTGTTCGATTCCCGTCTCTTTGTATAAAGTATCTTTGTTATTATCGCAATAACAGATTTGCACCGACATGTCTCTCGTGAAATAATATTCTGAATGAATCGGGAAATAACATTCTTTCCATATAATATCTTTATTACAAAATTGCATAATTGCCGTTATTTTCGCGAAGAAAAAAAGGAGAGAAGCTTGACATACAGTCAAGTACACGGAAAATAAATTCTTGAAGTGGTCATTAATAAATCAGTAGTCTCGAACAATTTCCAAGCTACTTTGGTCCAGTTTTATTTTATTATACGTCCATTATAAAATATCTTATTTATTCGCAATGTTTCGTAACTACTCTACGAATGTACGAAAAAAATGTAATCGTCAAATATTTATAAATCAGCTGTAGTAGACATTTATGTAAAATCTTAATACAAAGTTAGTCCATAGACTCGGTTATAAGCTGTTGTCATTATTTTCTAGGGGCATACTATTTATGATATTGGGATTTTATTAAGATGCACTTATTGATTCTTGGATCTATCATCTCATTGTATGTATAGAGAACAAAAGAGAGGTATTTTAATTTTTGTGTGTTCTGCAAATCTATGGTTTTTTAATGCGAAGAATATTAATCGATTAATATGTTTTTTTAATTGTCATTTAATATTAATTATATATTCATATGTAAGAATTTTACAAATTAAATTATGAATACTCATTTCCAGTTTTTTAATAATTCTGCGTTTGTGCACTGGAAAAAAAAATTTGTTATATTACAAAAAAATTCTGTTCGAAAATCGACGAAATAGAATTCTGGTCGATTTAACCAGTAATCCTGTTTCGTCGATTTTTGAACAGAATTTTTGTTAATACAATAAAAATTTTTTCCAGTGTATTAATAAATTGCAGATCGAGTGAGACATCTAAATAAGTATCTGTAAAAATTATACAGATGGGTTTGTAAAACTTATTTAAGTATACCCAATATTTAATTATACATTTATTACGCAAAATAGCTAGTAATAATGTAACGAATAAAGGTTTTTACCATTATGAAAAAGTTGAGATTCATCGAGATATATGAACACTGGTAAATTCGATGTGTATTGAACGATGCAAAGAACGATTTATAATTGTCAGAATTTCCTTTTTCGTTGCTAACAAGTGTTGCTAAATGCCGATCATATTGTAAATACTGCCCAACAATTGCAGACTCTATAAAATAAAAATGCAGTAAATTTATATATTATTAATAAAATTATTGTATTTCATGTGTATATACATGTGTGTGTGTGTGTGTGTGTGTGCAAACGCGCGTGTGTGTGTGCGCGTGCGTGTGTGTGTGTGCGTGTGTGTGTCCTATCGGAACATATTAATCTTCTTTTGAAGAAAAAATGTTCTGTTATGCAATGTTACAATTTACTAATGTTATATTTATATTTATTAATTATATTTATATAATAAATAATTAATAATTATATAATATAATTAACTAATTTTCTTACTAAAGACGAATTCTTATTACCGATAAATGTCATAAATATCACACTTCTCTTTTATCATTTTATCAAACTTCTCTTGAATGATTTTTTTTTGTTTATATTTAACGATGCAAAATGGTTTTTAACAAAAAATCGATTATTGCAACAATTTTACGACTTAGTCTCATATTAATAGTTTTGTTACACGCCACACAATTGATAGCATATATAAAGTTTCAATAAATTTGTCAAAAATACTGACGTTCTAAATATAAAATTTAAGAAATTGCATTTAATAATAGAAATTTGCTTGCACAATTTTCTTTTGTGTAAATCTCGTAATAATTGTAATCTGTTAATTATTTTGTAAATCTTACAAATCATTGAAAATATCTATAAGTTGCATGATAATTTAAAAAATTGTTTTATTATACACAATTGTTTATTAAAGTTTTCCTTATATAAAATAAAAATAGTTTACGTTTTATTAAAAATTATTTACAATATTTTTACACCAAATCATGTAAAAAAGATTTTGCATTAATAAATCGTTATTGTTATTTTATTGCAATATATTACTGTGCTTTAAAATATAATAATATTTCGTAATATAATTTATATTAAGTTTACAAAAAATTATAAAATTTCCCAAATTAGCTCTCGTTTAAAAAAATTCAAAGGTAAATTTACAAAATCAGAAGACATAACTTTTTCGCGTCGGATAAATTTCATAAAACTTATTGCAAAATAACTGTATTTATTGCAATAAGAAATATGCAACGATATAATATTTTTTGCAATTTTTATTACAAAATTACCTAATGCTCTATTTACAATGTCAGATGTGTGATATAATAAGAAATACATTTGTATAAATTAACAAAATTCTTTCAATCGATACATTTTGATTTATGTAAACTGTTTTCAATTTTAGAATAGCTTTCTTATTATACATATACTATCATACAATTACAAAATATTTTATTTATTATTATGTGTTTATACTTTTATATATAATAAATAATAAGTATGTAGGAAAATGATATTTTTGGGAGGATCTTGATAATGAAGACTTCATAAATCTTCTCTCATAAATTTTTATTCTCAACACTTGACATATTCATATATTTTCATTAAAATACTTTATTTTTGTCATATAGTCTATGACTTGGTAAGATATCATCGAACACTTTGTTCTATATATTGATTTTTCTATTGTCAATTTTTCTATAGTTATTCTACAAGGAATATATAAACAGAAAGGAGAAATTATTTAAACCCTTATAAGTAAGCTACTAACACATATATTGAAATATAGGAAAAAGGGGTTGCAGATCTTTCTTATTTGACATGTCTTTTTTTAGATTTACGCAATTAAACAAGTATAATTTTCACGTGAATCGTCATTACTTAGAGATTAACTTTTATATACTATATAAATAAAAATATATTTTATCTTTGTTCTATTATCTTATTTTCTGAAACTATTATTTATAAATAAATATCGAATTATGTGAATTGTACTTTTCTGCAGATATTGCTTTTGTTAATAAATTATTATGTTTCTTATTGATGATATTATAGCACTATATTATAAAATATTATAAAAAATCATTATATTAAAGAATAATTATCGTGTGGATATAAAAGCTCAATAGATGCTATTGTTATTAATTTATTGCACTAATTTATACAGATAACTTATTTACCAAAATATGCATCCAAGATAGAGGCTAGATTACGTGTGTATGTATTATTTCTCTTGCATTTGTATTAATAAATTATAAACGGAATATGATAATTTAAGCAACTAGAATAATAAAACATGATAAAGATAAGAGACATATTTCATTAGCTAAGTCAACTACAAGCACACATAATATGACAAAATTCTATACTAACCGATACAAAAGAGTTTAAATTCAAGCTAATGACATGTGCACTAACAAACTCGATAGGTATCGTCGCACGTTGTATAATCATTATAAGATCTTTCTTAATGCTATTTTTTAGTATTGGCCATTCCATTTGATAAATCATATCTGCTAGTTTCACACTCTATAAATCAATATACAATTTTTTCTCTTTGTTGTGAGCATTGTAATTGGTGTAAAATATTTTTTATTATATTAATAGGACCGCTTATGTAATCTGTTTATTTATAATGCACGACTTAAAAATGGATAAAAAATAATAAAATAATATTAAAGCGTTACGACAAAATGTTCAATTAAAATATCTCGTATGTTTTTTGCATAAAAAAAGCTTAAAATAATTAATTTTATATGTTAGATATGTACCTTTGTTTTGACTTTATGTCCGAACCAGCAATAAATAAATATTTGTGTCAGCATGCAACATGTATATACGACTAATGAAATACTTTCTGCGCTCAGTGACAATTTGCTAAGTTGAAATAAATTGGAGCATATTATCAATGTACTCGTCATAAATTGGAATCCGATTATTTGCGAGAATCTTGTGTTTATTAAAGACGCAAACCTACAATAGAATTTTTATTCTTGTGATAATAAAATAATTAAACCAAAAAGCAGGCACATTTAAAATATCTCACAAAAATAAAATAACAAACGTTTTTTTTCAACAATTATTATTAGAAAATAACTCACTCAAATATACTGTTGTGATGTTGTATACAGTAATTCAGAATATTTTGATCTGTCATGAGCTTTTTTAAACGATACTCCAAGATTTCGATTTGACAGCACACATGCATTAAGAGACCGCATATAAGAGTATCGCAGGCTACATTTACAGTAGCGCAATAGAATGTACTTAGAAACTGATGAGCGTACATGATACAAAATACCATGTAAGACGAATAATCATATATTACATACGATCTGTATGTTAATCTTCTATGCCTGAAATCGGCGAGCAATGACGTCAAGCCGGTACATGACCATGATGTCTCAATTAGGATCGTATAACGTAACGTGTTCATTCTAAAAAAATAATTAAAAATATATTTATATAACTATATATGTATATTTCTGTCAATTTCCAGGTAACTTTTATATAAAGAATTTTTTGATATATATTTTTCCTATATAAGAAATTTTTAATGTTAATAATAAATTAAATACAGCGTATACTCTTGTATAAAACAATATAAAAATTCTACTTACGGTTACATTCGTATCTTAAATCTCAAGTAATAAAATTAAATGTTGAAATTAAGATACATATATATAAAAGATTAAATGGTTAAATTGTTCTTTTAAAAATGTAATACCATTTGCAACTTAATTAAAATACAGATATAAAAAGAAATTATTCTTAAATAAAGATTTGAATATTATATTTAATGAAAATCACCGACCGTATTAGTTTATCATATTTCTGGCGAATTTCCAGCTCGCCTAAATCCTGTGGTTTAAATGGCTGTTCATTAAGTTTGTTGATTAATATTGCGACGTTCGTATAATTAATCCACATAATCAGCAATTTATATCCCGAAACAGATACATTCAACATCATGTACAAATTATCAGTAAAGTCGTCGGGATTATCAACATTGAAAACAATATCCAAAAATTGTAGAAATACAAAAGTATATAAAAGGGTAATTATAAATGATCTGTAGAGATTATAAATAACACGTTTAAACAATGACGTCCACGATAGCGGTCGAAAGCATCCAACAAACGTAACAATAGAAAATGTCAAATTTAAAACATGCATTTTTTAATTGGTGTGGTTTAAGAAAATACATTCAATTGTATTTTTGTTTTATGTGACGGCGTTAACTTTGATACTGTTTAAGTAAATTTGAAAATCTTCAAACAAATATTTATTATTCTCGAGAACACTTTAGTTAGGTAGAATCTTATATTGTACGAAAAGTATGCGAAATCAGGTAGCACAATCTCAAAAGATGGTACACTTAAGACTGTCTGATAACAAGTGATATTATTTTCCGACTAAAAGAGAATGTTTTCGTTAGCAGTTTTTTTTCTCTTCTGCATATTTTATATCTATCTATCTATCATCATAACGTCAATAATAATCTACAGTAATTTACAGTAATCTATAGTAATACTGTCTCTACATAATTCTGATGTCCATTAACTGAAAGATTTATTTCGAGATGTAATTTTTATGTAGTATTATCATAAGAATAAAATTATATATTACAGAGAGAGAGGAAAAAAAATTAATTCAATGCAAAAAAAGGGAATATTTAATCAATAAGCTACGAGATTCGAATTATCTCTACAATTGTATATTATTTTATTCATATATCGATGAAGAAATATTTCATTTATTGTCATTTTTATTTTTACTTTTTTTTAATCTTTGTTTTTATCGAGAAGTCTTTACAATCATCGTACGTTTTTACGCAAAATGAAGAGATGGAGAAAAATTGTATGACAGATAGGTACACATTTAGAAGACTGAAGTGAAACATGCAGGATAATTCAAATGACTGTGTGTATCTTATGATCTACAGCTAAAAATAATAATAGTGAGAAAAAGTAAAGAAGACTTAATTATGACGTTTTGTTTTTTGCAGGTACAGTGATTTAATTAGGTACACTTTTATATTTTTATAATTATCTGTATGATTTTTTACGTTTCTCTCTCAGGCATTCTACATTTAAAAGTGTAAAGATAAAATTATTGGAAGTGTTGCATATCATTGTCTATTTTTATTTTATTATGTCTACTTATTGTAATATCGATACATTTGTAGGAATGTCTCTTAGTGTAATATTTTTATGAATTACGAAGCGAAATTGTTTCGAGATGTCTGATGAAAAAATTGTATATGTGCTATTATTTTCATGAGAAGAACGCGACAGAAGAAAATTATAAAAAAAAAATTCTTGAAATAAATCTGCAAGTACAAGAAATTCTTTGATATAATTTTTTAATTTCTCATTGCATTTATGTGTATATTTGTACAAGATATTATATTTATTATTGTTCCTTAAATTTTGTCTGATGTTTTTTAAATATAATATTAAATAACGAATCTCAGATGTAATTTACTTCTAAATACTTTTATAATATTAGCCTTGTTACAACCACGGTTTTTATAAAATAACTAATATTTTCTTTCTCTCTCTCTCTTTAAGATTCGGATTATTTATAAAAATGTTGAGCTTTTTATTTATAAGTAAAAATATTCTTCTTTATTTTTAATTTAAATAAAATTTTTAGATATAATTTTAATTATTTTTATCACATAATACAGCATATATTATGCAGACGAATTAATTCATTGTTATAAAACATTGAAGAATACAAGAAAAACATTTTGCTTCTTAGAAAATTTATTAACAATACTGCATTTATGCTTAATCTTTTCTCAAGACATTTTCTTTATTGTTTCGCTTATAAAAATATTAAGTAAAATACTTTTTCATGAATATTCTTTAAAATATTGTATTCTCTTTTCATTGAAAAAAATTGTCAGAATATACATATATATTAGCAATTGAACAATTTAAACTTAATATATGTAAAAAAAATTGTTAACTTGATATTGCATAATTGAATTAAATATATTTTTTATGTATTGATCTGCATACTTAAGAAGTATTTAAAAAATGTCGAAACTGACCGCCAATTGAGAAATAATTTCATCAGTAGAGAAAAATTTCTAAGACAAACTTAAAAATTTTGCTATGCGAAAAAGTTTCTCTGTTAAAGCTTTTAAGCTCTCCAACATGAGTATATACGAGGGCAGTCCGATAAGTACTTAGCCTCATCGCCCGATGGTGCCAGTATCGCAAGAGAGTTTTACTATCGTGTAGTACATTCTCGTAGACGGCTACTGTCAAAATTTCAGCCGAATCGGACTCGTAGTTTTTTTTTGACCGCGTGTGGAAGCGAGCGTGTCCGCGGATTTTAGAAAAATGGAAAAAGAGTAATATCGGTCGGTGATTTGATTCTTGTTTTTGGAAGGGAAATCGCGCAGCAAAATCAAAGATGTCGAAATGAATAATCTTTGATTTCGCTGCGCGATTTCCCTTCCAAAAACAAGAATCGAATCACCGACCGATATTGCTCTTTTTCCATTTTTCTAAAATCCGCGGACACGTCCGCTTCCACACGCGGTCAAAACAAAACTACGAGTCCGATTCGGCTGAAATTTTGACAGTAGCCGTCTACGAGAATGTACTACACGATAGTAAAACTCTCTTGCGATACTGGCACCATCGGGCGATGAGGCTAAGTACTTATCGGACTGCCCTCGTAAGTCTGTTTGGCGTGAATTTCTTTTTTTCTCGGACTACTGTCGATACTTTAAGATATTTAAAATAAGGGTGTTTGTTCATTGATTACAATACAAATTCGCCACCTGTACGATAAAAATAGCTTGCAATTTATAAAAAGAAATTCTTCAAATTCCGTAAGCTAAAAATAACTTATGATATATAAAAAGAAATTCTTCAAATTCCGTAAGCTAAAAATAGCTTATGATATATAAAAAGAAATTCTTCAAATTCCGTAAGCTAAAAATAGCTTATGATATATAAAAAGAAATTCTTCAAATTCCGTAAGCTAAAAATAGCTTATGATATATAAAAAGAAATTCTTCAAATTCCATAAGCTATTATTTTAGTGTACACATGATAATCGTATTGAATGTATGAGTACACACATACGAACACCCTTATTTAAAAAATTTTAAAGTTTCGACAGCAGTTCCGAGGTTGAAAGAGAATCGCGCCGAGCGGACTTATATACTCATGTTGGAGAGATTTCACATGCGAGAAAGTTTCCCGATAGCGCTTTGTGCTCCATCTGGCAATATAAGCCCGCACTGCGCGATCGGTGCGACCCCTCTCGTGAGAAGTCGCTCTTTTCGCAAATTTATAGTTAGTTCTTCTCCCGGTTACTCCTATATATGAAATTCTTTTTTAATTTTTTGTTCATTCATTCTTTGAACAATCACGTGTATACTAAAAATAGCTTATGGAATTTGAAGAATTTCTTTTTATAGATCGTAAGCATTGAATGAATGAAAACACTTGATTCAATAGGTATACATAGAAAAATGATTTAAAGCGCTGCGCTAACGGGAAACTTTCTCGCATGTAAAAATAAAAAATCATTTAATTCAATTAGGAAGAAAATAGTATTTGTATGTTAGCAGATTTGAGAGAGAATAAGAATTAATTAACAAAGTGAATTTTTAAAAAATATGGTTATAGCTCAATAATCGTTAATATTTTTGGAGAGAGACCTCACACACTGACAAGATTCTCTTTTGATATATATATTTGATATTAAAAGATAGGTATTAAAATGATTTATTTATTTGCACATAAAAAATTACGTTATATATTATATGTTATATTTAATTTAAATTATTTAATTAACAAAAATATTATTTAGTTGAAAGGTTTAATTAACAATTTTTTCAGTTCAGATATACATATACATTAATAAATAGATATGTATATATTTTTTAAACACATTAAAATTAATCTCAACAATTTTTGTGATTATTATTATTAAAACACTACGTTTTATGCATGTTATTAAATAAAAAACCGCGTTTATTTTATACTTATCTCTATTATTACTTTTATTCTTCTTATGCTTGTACTAATAAGTTACAAGCGGAATACGATGTTTTAAGCAACTGAAATAATAAAAAATATTTTTGATTTTTATAAGTATACTCTCATATTTATGTTATAAACACACCAACATAATAATGCATTTATATAAAATTTATTTACTGTGCATTTAAGTTAAATTTATTTACTAAAGCAGTTGTTTTATTATTCAAATATAATGAAGTAAAACAGTGAAATTTTATTAGTCTAAATTCGATTATACATATTATTCTGTACTAACCACTACGAAAGATTCCAAATTCAAGGTGATGATATGTATGGTAGACATTTCGATGGGTACTGTTGAACGTTTCATTACTAACAACAGGTCTTTTTTAACATTATTATTCAAGATTGGCCAATCTATTTGAAAAATTTTATCCGCGAATTCAGTACTCTGTAGATAAAAATATAAAAACGTTTTATATAGTATCTAACAATTCTTATTTTATTAGGCATACCTTTATTTTCACTTTGTTTCCAAACCAGCAATAGATAAATATCTGCGTCAACATGCAACATGTGTACATAATTAATTGAACACTATCAGCGTTTAAAGGCGACTTGGTCAGTTGATACAAATTAGAGCAAATTACCATCATGCTTGCCGTAAACTGAAATCCGATTATATGTGTAAACCTTGTATTCACCAATCGCGCAAACCTGTAATCCATTTCGTTTTTAGAATGCCCTTTATCAATTATTTGATATATGTGTATTATAAATAATAATAAATTTTATTATTATTTGTTGCAATTTTCCAAAGTATAAATAAAATGATAAAATATCTAACTGGAAATTTTTAATATCTTAATAGAAAAATTATTTTAAATTTTAATTTAAAGTATTAATATAATCTAATAAATTATATATAATAAGCGATAATGATAGAAGTCGATAATTCGTATTTTTAAGAAATTTATATATTATTTGTAATTTTAAAAATTACATATAAAACTTTATATTGTATGTATACTTTTTTCTTTATAATTACGATTAGAAAAAAATATAACTTCTATATGTTATATATTATATATTATATAGTATGTATTATATATTTTATATTATATATTATATATTATATATTTTATATTATATTATATATTATATATTATTTTATATATAAATAATTATCATATATGATAACAATGTTAACTGATAAATAATTTTTCGGGTTTTAATGTAATATAACTAACTCATAAATCCAGTTGTGATGGCGCACGCAGTAGCTCAAACTAATTTGATTTCTCACGAGTTTCTGCAAGCGATATTCTAAAATTGCGATCTGGCAACACACATGCATTAAAAACCCGCATATAAGAGTATCGCAAGCGACGTTCACGGTAGCAGTGTGAAAAGTAGTGGACATTTGTTGGGCGTATGTAAAACAAAACGCTAAGAAAGACGAATAATTATAAGGCACCCATTCTCTGTATGTCAATTTCCTATGTTTAAAATCAGTGAACAATGATGACACAGCGATGAACGAGCATGTCGATTCGATCAAGGCTATGTAACGTAACGTATTATTTCTAGAAAGTTGAAAAAAGATTATTATATCAATTATAGTTTTAATAAGAACTTTGATATAAATAATTTAAAATAATTTTTAAAAATTTATATATTTATTATTTAAAATGTTTATTTGCATTTTCTCGTATATCTCAGATTTTGATTGGTATAAGACAAATGTTTAAAAGAGAATTATAACGTTAAATATATTTTTAAAGGTACAATTACAATTGAGACAATAATTCAAAAGATGAAAATATATTAAACAGGAGATTATATAAACATTACTTTTAAATTATAATTAAATATAACAAAATATATTTACCGTATTAGTCGATCAAATTGCTGTCGAATTTCTATTTCACCCGAATCCAAGGGTTTGAACGGTTCTTCCGTAAGATAATTAATTAAAGTTGAAACTTTGTCATAATTGAACCACATGATCAATATTTTATAGCATGCAGCAGATGATGTTAACAGCATATTCAAAGTGTCAGTAATTTCATCAGCATTATTAGCGTTTAGAACAATGTCCAAAAATTGTAACAGTGAGAAAAGAAATAGCATGCTAATTACGTATAATCTGTAGATATTGTAAACTGTTCGTTTAAACGAAGATGTCCACGATTGCGGTCGAAAACATCCAGCGACCATAACAATTGCACATGTTAATTTCATAGCTTGCATTTTTCAATTTTAATTTAATTAAGAGATATATACACAATCGCGTATTTTATAATAATCTTTAAACAAAATATTTTACAATAAAATTTTTAGTCAACAGAATTTTTATTGCACGAAAAGTGAGATCAGGTAGCATAATCTGAAAAGAGGGTACACTCACAAGACTGTCTGTAGACTATAGTGATGCTATTTTCCAATTATAAAGGTAATTTTTTCGTCGGCAACATTTTTTCTTTTCTCTTCTACATATTTTATTGTATTTATCTATCTTTATCTATTTAACATTTGTATAATATTTGTCTTTAAGATAATTCTTATGTCCATTAACTGAATCATTTACTTCGATATTTAATTTTTATGTAGTATTTTTATATATCTTACCTTTACATAAGAATGAAATTATATCTTACAGAGAGAGAAAAAAATTATTTCAACGGAAAAAAAGAGAATATTTAATCAGTAAAATACAATATTCGAATTATCTCCATGATTGTATGTCATTATATATTAATCGATATCGATGACGAGATATTTCATTTACTGTTATCGTTACTTTTACTTTATTATGTTTCTCTAGTCATTACAGTCATCTTCCGTTTTTACGCAAAATAAAGAGATGGAGAAAAGTCGTATGACGAAAAATTGAACGCATAGAAAACTGAAGTGAAACATGCAGGATAATTCAAACGACTATATATCTCTCTTATGATTTATAACTCAAAATAATAATAGTGAGAAAAAGTAAAAAAAGTTTAATTATGCCCGACTTCTAATGCGATTTTATTTTTCGCAGGTACAGTGATTCAATTGCACTTCTATTTTCAATCCACATGATTTTTTACGTTCCTCCCTTAGGCAATCTACATTTAAAAGTGTAAAGATAAAATTATCGAAAAATGAATGTGAATATTATTTCGTATTGCATATTCCGACATACTTTTGTGCATAAAATAAAAAATGAACGCGCACAGCTGTTAATACTACTTTCTGTCATTTTTATATTTGATCGTGTAATACAGAAATTTGTGTCATAATATTTTTTTAATAGTTATTGAAACTATTATATTAAAATTATAATAGTGCATATCTGTACACGTATTATTAATGTGTTTAACAAAATGGTTATTTATACTAGAAACAACTTGTAATTTACAATATGTGATGTTTTAAGCCAATGTGAAAATAATCGTAAATATATAAAAAATCATGCAAAATCTTTGAAAGTCCATAATCAAAATTTCTAAAAATGGTAGTAATTTAATCAATCAAAATTTCTAAGTTGCTGTATATTGCAATCTATGATTTTTGATCGTTTTAAATGTTGCTCATTATAATATACTGTGACACAAAATTATTTCAGAAAGCATTTTTATTTAATACAAGTTAACTGCGCGATGATTAGATAATATTGTATATTTGATTATGCAGGCGTTTAATAATATTACATACTTACTGTCAACTTAATTTGATCTCCAAATCAGCAGTAAATAAAAATTTGTGCAAGTATGCAAGACATATGTATATGTGATTAATGAAATTTGATATTATATATTCTTATTTTACCGCATATAATGCTTTGTTATTAATATATAAAACATTTAGAAAATATATAATAGTATTATATTATCTTATTCTTGTAATTTCGTACACTTTTATAACTACTTTTTAAAGTATATTTTATTACTATAATAATTTTAATTTGCCAGTCATTTATACTATTAATATATTATATTTAGCATATATTGCAATTTTCTTTATGTTGATTTTATACCCGTTGCAACAATGTGTATGCAGAATACGACGTTTTAAGTAACTGCAATAAGTATAAGTCTACTTAAAATTGTTTTAAAAATATTTTTATATAGTCATAAAAAATCAAATAATCAATTTTTTCTGTAATAATAGAATGCAATGACTTAAAATCTTTTTATATTTAATTAAATTATTATTGTTAAATGCAAATGTATGTTAAGTATGTGCGAGTCTTATATAAAATGAAAGGAAAAAAAATAACGAGAGATGTTTTATCAACTAAAAATCAAAGATTTTATAAATTTTCAGTACTAACCCCTACAAACGATTCGAGATTCATAGAAAAGATATAGGCACTGGTAAACTCGATGGGTATCATTGCTCGATTCATAATCATTACAAGAGTTTTCTTGAAGGTATTGTTCAGTTTTGGCCAATTTATTTCAAAAATACGATCGGTCAGTTGAAGACTCTACAAATATAAGAAAACGATAAGACAATCCTGCGTATTATATTATTATAATTAATCAATATAAACTGTCTAAAAAATTATTATATTATTCTTTTATAACATATTAATTACCCATACAGCACAAAATATTATAAATGTTTTCAAAAAATATTTTTAAATATTTCTATAAAATATTGCATAAAAATATTTTAAAATAGTTTTAAATATTTTAAAATAATCTAAAATTTTTTGTAATAACATTTTTTTAATATTTAAAAAAATTTTTTAAACTATTTTTAAAAATGTTCTTTATTGCTCAGATAATATTTTCTTAAATATTTGATACATATTTTTGAAATATTACTTTAAATCTATATTCAAAAATATTTTTTAAACATGAAAAAGCGGACATAGAAACATTTCAAAAATATTTTGAGAATTATTTCATCTTTTAAGAAATATTTTTAAAAGATTTTAAAAATATATTATTAAAAGATTTTAAAAATATTTTGTGCTGTATGAGTATATATTATACTTTTGTAAAATATTAAGTATACATTACTATACTTATATGTATATACCTTTAATTTGACTTCATTTCCAAACCAACAGTAGATGAAAATTTCTGTCAGCATGCAGACTGTATATAATACTAGTGGAAGATATTCTGCGCTCAAGGCTGTCTGGGCCAGTTGATATAAATTGGAACATATCACTAGCGTGCTGGTTATGAATTGTACAGCAATTATCTTTGCAAATCTCTCGTTTACGACAGAGGCAAAGCTGCAATTTAGTAAATAAGCTGTATTTCGAAAAATATATAATAAGTATATCGAAAAATAATTTTACTTTTTTATCTGAAACATATATATTTATCCAATGCGTTCAGCTTTCTATATATTTATTTTCGACAGTTTATAATTTTCTCAATACACGCACTAATAATAAAAAATATTTATTTTCAAGGAAGTTGACCGCAATAATTGATACGTGAATTTCGGAAAATAAATGATATTATAAATAACGTTCGAAACGTAATAATTAATTTACAAGATAATTTTCGAGGTTGAAAGGAATTAGAAAAATTGAAAGGATTATAAATTAAAACATAGCATAATCTTTGCTCATATGCTTCGCTTACGAAACTAACTCAAATATAAGGTCGTGGTGACGTACGCAATCGCGCAAGGTCTTTCGAGTATGTGACCTGTTGTTCAGCCGGTATTCCAATATCTCGATCTGACAGCAAATGTGCAGCAGGAGTCCGCAGATGAAACAGTCGCAAGCGACGTTGGTCAGGCCGCTCATTGTTAAACTCGTCAATTGATGAGCATACGTCAGGTAGAATAACACGGGAGACGAGTAATTGAATGGCACCCATGCCGTGTACGTAAGGTCCCCGTTTCGAAAGTTCGTAAATAGGGAAGTCAGAGTTATGCACACGCACGTAAACCCGACCAGGACGAAGCAGTATAAAGTGTTGTTACTGTAAAATAAATGTTGAAATTTTCATTCATTCTTAAATGCGTAATTGTCATGATTTATTTTGACATTATTTACTGACAAATTGTTACTTTTTCAGCTAGATTTTTTCGAGTGTTATTATATTAGCTACATTATAAAATAAGTTTTTTTTTTATATAAAACTATATTTGTGTATATAAAATTTCTTTTATATAGAAATATATTTATATTTATTTTATTTAATAATGTTATATAAAAAATGTAATTAAAATTATATTTACTGTATCATTCTGTCGAAATTTTGGCGAATCTTTATTTCGTCAGTTACCATCGGTTTAAACGGTTTGTCGATAAGAGTATTGATAATATCCGATACGCTCTTACGATTCATCAACATATTAGATAGTTTAAAGGACGCGACGAACACAGTCATCATTATATATATAACGCTAGTAAATTCCTCGGGATTGCCAACGTTTAGAACAATGTCCATGAATTGGGTAAATGTGAACGTATACAATAGAAGGACCAGAATCATCGTATAAATGTTGTAGAGTGTGTACTTGTACAAAAATGTCCACGACTCTGGTTGCCGACATCCGGTGATCGCCAAAAGTACGAGCGAGAATTTTAATAAGTCCTTTTTAGCTCTATCTTCGGCTTTATCGTGCCGAATAATGTCAAATTTCTTCTCAACATTAGAATCATTGGAAATTAACATTTTTCGGAAATAACTGTTACCCATTTTAGGTGCAAAAGAAGAAAATTTTTTTATAAAGTTGTGAGTTGATTCTTTTTATTCACAACGGTGATATTTAATTTAAAAACTATGAAAAAAAAAACGAAAATTTGTTATAGCTTATAAGAGATTAAAAATCATGCACATATAAATTTAAAAGTTTTATAAAAAAATAGTATAAACAAATTTTGATCGCGTGTTAAATAATAACGAACAATATTTTCCACAAGACTGGTCACTTTAGGACTTCTATAGACTATCTATAGACGACATTTTCCGTCCCTATCCGATTATTATGTAATTATCGTAATATAGAAATTAGTAATATTATACTTACTGAAAGAAAGTTTTTTTCAGATTAAATCGTCGATAGAAATTTTTATCGAATATAAATTTTATGCGGTACTCTGTTCTCGATGTAAAAGAACGAAATTTATATACATAGAGATAAATATAATATACAATTATATATATGACAGAGGCTAGATGCATTTCTATTTAGCTTATAGACCACCGTCGATTATCTGTTTCCATGCAATCTTGATAAAGGTAATTTATTATATCTGCTAAAAAATGTTTTATTTCAGTGTTACTGATATTGCTTTCTATACTGCTGCAGGTCACAATCTATTCTGCTTCTATATTCACATTTATTTCTAGATTTTGTAAGAAAAAATAAATATAAACAGATAATGCATATATATATATACATATAAAATGCATATTTAATAAAATATTTTTAGAAAAATGTATTTACATTTTGGCACTTGTCATGATAAAAATATTTCGTATTTCTTGGTATTTGCTTATATCTATAAATTTGTATTATTTAGTATTTATTCACATTATATTAATTTGCAAATTTTTTGGAAATGTATTTTTTAATTACGTTGCACCGATATCTGATTGAATATAAATGCAATCTAACTATTTGATCAATATATCTTTGATTACAGCCATCGTATATGGATTGCATTCTTTTTGGATTTTAAAGGAATCGCAGATAGCGTTTTAGTAAAAAATGTAAGTAAAAAATATAATGCAAAAAAAACAGATTATTAATATTTTTTTATTTGTAATATATGATACGCAAGAGACTACAAATCCACTATTGTAGATTTTCAAGCTTGCATTCAATATTTTTTAACACGCACTGCGTGTTCACATTTCAAATACTATTAGTACATATGTCCCTCTCTTTCTCTTTCTTTAAGGATATAATTTTTTCTACATATGTTGAAGTATGTTATATGCCGAATACGATGTCTTCATCAACTGGAAAAGATGCCAATTTTTATATATTGCTATTAAACACAATTTATTATATAATCATAAAAATAATTAATTTCTGACCTTTACAAAAGAATCTAGGTTTACTGTAAGAATATACGCACAAGAAAATTCAATGGGTATCAGAGAGCGATTCATAATGATTATAAGACCATCTTTCATTTTCTTGTCTGTATTTATCCAGTCCATTCCGAAAATCTCTTGAGATAATTGAATGCTCTGTAATGAAAGTTGTCAGACAAACATAAATCAATGCATAATAGAGAGTAATTTTTTTATTATAGCTATACAAACTAATATTTTACTATTATGTATAATATTAACATATATAATATTATATAACATTTAAAAAATTATTTTCAATAATTAACAATAATCTTTAACATTCTAGAATTTTACTATTACACATAATCATCTTGACGAAAAATGTTAAATGCATATTATGTTTATTTACACGATTATCTATTTAATAAATATACCTTTAGTCTTACTTCGTTTCCGTACCAACAATAAATAAGAATTTGTAAAGCCATACAGAATGTATAGAGTATCAGTGGAATATATGCTGCGCTTAACGTCGTTTTTGCCAGTAGAAACAAACTGGAGCATACCACTAGCATGCTCACTGTGAACTGAATCCCAATTATAAACCTGAAGTTTTCGTTTACCACACGTGCAAATCTATGAAAAAATTATTAATTCATTTTTTAATAATTATTAATAAATTTTAATTAATATTACAAAACTTTAAGATCTAAATAATAAGTGATCAAATTAAATAATGCTGTCTCGACTAATATATAATTACTATCTTGAAATCAAGTATGCAATTTAAATGTATAAAAATATTGTTTTGCGAGTTTATTATTATTTCAAAAATATTTAATTTAATTGCTATATGGTGATTTTCGTGTTTTAATTTTATAATAATCACTTTAAAAATATTTAATTGTACCCGAAAAATATATTATAGAAAAACTGACTTAAAAATGTGGTTGTGTTGATGTACGCATTCGCCCAAATTGCCCTGATTGCGCAAGCATTTCTTTAATCGGCACTCCAAAATCTTAATTTGGCAATAAATATGTAGTAGCAAAGCACAGATCAGACAGTCGCAGGCAACATTCACGATGGATGCAGCCTGCAGGCTTATTAATTGGCGAAAATAAATAACATAGTACATTATATTGGTCGAATACTCATACGGAACCCATTCCCTGTATGCTAAAGTTCCTTTCCGAAAGTCCGTGAAGAAGGATGACAGATTCATGCATCCGCAAGTTAACTCGATTAAGATAGTATAACATATAGCATAGGTTCTGCAAAATAACTATTGGGGCTGGATTAATTCGCGATGACACTTTACATTTGTATTTTCTTCCTTTAATTAAAGAAAGAAGTAATATACTTAAAAAAAAAAAGAAATATTTTATCTATTTATTTTTCTTGTATTAAAAATAATTCGTATGTTCTTCGCCATATTTATCGCGCAGTTTTAAGTACATTTCAGATGCAATTATTTAATTGATATAATCATGGAAGGCTATAAAAAATGGAAATCTATAGATATTTCTTTGATAACACGTATATAAATATATATAGCTCCTATTATTGCAATATGCAAATATTTCAGTAACTTACTGTATGGTGTTGTCGAATTTCTGTCGAATTTCGATCTCATCCGATTCCAGCGGCTTAAATGGTTCCTCGATTAACGCATCGGTTAATATCTTGATGTTTTTGCGATTTATTAACAGATTGAGTATCTTGCAGCAAGCGATGCCCGTAGGCAGCATCGTGTAAAGGCTATCGGAAAATTCGTCGGGAGTTTTAACGTTCAGGATGATATCCATAATTTGTGGCAACGCAAAGGTCAGCAACAGTAAACATATGAAAATTGTGTATGCGTTGTACACTGTTTGTTTGCACAGCAAGGACCAGGAAACTGGCGGCCAACATCCCGCCACCGTAAGAACTTTCAATGGAAATTGCATGACTCGCATTTTTTGCGATTTCTTATTCGATTCTTCTCGTGTTAAATTTTAAATGCCTATAATATTTTGTCACACTATTGTATTTCAGTTTTTATATAATAAATATGGGATTATTGAACAGTTTTACAGAAGACAGGATTAATGAGTGGCCCAGAACACTTGTGCAGGTAGAGCATAGTAAACTGAACAGAAAATCATTATACCATTTCGCGAAATAATGGCTTGTTTGTTCATGTTGCTTGTAGTAACAAAAGTATCATCTTATTTTTCGACGCATGACTCCGCTTATCGATCAGATAATGCTTTCCACCCGCTCATTTGCTTAGATATTTTAATAAATAACTCAATAATTAAATATTAAGAACAATGTTGACGGCTCTCGAGATATCAATATAATACCCATGCAGCACAAAATATTATAAATGTTTTTAAAAAATATTTCTAAATATTTCTATAAAATATTATTACATAAAAACATTTTAAAATGGTTTTAGGAATATTTAAAAATTATTTAAATATTTTTTGTGATAACATTTTTTAAAATATTTTACAAACTTTGAAAAATATTTTTAAAAATGTTCTTCTTTATTGCTCAGATAATATTTTATATTATTTGATAATATATTATTTTCTTAAATATTTGATACATATTTTTGAAATATTAGTTTAAATCTATATTCACAAATATTTTCAAACATGAAAAAACGGATATTGAAGCATTTTAAAAATATTTTCGAGAATTATTTTATCTTTTAAGAAATATTTTTAAAAAATTTTTTAAATATATTTAAGAAATTTTAAAAATATTTTGTGCTTTATGGGTATATATCTAAATTAAATCGGCCGAAGAGCCAATGCACGCGAAAATTAATTCTTTTCACCTAACGCAATAATTATTGCGAATGGTATAAGACTTTTCTGTTTAATTTACTGTGCCTTACCTGTTCACGAGTGTTGCTACAAGTGTTCGGGGACACCCTGTATAAAATTAAAATCTTATAAATCTACTAAAAATAATTGCTTCAAAAAATCACATCATAAAAGATATGCGGTTTTTAACGTTATATACATATAATATTGCAGAATTTATACTACTTCTATTTCAATTCTAATCAACGAGGACCAAATAATTTAATTTTTATATATTGTGTGCATAATAATATGAGTAAGCCTTTTCTTGAAATAAAATCAGTCTCATGCACGCAAATATCTATTTGTATAAAAAATATCAGGTACACCTTGTCGATCATGCATACTTATATCTTTCAAAGTCCGAAGAAACTTACAATGTCTATAACCATGCAATGTGTCTTTCTTTATCCTGTCTGTTCAACTTCACCGTCTCTTAGTATTGGATAGATGTATAATTATAGTAATACCGAACTCTTGCAATATATTTCGATCAATAATATAATACTTGTATATATATATAATACTAAAATAATATGTTATGTCTTTCCTTTCTTTTATGGATTTTATTTGACACACTACGATATGAATGCGTTATATTAAAAGGAAAGAAAAAAATAATGTAGAGAGAGCAAAAGCCCCTATGGACAACCAAAGTTTTGATAGACTATGCATTACGATTGCCATAAAATCTTGATGCGCAAATGATGTATACTTACTTAGGAAATATGGAATTTGTTACTTTTGTCAGTTCCGCCTCATGGTCGATTACCATTGTCAATTCTGTTCCTTATATTACAATTCCAATGGAATACAAGCGACTCCAAGTATTCATTAAATATACATATATAAGTGGAGCGTGAATGCATGATGCATTAAAAATATATATATATCCAGTGATACACATATTCAGTCGTTATTCCAAGATAAAGTACTATATGTGTTATCAAAGTGTACATATATTGTGCAAAAATGAATTTTATCATTTATCGTTCTTTGATTTGCATTAGAATCCATGTTTGAAGTATAACTCACTGTATTATATCAATGGATATTTAATTGCAGCCACTTCGATTTTTAAGCAATCAATAAAGATAGCATTATGATAAGAAAAGAATGTAAGTAAAAGATATAATACGAAAAAGTTAGTTTAATAATATTTTTTATTTGTAAAATATGATATGCAGTCATTCAAGAGACTACTATTTCAACATTATAGTTTCTTAAGTTTACGTTTAATATTTTTTAACGCGCACTATGTATTCACATTTTAAATACTACTAACATTTATTTCGTCCATTTTACCTTCTTTTAAAAATATAATTTCTTTTCTACATACATTGAAGTATACTATATGCTGAATACGATGTCTTCAGCAACTGAAAAAAAATGACAATTTTTAAATAATGCAATTGAACAATTTAATCATAAAAATAATTGATTTCTAACCTTGACAAAAGAGTCTAAATTTACTGTAAGAATATGTGCACAAGAAAATTCAATCGGCGTCAGAGAGCGATTCATAATCATTATAAGACTCTCTTTTATTTTTTTGTCTGCTTTTATCCAGTCCATTTCGAAAATCTCATTATATAATTGAATGCTCTGCAATGAAAGTTATTAGACACGCATAAATCGATGCACAATACAGTGTAATATTTTAATTATCATAGCATTAAAAATATTGTATTATTATTACATATAATATTAAAATATATATACAATATTATATAACATTAAAAAAATTATTTAAAATTTTTATCATTAATCGCTAACATTCTATAATTTTGCTATTATACACATATATATTTGATAAAAATGTTTAGTACTTATTATTCTTATTTACGTAATTATAATTTAATAAATACCTTTAATTTTACTTCGTTTCCAAACCAACAGTAAATAAGTATTTGAAAAGTCATAATAAATGTGTACATTATCAGTGGAATATATTCCGCGCCTAACGTCGTTGTCGCCAGTTTAAACAAATTAGAGCACACCACTAACATGCTTACTGTGAATTGGACACCAATAATAATCCTGAATTTATCGTTTACCATGCATGCAAATCTAAGAATAATATTATTAATTTATTTTTAAATATTATTAATAAATTTTTAAAATTAGTATTACAAAACTTTAAGAGTAATAAGTGTTCAAATCAATATACGCAATTTAACTGTAAAAATAATATTGTTTAGCGAATTTATTATTATTTCAGAAATATATTAATTTACAATATTGTCATATAGTGATTTTAGTGTTTTAATTTTATAATAATTTTAATTAATTCTGATTCGATGTATTTATTTTTAGAAATACGTATTATATTAAATAGCAAATAATATAATGCAAAAAAATACTTTAAACATTTTTGAACATTATTATATTTTAGATCGATTGAAAAATATTTAATACGCGTATTTTATAATAATCTTAATTGGTACATTTATTTCTTTATTATTTATTATTTTCAGAAATACATATTATATTAAATAGCAATGTAATTTGAAAAAAAATGCTTTAAATATTTTTGAATATAATTATATTCTAGATCACTTTAAAAATATTTAATTGTACCCGTAAAATATATTATAGAAAAACTGACTTATAGATGTGGTCGTGTAGATGTACACATTCGCCCAAATTGCCCTGATCGCGCAAGCATTTCTTTAATCGACACTCCAAGATCTCAATTTGGCAATAAATATGCAGCAGCAAACCACAGATCAGACAGTCGCAGGCAACATTCATGATGGATGCAGCCGTCAGGCTTATTAATTGGCGAAAGTAAATAATATAATACATTATATTGGTCGAATACTCATATGGTATCCATTCCCTGTATGCTAAATCTCCTCTCCGGAAGTCCGTGAACAAAGACGTTAGGGTCATACATCCGCACACTATCTCGACTAAGATAGCATACCATATAGCATAGGTCCTGAAAACGACTCTGGAGGCTGGACTAATTCATGATGACAGTTTGCTTTGTATTTTTTCCTCTTAATTAAAGAAAGAAGAAGTATATTTGTTCAATTCAATTGGCAAAAAAAGAAATATTTTACTTATTTATTTTTTTGTGAAGAGTATTGTATTTTTTTGCCATGCTGTCAATTTTAAATATATTAAATTTATATAATATTATTTATATTATAAATATATTAATTTTAAATATATAAATTTTAAATATATTATATTAAGTGTAACTATGAAATGGATGTCACGAAACACGATAAAAAATTGAAATAGATATTTCTTTGATAAAACAATAACACGTGTAAATACATAGCATTTACTGCAACAAGCAAATATTTTCATTACTTACTGTATGATATTGTCAAATTTCTGTCGAATCTTGATCTCATCTGGTTCCAGTGGTCTAAATGGTTTCTCCATTAACGCATTGGTTAACATTTCAATGTTCTTACGATTTATTAACAGACTGAGCATCTTGCAGCAAGCTATGACCAAAGCCAGCATTACGTAAAGGGCATCGGTGAATTCGTCGGGATTGTCGACATTCAGGATGATGTCCAGAAATTGCGGCACCGCCAAGGTGAACAATAATAAACTTATGAAAATTGTGTATGCGTTGTATACTATTCGTTTGCACAGCGAGGACCAGGAAACTGGCGGCCAGCATCCCGCCACCGTCAGAATTTTCAGTGGAATTTGCATGACTTGCATTTCTTGACATTTCTTATTTCTCCTCGTATTAAATTTTAAATGCCTATAATATTTTGTGTAGACTATTTTATTGTATTTTTACAATTCATATGCTGTGCAATATAAGTAGAATTATTAAAAAATTCTACAAAAGAAAAAACTTATATAAAATGATATCTTGTAAATCTACATATATATGAAACAATGTATAAAATTGTTGCTTAAAAAAATTACTTTATAAAATTTTTTAACGTTATATATAAATATTGCACTCAAACAGGAATGCAATTTATAATTATCTAACGCCGGACACCATTTCTGTTTGTACAATTTATATTTTTCTTTTTTATTTAGGTTCTAATAAACGAGATTTCAAATACATAAAATAATTTAATTTTTATATGTTGTATACAATAATATAAGTATTTCTTTTCTCAAAATTTTAACAAATAGAGTCTCTCGTGCACGCAATAACTTATTCGTATGAAAAATATCAAGTATACCTCTTCAATCTTGCATACCTATATTTTTCAAAGCAATTTTACGAAATTCCGAAAAATATTGTTTATAGCCATGTAATGTGTCTTTCTTTATTCAATTGTCTGTTTAACTTCACCGTTCTGTTCGTATTTGAAAGCTGCATAATTATAGTACTACCGAACTCTATATTTCGATCGATAATATAATACTTCTATAAAATAATATGCTTTGTGTTTCCTTCCTTTGGCGGACTTTATTTGACACACAACGATATGAATGCGACGTTATATTAAAACGAAAGGAGAAAAAATAATATAAAGAGAGCAAAAGCCCCTATGGACAACCAAAGTTTTGATAGACTATGCATTATGATCCATAAAATCTTGATGCAAATAATGTGTTATTATTTGCGAAATACGGAATTTGTTACTATCGTCAGCTATCATGGCAATTCTGTCCCTTATATCGCAATTCCGATAGAATACAAACGATTCAAAGAATTCATTAAATATACATATATAGGTAGAGAGTGAATACATAGTACATTAAGAATGCATATAGCGATACATGTGCAGTCGCTATTCCAGATACTGCAAAGTACTATATGCGTTAGCATAGTATGTATTGTACAAAAATGCATTTCATTATTTTTAGGAAATCGTATTCAAATTTATATACGATATTGTTGCTATATTAATACTATTAAAATAAACTAAATACTTTAGATTATCTATTTAATTATTTTTGTAATTCTTAAATATGTAATTATTATTTTAAAGCTAATTTTATTCGTTCTTTGATTTGTACAGAGTGCGCGTTTAAAGGCTCATTATATTATATCAACAGATATTTAATTGCAGCTACTTCTATTTTTAAGCAATTAAAGAAAGCGTTATGAAAAGGAGAGAATGTAAGTAAAAGATATAATATTAAAAGAACAGATTAATAGTATATTTTATTCGTAATATACGATATGCAATCGCGCAAGAGAAACAAATTTACCATTATTGGTTTTTTAAGCTTACGTTTAATATTTTTGACACGCACTACGTTCACATTTTAAATTCTATGATAGACATATTCAGTCGCTATTTCAGAGCAAATTACTGTGTTATGTGAGCAAAGTATATTGTGCAAAAATGCAGTTCATTATCTTTAGAAAATTGCATTTTTTATATACAACGATTTCTATTATGACATTAGAATAAACGAGAAATTTTAGATTATCTATTTAATTATTATTCATAATTTCTATATATGTGATTACTTTTTTAAATAATCTTATTCATTTCTTGATTTACATAAAACGCGCGTTTAAATAAAATTCACTATATTATAATTATATTTTTGTACAGACAATTACATTATATATAAATATTGTGATAATTATTTCAAAAACAAATATTGTGAATATATTGACTTCTCTCGCATGTCTATTTAGGTAAGACTTCCTTGATTCATTATCACAATCAAAGTATTCACGGAAGGCCCTAATTAAAGATCTTAAACTGTACCTAATAAAAGAAAAAGAAAATGTTTTAATTTATTATTATTTATTTATATGCTAACTTTATGTGATACAGTGAAATGTGTTATGGGATAAGATAAAATTTCAATTAATATTAATTAACGATTATAAGAAATTTATTTGAAAAACAATTGATCTTACCACTATTCTCCGCTTAAATTATTATGTTGTTCCCATTTGTTGTAGTATGTTATAGGCTGAATATGATGTCTTAAGTAACTGCAATACAAAAATGCAAATATTTCTACAATTATCTTATTTTCAGATTACTCTTTTTCTCTTCTTCTCTTTCTCTCTGTCTTTTATAAACTACTGATTAATATTATAATTATTATTGCTATAACAAAAAATAAATTGGTTTATAAAATATTTTAAAAATTGACTTTTATATATAAAACAATAGTTTAATATATATAATATAATTTAAAAAATACATCAGAAAAATATCTTATATGTTTTCATTAATTGTTCTATATATAATTTTTCTAAAAATTATGGTTGTGACGATAATAATAATTTGCAAAAAAATACTAACATTTACGAAAGAGTCGAGATTCAACGTAAGAATATATGCGCTAGAAAATTCAATGGGTATTAGCGAGCGATTCATAATAATTAATAAACTCTTCTTTCCGCTTTGATCCAGTTCCAGCCATTCTGTTTTAAAAACATTAGATACTAGTTCGACGCTCTATAAAAAATGACACGTGTATAAATTAAGATATTACATACAATTTTCTGCAGAAGAAAAATTATAGCAGATCTCGTTTCTTATTTCAATAACATTCGAGTTTGTTGAGTACATATTAAAATTTTTATCTAATATTTTTGTACATATCTTATGTGATACATTTAAGCTTTTAGAATTACTAGACAACACAAACGCGCGCTTTGCGCGCTCCTTTGATATCATTTCTATTATTCATTTTACAACTGTCAAATTGTTAATCATCGCAATGACAGTTGTTTGATATTATGACCATAATTATGATTCGCCGAATTACTATTATGTATACATACATAATATTAATTCCCGAATTTTTATTATGTTTATAATTTTAATTTATTGAATTTCTATTATGTATATAATTTTAATTTACCGAATTTCTAATGTATTGTTTGAGAACTATTTTGTATACATAGATGTATCTTTTTATATATTTTTTCTCATTTTGTTTAGTTTAATCGAATATTGTGCGAATTATGTGCGCGAAATAAAGTTATATATATTATTCTTTGATAATAAAACCTTAAAAATTACAACGCATGTATAAAATTATTATTGCAATGCATGCATAGAATATATTTATTAATTACGTGATTCATAAAAATTCAATATATAACTTTTTAACAAAAAAAAATATAATTTTCTACAAGAATTTTTCGATCAAAATATCTGCGCTTTCATTAGATTCGTACGTCTGTACGCGTCCGCTACGCTGCACAGCTCTGCACGCTGCACAACGAAAGCAACTTTTTCTATCCTTTTCATCAGATTAATACACCCCATATATCCGTTACGTTGCGCGGTTCGCGCGAAACTGATTGCCGTGCAGAGTACTGCGAGCGCGGGCTCGATGGTCACATGACCAGTGGTCACGTGACTAGTGGTCACATGACCAGTAGTCACGTGACCATCGGGCCCGCGCTTGCGATACCCGCACGAAAATCAGTTTCGCGCGAGCCGCGCGGTGTGATAGATGTATGGGGTATAGAGTCTCGCGCGAGTTTAATGAAAGCGTAGATGTTTAATCTTTAATCACATAAGATTCTTATATAAAATTTTATTTCTTCGTTCGTATTTTCCGTAAAAGATTTAAATATTGAATTTTTATGCATTGCATATAATTAATTAATATATTTTTATGCATTAATTGCAATAATAATTTTTGTATACATGCGTCGCAATTTTTAAGATTTTATTATCAAAGAATAATGCTATTAATATAACACATAATGTTAATCGGGACAACCAATCAGCATCGCGGGAAAGCGGCAACAATACATGCGAGAATCGACTTTACATGCCTTTTTTAGAAAGGGATACGCATAAGTCATACCTTTAATTTAACTTCGTTTCCATACCAGCAATAGATAAGAATCTGCGCCAGCATGGAGCATGTGTATAATATTAATGGAAAAGCTTGCACACTCGTCATCGTCATCTTCGCCAATTGATATAAATTGGAGCAAACCACTAGCGTGCTCACTATAAACTGGATACCAATAATTATCTTGAATTTTTCATTTACCATAAACGCAAATCTGCAAAAGAAAAGTATCTCGAAAGAAATCATGTTTATCTGACTGAATCTGACAATATTTGCGTAAATTTTATCACGAAAATATAATTAATATAACACGTTTGACGCGATATTGTTAAATATTTTTAAAACGAACGATCACGTAAGTCTTCGAGTACTATCTTCATATAATATATGTATATTTCCTTTATTTATTAATTTGCAAGATTGTCAGTGTTGTGCTTAGATGATTTTAAAATTAGCTAAATAAAGATGAGATAAAAATATGTAAATTCATCTCAGATAAGATGAAGATAATTTTATTTTAAATATAACTATAGATAAAGGATAAAATCATATGGCGATTTATCTAAATAATTTTCAGATATGTAATATTATTTTCAAGACCGCTTATGTAAACAGTTATAAAAAAATGTTAATTATAAAAGGGATATAAAAATATATTCATATTTTAATAAATTAAAAGTTTTTATTGCTTAATATTTAAATTAAGTTCTACTGTTTAAGTATTTTTATATGCTATGACTCTAAACTAAATTATATATTGTTAATTATATATATACATATTTTTATTATCTATATAAAAGTAAGATGACGCCAAAATTTTATCTAGATAATTATCTATATAATTTTATTTAGATAACACAGCAAACACTGAAGATTGTGTTAAGAAACTAACTTAAATATACCGTCGTGCTGACGTAGACATTCACGCAAATTGTTTCGACCAAGGGTGAACTTTCTGAGCCGACACTCGAGTATCTCGAGCTGACAGCAGACGTGCAACAACAGGCCGCAGATCAAAGTGTCGCAAGCCACGTTCACCATAGAGCCAAATAACGTGCTTATTAACTGACGAGTGTACATTATGCGGAATATCACGGACGAGTTGTACGGAGTCCATTCTCTATACGTTAAAGTGCCTTTGCGAAAATTTGTGAATACTGACGTCAACGCGATGCAAATGCACGTGGTCTCGACCAGGATCGTGTAGCACAAACTGTTGGTTCTGTACAAAATGATCGTTTTCATATCAACATTTTTCTCGACTCATAATTTCTTATGAAATTTTCTCGAAGAAATTTTTTTCAAATTATATTGCAAAAAATGATTTTTTAAAAATACATATACTCACTGTATCGTCTTGTCGAATCTATGTCGAATTTCTATTTCGTCGGCTTCCAGCGGGATAAACGGTTTTCGAATAAGGATATTGGTTAACATCTCAATATTCTTGCGATTTATCAAGAGACCGATCATTTTACAACATGAAATGACCAGGGCAAGCATGACGTAGAAAGTGTCCGCAAAATCGTCGGTATTATCGACGTTCAGGATGATATCCATAAGTTGAGACAACACAAACGTGAATAATAACAATGATATAAAAATGGTATATGCGTTGTACACAGTGCGTTTGCACAATGATGATGTCCAAGAATTTGGCGGCCAGCATCCGACAACCATAAGAATTTTTAGCGTAAATTCAAGAACCTGCATCTTCTGAATCTTTAATTACATCCTTATGTTTAAATGAAATACTGATAATATGTATATATATTATACATTGAACTCTGTTTTTATTTATAATTTAGTAAATAATATATTTAATCATCGCGTATTAATTTAAATATTAATTTAAATCTTTTTTCTTTTTTCTCTTGATCAATAATATTATGAAAAAGAACTATCAAGAAATTAGCAAATTAAATTATCATTGCAAAATATTAACTACTTTATGTTCACTTTAATCATATGTTTAATTAATTTCCGATTAAATACGATTTTCAATGGACAGATAAATGTACACAAAATATATTATATAAATTATTTAACATATGTATAAAATAGAATAAATAAATAAGAAATTTTGTGTTATAAGTTATAAGCGATATGAGTCACAATTATGTTATGAATAGAATTAAAAAATTTCGTATTTTATTACAATATATGTGAGAGATATGAAATACGGTCCCCTGTTACTTTCTTATCAATAACACCGTAAATCGATTTCACGAAAGTACAACCAACCTCAGAATGTCTATAGCCACATGTCACGACAATCTACCACATTGATGACAATGTGTTGTTCGTCTAGCTTCCCCTTCGCGTTCGGCAGCTATATATATAATTATTATCAAACTCTCAACGTTATTTCCCCACTCTTTTATGCTACAGCGTACGAGACTGTCTTCAAATGCAAATTTTATGCGACAACTATTTAATATTATGATACAGTCAAATATAAACGGGAAAAATGCAGAAAACTAAAGTCGTGAAACGATCACAAGTTACGTTTTATTTCTATAAAATGGCATTGCAAATAATCCATCAATTTACTAATAAATATTTAGCATAGCACGAATTTTTATCTAGCTATAAGCTTTGCCGTTTGTCTCTATATTCTAGTTAATTCCATTTCTAATATTGATTTGAATATGTGGTTACAGTTTCTGATAAAGTACTAAGTTTAGTAAAAATTCGTTAGACATGTGTACATTGTAACATAACGCATTGTATTTTACATATTATTGGAATATATGCTTTCAGAGCTTACATTTTTTAGGAAGTGTAAGAAGGTAAAAATTTATTTAATATCTAATTTTATTTTAGACATCTATGTATATATCGCAATAATATAAATCAGAAAGTTAAATTTGAAGGAAAGATATTTTCTATATTTAACATGTTATTATTTGAGAATAATTTAAAAATGGTAATAATTACAGATAATCTAAAATAACTTAAAAATAATTTAAATGTCTCATACAGAACTAGATTTTATTATTAAATTGATTTTATTGATTTTGAGATCTAGTAAAAGTTTTCTTAATATCTATTAACCGTGATTAATTCCCTTAACAATTTAATATGTATTTGCAATAAAAGAATATAATTAGCCATTTTGTCCACAAATGCGTATGATATATACACTTTAATAAATATTAATAATTTAAAATATTTATTAAATTAAAAATATATTTTATCAGTAAATCTACTTAGTTGGTTAACAAAAAAATACACATTGGAAAACATTGTAATAATTGTCTATATTTATTTTTTACTTGCAATTTTTACACTTGTTTTAATAAATTATAAACCGAGTATGAGGTCTTAAGCAACTGCAACAAAAATATATGCGCACGTTATATTTCATTTCATAATCCTAAAGATTATGTCTAGTTTATATTTTTCAATATTAAATAAAATATATTTTTTATATCCCAAAAAATAAAAATGTATATTTAAAACTATATATCAAAAACAAATTAAAAAGTTATAAATTAATTTTTTTACTAACCCCGACGAAAGAATCAATATTCATGGAAAGAACATAAGCGCTGGTAAATTCGATTGGTATTATTGTGCGATTCATAATTATTAATAGGCTTTCTCTTAGATCTTTGTTCAGTGCAAGCCAATTCATTCCAAAAATATTATTCAATAATTGAGTGCTCTATTTTGAAAATAATAAAAGATTTTATTAAAATTATTTAATTTTTTAAATTAATTTTTTTTTATAATACCATTTATTATATTAATCTACATAAGTCTGCAATTTTGAAGTAAACGTATGAAATAATGCATTTGATTACGCGCACCTTTAACTTTACTTCGTTTCCATACCAACAATAAATAAAAATTTGTGTCAACATGCAAGACATATACAGCAGTAAGGGAAGATAACTCGCATTTATTGATGATTTAGACATCTGATACAAATTGGAGCATACCACCATCGTACTTACGATGAATTGCATAGCGATAGTCATTTTGAACTTGCTGTTCAATTTGAATGCATATCTGTAATAAAACAATCGTAAGATTATGATGGTATCCTTAATTATCATTAATCACTTTTTCTGCAAAAAAATTCATATTTAAAAATATATAAAAACGCAATAATACTTTAAGATGCTTTGAATCAGAACAGAATATGCAAATACAATATAAGAAATAAAGAAAGAATAATTTTTTTTAATAAATTGCAAGATATGGTTATCAAATAATAAAATAACTAACTTAAATATACCGTCGTGGTGACGTACACAGTCGCGAAGATTATTATATTCATTGGATAATTTGCTAAGTCGGCACTCTAAAATCTCGATTTGACAGCAAATATGCACCAACAATCCACAAATGAGACTATCGCAGGCCACATTGACGAGCGATCCGGCTGTCAAGCTAATAAGTTGATGAGCGTACGTGAGACAAAACACAATGGTAGAGGAATGGTAATCATATGGCAGCCATGCTTTATATGTCAAGTTTCCTTTTCTAAATTCTGTGAGTAAAGATGTCATGGAGATACATGCACAAGTTGTTTCTACCAGTATCGTATAGCAGAGTGTGTTAGTACTGTAAAATGATGCTGTGAAGATGTGCAACGCTCATTTGAATAAATGAGTTCTTCACATATTTAACGATATATTTTGCCGAAGAAATTTTATTTTGTTACATAAATTATTTTACATATAGATTTTAATTTAAAATTATAGAAATATCTATTTTCTTTTACATAAAAAAATTATCATTTTTTAAATTAATTTATATATTCTTATGTAATAACACTTACTGTATCAGCCTGTCAAATTTATATCGAATTTTTATCTCGTCACCTTCCAATGGCCTATATGGTTTTTCGATAAGTATATTGGTTAATGTATTAATGTTATTTCGATTTACCAGCAGACTAAGCATTTTGGAGCACGAAACGACCGATGCCAATGTAGCGTAGAAATTTTCAGTGAATTCTTCGGCAGTCTTGACATTCCAAATTATGTCCAAAAATTGCGATATCAAAAATGTGTACAGTAATATAACCATAAAAACTGTATACGTGTCATAAACAATGCGCAAATACAATGATGACCATGACTCCGGTCGCCAACATCCAATAATTGTCAAAAGTTTAAAAGTAAATTGTAGAACACGCATCGTTTAAATGTGCTAAATACATTTAGAAACGAACAATGTATTTTGACATATCACACGTGAAAAAAGGAAATATATAAATATTATTATAATAATCTGTAAATGCGTAATTATAAAGAAATACATTAATATATATGGATATGTACACAATCAATATACATATTTTACTTTCAATAGAATAGTACATTTACATCTAACAGAAGATACTGATATATATTGCTTAAAAAAGTTATTATATTAATTTAATTTTATATTATTTAAAATAGGTGCCTTATTACTAATGACAATTTTAAATTTGATATATTTATGATTTTTATATATACAATTTTACCTTTAAATTTTTCTACTTTTAAATTTAAAAAACTTTCTACATTTACTGCAATCTTTTAAGAGATATATAGCACGATCTTTAAAATAAACTGAGAAAAGACAAGATAACTCACGGACGATTGATAATCATGTAAAGTGTAGTGTTTTTCAATTTCTTCTTCCTCTAGTAGTGTTCCTGTATCTTCCCTTAGTCTATATTATTACGTTATTATCATAATGTCGGACTTGCATTATTAAACCCTTCCAAATACTTTTGCTATATGCCATTGTAAGTCTCAGAAAATTCACCTTTTATATTTATGATAAATGTTTGCAGATACGAAGGAACTAGAAGAAAATAAAAATGCCATTATTTCAACTTAAAATCTTACACAACTATCTCATTATTATTACTTCCCTTAAACATTTCTTTTATCGTTGCTGTGTTTTGCATATTATTGAGTGGTTGCTATATGTATAGTCCTACAGTCTGCGTATCGATTTCAGACATTACGATTTCTGACCCACAGGAGATATTAAGCACTATACGAGTTTAAAGTGTATATTAAGAATATATCATAAAAGGCAAAATGTATAAAAATTTGCACATAATATAAGATCTTCTAAAGTAGTAAGTATGAGAATCATTTTTTCAATATTTGTAAAATTACATAAAATCTTGAAATTTTATAAAAATTTTTATTTATATTATATCTTTTTTAATAATTTAATCTATTATGTTTAATAATATTTTAATATATTTTTGTTTATCTTTCCTTCACACGAGGAAAACAAGACGTAAAGATACATTTAAAAAATTAAACTTCTATTTAAATCATAAACAATATTTTATCACTATAAATTCGTGAATTTTCAGCTTGTGTGTCTTAATACAAATTGTAAGTAAGTGTAAGGCTTACATTATACAAACGTTATAGGATGTAAAAAAACTTATATTTGTTAAACGATACACGATGTACATTCTTGTTAAACAATAACTCCGAGACGTTTCGACCCTTACTTGTGTCTTTTCAATCGTTACATAATAAAAATTCGTTAACATGTCAATTAGTATTTAAATCAAATCGCAAATTCGAAATATACGAAACTGAATGTCATTGGTTGCTTTATGTTTATAAAATATTAAAAAGTAATTATTGTTGCTCTCTAGAAAATATTTTATTTATTGCTGCTTTTTTGTGTGTTTTTGAATATTCGTTACACAGTTCATCTTTCTCCATATCGATTTCAAACATTATGATTTCTGACTGACACGAGATATATTGATTACAATACAAGTGCAGTGTCATAGAAAGCAGTGTGTAAAAACTTGCACAATATTAATTTTTCTAGCATAATAAAATCTTCAATAAAATAAAAATCAATGCTAATAAATGTAAAAAAGCACTTTAGTAAAAAATGTATAGTAAAATAAATAATGCTAATATGTATATTGTTTTATAGATAATTTTTCTTTGATTATATCCAATAAAGCTACGTAAGAGATAAACATTATTTATCGATCAATTGCATCAGATATTTCTTGATGACTTTTTCTTCTTGCACATTTCTTTCAGGTTTTATAATGTGGATGTAGCATAACTTTATCTGCCTTATACGCTGTCACTTCGTTTGTTGAAGTAAATTGTAAGTAGAATACGATACCTTAAGTAACTAGAATTAATATAAAAATTATCTATTATGTATACATATGTGTGTGTATATATGTGTATGCACGCGCGTATGTATAAATGTAGTATTAATATAATATTGAAGTTTTGAAAAATTTTGATTTCATATAAAAGAGTCCGTAATATAAGTATAAAACATGTTTTTTTAAATAAGATCAGATATTTTTACAAAATAAAATAAAAAAGAAAATTGTTATTACTGATATAACACTTGTACATAAGTATCTCCTTTATTTTTCTACGTAGTCACTATATTTTTCTAAGAATAATTATTTTTGTAAGAATAAAGCGCTAGTGATAAACTATTTAAATCCTCTGGCAGCGAATTTACGCAGAGCGCATAAAAAAACTTATATTTAAAGACTAAGAAAGAAATGATAACTACGTAAAGAAACAAAAGTAGATATGTAGTATTATGCAAAAAAAGTTTTCTCTTTTATTTTGATTTAATGTCCGATCGAACCTTACTTAAAAAAACGCGCCTCGTATAATTAAATTTTTTTATTGAAAAATAGATAAAATATTTCTGATTATGTATTATAAATTCTTTCTAAAATGTAAAGTTAATTTAAATATATCCTATAGCAATTGTGAAAATTAGCTTATTCACAAAAGTATCGTTAATATTATATCAAATTAGTTGTACTAACATCCATAAAAGACTCGAGATTCATGGGAATGATGTAGGCGCTGGTAATCTGAATAGGTAAAAGTGCTCGCTTCATTATTATAATTAGAGATTTCTTTATATTTTCGTCCAATGTCAGCCATTCCATTTGGAAAATGTCATCGATCAATTCAGGGCCCTACCGAAATGTACAAACCATATTTATCAAGACGTTACTTGTAACAAGAAACGATAGATATTTTTATTATTGATATACTTAATTATTAACATGTTTAAACGACAAATAATTTGTCATAGTTTTATTGAAGAAATTCCGTTAAATAAATTCGAGCTATTATTTGAAGAAATCCTTTATAGAAAATGACCAATAAATTTCTGTATATCAGTAATTTTTTGGTCATTAAATTACTGATATACAATAATTTAAGTACTCGAAATAAGTAATTAATCACTAACTTACACACACTAGTAATAAATTTCCATAAGGTATGTGTATAAACACACGTACTCTACTTGTATAACTGTGTTATATAGATAATAATTATATATTGTACATGATCAAAAAGGAAAGCTTGCATATTAATATTTTACATTAAGTTTAAATAATTATAATAAATATTCTATAGAATTATTATATAAAATTATTAAGGAAATATTTTAAATATATTCAAATATTATTTTATAAAAAATAGAATTCTTGTACCTTTAACTTTACTTCGTTTGCGTACCAACAATAGAAAAAGATTTGTATTAACATAATACTCATATACATTATCATTTCAAGGTATTTGGCTTTTGTTGTTGTAATATTTATTTGATAAAGAGCGAAGCATATGTCCAACAAACTCATTGTAAATTGAATTGTCATAATCAGCCTAAATTTCACGTTTATAAGAATGGCAAGTCTAAAATTTAATAATCTTGTCTTTATGAAAAGTTATTTGATCAAATGTATCGGGCGGATATTGGCATAAAATTAATTATTAAATTATTTTAAAGAGATATGCGGTAAAATATAAAACACCAAGAAATTTACGAAAATATTAAAACTAACTTGAAAATGCAATAATGTTGAAGTATGCAATCGCGAAGAATGTCCGTATAAAATATAATTTTCTTCAAACGATAAGCCAAAATCTCGAGTTGACAGCAAACATGTGTTAATAATCCCCAAATAAGAGTATCACAAGCAAGATTTAAGAGACTTCCGACTACTGCACTTAAAAATTGATGAAAGAACAGCAGGACAAATAATGCCGTCGATGAGTAATCAAATGGAAACCATGCTCTAAATAATAATTTTTTTTTTATGTGCCAATAAAGATGGCAATAATATACATACGCATGTTATCAGTGCGAGGCATGTATAACGCCGAGTATTATTTCTGTAATATAATTGCAAATACTTATATGTGTATTAAATATATATTATATCTCAATAATCTAAAAATAATTTTCTCCAAATTTTTTATATAAATATTTTATTTGTATTATTTATATTATTTTTTGATAATTCAATAATTTATCTTATCTGATTTTTTAATTATGTTTTAGTTTATCTTTTCTTCACACAAGAAAAACATGTCAAAAATATATAAAAATAAATACATTAAAAAATTTCTTTAAACCAAAACCATCTTATTTGGTATTATTTACAATTGTAATTCTAATAAAAATATAATAAATTATTAAAAATAGACGTTTAACGAAGCATTCTTATAATATTAAGATTTAAATAGTTCATAATAAAATATTATATTATGATAATTATATTTTGCTAATACTTACTCTATGCTGTCATCAAATTTATGAAAAATCTTTATTTCTGCTGATTCCCGCGGTTTACATGGTTCTTTCGTCAGTGTATGAATAAGCAAATTTATGCTTTTGCGATTTATCAGGAGAAGAGTCATTTTAATGCAAGTACAAGCCGCAGGGACAAATATAAAAATGTTATCAGAGAAATCATCAGTATTATCCACAATCAAAATTATGTCCATTAATTGCGATAGTATCAAAGCATACATAATAAGAATCATTATGCTTGAATATACATTATATAATATTCTTTTATGCAATGATGTCCAAGATTCCGGTCGCCAACATCCAGCAATTGTCAGAAGTTTAAAAGTAAATTGTAGAACACGCATCTTTTAAATATGCTAAATACATTTAAAAACAAAAAATGTATATTGACACATTACACGCGAAAAAAAGCAATATATAAATATTATTATAATAATCCGTAAATGCGTAATTATAGAGAAATACACTAATATATGCATACTGAAATATAAACAATTAATATACATATTTTACTTTTACTAAAATAATACATTTACATTTAACGTTCTATTAAAGAAACCGATATATATTGTCTAAAATAGTTAGTATAATAATTTAATTTTATATTACTTTATATATATGCCTTATCACTAATAACAATTTTAAATTTGATATATTTATGATTTTTATGTATACAATTTTACCTTTAAATTTTTCTATTTCCAAATTTAAAAAAACTTTCTATATTTACTGCAATCTATCAAGAGATATATAGCACGATCTTTAAAATAAACTGAGAAAAGACAAGATAACTCACGGACGATTGATAATCATGTAAAGTGTAGCGTTTTTCAAATTCTTCTTCCTCTAGTATTGTTCCTGTATCATTCCTTAGTCTATATTATTATCTTAAAGGGCAGACTTACATTATTAATCCCAAATACTTTTACTATATGTCATTGTAAGTCTCAGAAAATGCATATTTTATATTTATGATAACATGTTTGCAGATACGAAGGAACTAGAAGAAAATAAATATGTTATTAGGTGTTACTCCCGACTGCTGCTAACCCTAGTTTTATCTTCAAATCTTAAACAACTAACTCATTATTATTACTTTTTTTAAACATTTTATTTATCGTTGCTGTGTTTTGCGTATTATTGACTGGTTGCTATATGTTTAGTCCTACAGTCTGCGTATCGATTTCAGACATTGCGATTTCTGACCCACAGGAGATATGTTAAGTTCTATACAAGTTTAATACAAGTTTATATTAAGTAAGAGTAAGTTCTATACAAGTGTATATTAAGAGTATATCATAAAAGGCAAAATGAAAAAAACTTATACACATACAATATAAAAGATCTTCTAACGTAATAAGTATAAGAATTATTTTTTCAATATTTTTAAAATGATATAAAATCTTGAAATTTTATATAATTTTTTATTTATATATTTTATACTTTTTAAAAATTTATTCTATAATTTTTAATAATTTTTTAATAATTTTTGTTTATCTTTCCTTCACACGAGGAAAACAAGACGAAAAGATACATTTAAAAAATTAGACTTTTATTTAAATCATAAACAATGCTTTATCACTATAAAATATTTAAATATTGAACGATCAGCTATGATTTTTATAAAATATTAATATAGACAAATTGTACTTCTATAATACTTATTGTTAATTTCTACATAATACAGCTTTTATTCTACATCACTCATTCATTTGTCGAAGTAAGTTATAAGCTGAATATGATGTCTTAAGAACCTATAATAAATTGAAAAAGTTAATTTTCTCAAGTTTAATCATACGTGTATTAATCTATTGTTTTTATATGATAACACAAAGATATGTAAAATTTACAATGTTTTAATTTTTATTTTTATTGTCGTAGAAAATATATTTAAATTTAAAAAGCAAATTAATGGTAATTATGATATTAATTACAATTAATATTGCATCTGTCTTCCTTTAATATAATGCATTTTTATTAAAATATAAAATTTATCTTATATGCTAATTATAGAATTATGTTTGTAAAATCTGTGTATATTGCACATTCAATATTTTTTACTTACACCTATAAAAGAATCAAGATTTACAGAGATAGTATAAGCACTTGTGATTTCAATTGGCATTACTGTACGTTCCATCATTATTAGTAAAGATTTTTTTAAATTGTTGTCCAAAGTAAACCATTCTATTTCGAAAAGGTTATCTAGAAATTGGCGACTCTGTTTGAACATGCAAGACATGTAAAAGTTATTTCTAGACGTTTTTGTTTATGTACATTTTTACAAAGAAATTTCTAAAATTTTAATTATCTACTTATTATTAATATATAATAAATTAAAAAAAAAAATATATATATATATATATATAAATTAAATTAAAAATTTATTTTTTATCGTTATTCTATTATAACTCTACACACTTTATAAACTTTATAAACGTAAAAGTTAAAAATTTATCTTTTACAAGATATGTTATCGTAAATATGAAAATGTAAAAAAACTAAAAGTTAAAAAAATAAAAGATATTAATATTAAAATTATTATGCTTAATAAAATTAAGTTGCACCTTAAATCTAACTTGATTGCCGTACCAACAATAGATGAAAATTTGTGTTAACATTGCAGTCATGAATATTGCTAATCGAATACATCTTACATCTAATTTTAATATACTTATTTCATAAAGATTGAAGCAAACCACAAACATACTCATTAAAAATTGAACACCAATAACTGTTCTAAATTTTGAATTAACAAGAAAAGCCAATCTGAAACAAAATTAATAATGAGCAATATCTAGATCTATGTTATATAACGGAAAATAAAAATATTACATCAAAATATAATAAAAGATAAAAATAAGATAAATATATATTATTTTCTAAATATAATATGTTTACATATTTTATTCATATTTAAATAAAAAATTGAATTATATATAGTTATAAAAACCAACTTAAAGATTTTACAATGTTGTTCCACGCAATTACGAAGACCGTCGGAGTGAAGCATGATTCCCTTTAAACGATATGTCAAGATTTCGAATTGACAACAAACATTTGCCAATAATCCAAAAATAAGACTATCACAACCGACATTCACTAGAGTTGCCATGAATGAAGCTATCAGTTGATGAACAAATGCCAAACAAAATATGGTCATAGATGAATATTCGAACGGCAGCCATGCTCTGAACATTAACTTTCGTTCGCTAAAATTTGTAAAAAAAGATGTAAACGCAAAACTAGCGCACGATATCAAGCTCATAACTGTATAGTTAAAAGTGTTTACTCTGTAAAATAACAATAGATGTATTTAGTTTTTTTCACATTATTTTTTTGTAAAATATAAAATATAAAAACAATTTTATATTTATAATATTTGCAGGAGAAATATTGCATAAGATAATAAATCTAATTAAGAAAATTTAACTAAAATAATAACAGATATAAAGCTAAAAAATTGACATGGAATAAATTCAAAAAAGTTACAAGAAATGTAATTATAAGGCGTACGTTGACACGTATTCTAAAACTTACTATAATTTTTAAATGATGTTAATATGGCGTTAATTATTGATTTTCAATTACTTACTGTATGTCTTTATCAAATTTGTAAAAAATTTTTATTTCATTTGGTTTAAATGGTTTACACGGTTCCTTCATCAAAATATCAGTCAATTCAATAATATTTTTTCGATTTGCCAATAAACTGAACATTTTAAAGCAAGTCATAATCGTAACAACGAGTATACACAAGTTGTCGCAGAAATCGTCTGTATTATCCACGATAAGAATTATATCCATTAATTGTGACAATGTAAAAGTATGTACTGACAAAAGTATTAGAATTGTGTATATTCGATATATATGTTTATATACCGACGTCCAGGATTGCGGCTGCCAGCAACCGCATATTGTTAATACTTTAAAAGGAAATTCCATCATATTCATTTTGAATTTATTCTCTTTGATATCATCCATTGTGTAATATTAATGACAAATAATAAATTTGTTTAAAATATATAGATATTATTATAATAATCTGTAAGTGTGTAATTATAGAAAAAAATAATATTCATTAATAAACGTACTTATAAAATCAATTAATATATTTCACTTTTGATAGAATAATGTATATTTATAGTTAATTTTTAGATCATGAGATATATATTGTCTAAATTAAATTATTTTATCAATTTAGTTCTTTCTGTCATTATATGCACATACATATATGTCTTATCACTTTTATTGTAGTTTTTAATTTTATATTTATGTTTTATCACTTATTTCAAATTTTATACTTATAATTTTTATATCTACAATTTTACCTAATTTTCTTTATTTATAAATCGCCAGAAATAAACTTTCTATCAAACTTTATTTGCTGCAATGTTTCTAGAGGTATATATTTCACGATCTTTAAAACAAATTCAGAAATGACAATAAGATAACTTACGAACGATTGACAATCATGTAGAATGTTTAGCGTTTCGAATATTCTTCTCTCTCTAATATTTTTTCCTGTATTCCGCCATCTATATTATTATACGTCATTATCATAATATCGGACTTGCATTTTTAATCCCATCAAAATACTTCCATTGCAAATTATTGTACATCTTTGAGAATTTATCTTCTATTTCTGTAATAATACCGTAATAATTTCTAGATACGAATATGATATACGAAACTAAACGAAACTGAATGTCATCGGTTGCTTTAGCTTCATAAAATATTAAAAAGTAATTATTGTTGCTCTCTTGAAAATATTTCATTTATCGCTGCTATCTTGTGTGTTTTTAAATAGTTGCTGCACAGTTCTTCTTTTTCCACATCAATTTCAGGTATTTCGATTTCTGACTCATAAGAGATACAATACATGTGCAGTGTCATAAAAAGCAGTGTATAAAAACTTATACCAATATTAATTCTTCTAACGTAATAAAATTTTAAATAAAATAAAAAATAAATGCTAATAAACGTAAAAAAGTACTTTAGTGTGGTGTGTAAAAGATATATAGTAAAATAAATAATGCTGATGTATTGTTTTTAAAGATCATTTTTCTTTGATTTTCTAATAAGGCTACGTAAGATATAAACATTATTTATCGATCAAATATTTCTTGATGACTTCCTCTTTTCGCACATCTCTTTCAGGTTTCATGATGTGGATATAGCATGATTTTATCGGCCTTTTACGCTGTCACTTCATTTGTTGAAGTAAATTGTAAGTAGAATACGATGTTTTAAGTAACTAGAATTAATATAAAAGTCATATATTATGTATATATATATATATATATATGTGTATGTGTGTATGCACACGCGTATGTATAAATATAGTATATATAAATAGTAGGTATAAATATGCACATATATAATATTAAAATTTTGCAAAATTTCAATTTTATATAAAACAGCTCGTAATATAAATATGAAACATGTTTTTCAAATAAGATATATTTAATAAAATTTAATTCTCTTTTACTTCATTTTTTATAAATAAGATATATTAAATAAAATATATCTTATTTAAAAAATGAAGTAAAAGAGAAAAATGTTATTACTGGTACAACACTTGTACATAAGTATCTTCTTTATTTTTCTACGTAGTCACTATATTTTTCTAAGTAATTTTATAAGAATAAAGCGACAGTGATAAACTGATTGAATTCCCTGGCACCGAACTTATGCAATAATTTAATTTATACAAAAATTTGTGCCAATAATAAATGTTTTTCTTTTCTTTAATTTATTTTTCAGTGTCCAATCGAACCTTTTACTTAAAAAACTAGCCTCGTATAATAATTACTAAATTTTCATTAAAACAGATAAAATATTTCTGATTATGTATTATAAATTATTCCTAAAATGCGAAGTTAATTTAAATATATATACTACATATGTATTGTGAAAATTAGCTTATTGACAAATCGAATTATTTGTACTAACACTCATGAAAGACTCGAGATTCATGGGAAAAATGTAACCGCTGGTAATCTGAATAGGTGTAACTGCTCGCTTCATTATTATAATTAGAGACTTCTTCATACTTTCGTCCAATGTTAGCCATTCCATTTCGAAAATGTCATCGATCAATTGACGGCTCTACTGAAATATACGAAACATATTTATCAAGATGTCACTTCTAACAAGAAACAAAAGATATTTTCATTATTAACATACTTAATTATTAATTTATTTAAACAACAAATAATCTATCCTAGTTTTATTGAAGAAATTCTATTAAATAAATTCGAGCTATTATTTAGAAATGTATATACGTACTATACTTGTATTATAATAATAACGTAACTCTGTGTTATAATTATATATTGTACATTTGTGTGGTCAAAAAGAAAAGCTTGCATATTAATATTTTGCATTAGGTTTATATGATTATAATAAATATTATACAGAATTATTATATAAAATTATTAAGAAAATATTTTAAATATATTCAAATATTATATTTTATAAAAAATGAAATGTCTGTACCTTTAATTTTACTTCGTTTCCGCACCAACAATAGATAAAGATTTGTGTTAACATGCAAATCATATACATTATCATTTCAATGTATTTGGCTTTTGTTGTTGTGTTATTTAATTGATAAAGAGTGAAGCATACCACAAACATACTCATTGTAAATTGAATAGTCATAGTCAGTCTAAATTTCACGTTTATAAGAATGGCAAGTCTAAAATTTAATAATCTTGTCTTCATAAAAATTTATTTTTATTAAATGTATCGGATATTAGCATATTAAATTAATTATTTTAAGAAGATATACGATAAAATATAAAACACCAAAAATTTGCGAAAATATTGAGACCAACTTGAAGATGTAATAATGTTGAAGTATACAATCGCGAAGAATGTCCGTATAAAATATAATTTTCTTCAAACGATAAGCCAAAATCTCGAGTTGACAGCAAATATGTACTAATAATCCACAGATGAGAGTATCGCAAGCAATATTTAAAAGACCTGCAGCTACTAAACTTATAATTTGATGAATGTACATCAGGAAGAATAATGTCGTCGATGAGTAATCAAACGGCAACCATGCTCTATATGTTAATTTTCTTTGTTTAAAATTTGCAGATAAAGATGTCAACACTATAAATACACATGTTAACAGTGCGAGACATGTATAACGCTGAGTATTAATTCTGTAATATAATTGCAAATATGTACATATGTGTGTGTGTTAAATGTTATATCTCGATAATATTAAATTGGTTATCCCGAAATTTTTAATATACATTTTTTTATTGACATTATTTATATTATTTTTGTTTATAGTTTAATAATATATCTTATCTGATGGGTTTTTAAATTATGTTGCAGTTTTCTTCACACAAGAAAAACGCGGAAAAAATATATAAAAATAGATACGTTAACAAAATTTTTTAAACTAAAACAATCTTATTTATTTTTATTTACAATTTTATTTATAATAAAAAAGTAATAAATTATTAAAAATGGACGTTTAACGAAGCATTTTTGTAATATTGCGATTTAAATAGTTCATAATAAAATATCACATTTTGCTAATACTTACTGTACGCTAGTATCAAATTTATGAAAAATCTTCATTTCTGTTGATTCCAGCGGTTTACATGGTTTTTTCATTAGTATATTAATCAGTAAACTTATACTTTCGCGATTTATGAGGAAAAAAACATTTTAATACAAGTAATAACTATAGGAACGAATACAAAAACATTATCAGTAAAATCATCAGCATTATCCACAATCAAAATTATGTCCATTAATTGCGATAGCATAAAAGTATATAGTATTAAAATCATTATGCTTGAATATACATAATATAATATTCTTTTATGCAGTGATGTCCAAGATTCCGGTCGCCAGCATCCAAATAATGTTAGGAGTTTAAAAGAAAGTTCAAGAATACGCATTTTAAAAGATTATTTTTCAAAGTATCATTTTGTGAAGCACATAATATACGTTATAGAATATTGAAATTCTGTTGTAAATTTTATAATTATATTAAAATAGCATCAATTTTTTATATCTCAAGAAAATAATTTGTGTGTTTTGCTAATTGTGAATTGCTCCTATTTTTATCGTTTTTATAAATATTTTTTGAAATCTCATATTAATTTTTAACTTAAAATTTTTTAAAATAATAAGTTAATTTGTTACACAAATAAGTTTAATTAGATTATTACTAAGAAATACTCCATGGGATAATAATCAATAAGCACATCACGTAACAAAATCTTTAAGGAAACTGATGAGTGTCAGTTGTCTATAGCTTTGCCGATTGAATTATTTGGTATGGATATTCTATACCTATACGTCCGTCCACTATGCAATTTTATTATTCATTTTGTAACCCATTCCTCGCGGTGTAACCCTCGCGAAATAATTTTTTCATGAATCTATATAGTATGCTACACAGTAGTAAAATTCATGTAACGTAATTATATCTTTAACAATGTTCTCTCTACAATCAAAGCAGATAAAATACAAAGCAAAATCTTCAAATATTAAATAATCATCTATAATCTTTATAAAATATTGATGCAGACATAAATTATACTTCTATAATACTTAATTTCTACATAATGCAGCTTTTATTCTAAGTCAGTCATTTATTTGTAGAAGTAAGTTACAAACCGCATATGATGTCTTAAATATATCTGCAATAAATTATCAAAGTTAATCTTAGTTTAATCGCATATGTATTGTATTTTGATATATTGATATCTAGGGTAACGCTCATAATGATATGTAAGGTACGAAAATTTTAATTTTTATATTTAATTTTATATTGAATTTTTATAGTCGTGGAATTATATTAAAATTAAAAAATTAAATCAAATCTGATAATTGGTTCTGTTATATTAATTGTAATTGTATTGCCTCTGTAATTTATTAAAATCTATATATGAAAATTATCTTACATATTTAAATTTTTAATTATAAAATTATGTTGCAAAAATCTGCATTACACACATTCAATGTTTTTTATACTTACATTTATAAAAGTATCAAGATTCATAAAGATAGTATAGGCACTTGTGATTTCAATAGACATTACTGTGCGTTCCATCATTATAATTAAAGATTTTTTTCAAGTTATTATCCAAAGTAAATTTCAATTCGAAAATATCTATAAATTGGCGACTCTTTTCAAATGTGCACAACATTTAAAAATTACTTTTAAACCTTTCATTTTTACAATAAAACTTTTAAATATTAATTTTGTTAATTACTTACTGTATGCCTTTATCAAAATAATGAATTTTTATTTAGATAGTATGTAAAAACTTGAACAATATAAGTTATTCTAATGTAATAAAATCTTGATAAAAATGCTAATAATTGTAAAATAATTAAATTAATAAATATATAGTAAAATGAGTAATGCGTAAAATAAATAATGAGTAATGTATATACATAAATTGTTATTACAGATATTTTTTTTGTTTTTCTAACAACACTACATAACGTTATTGATCAATATCAAATGCATCAAATATTTCTTCATGATTTCATCTCCATTTCGTGTATCTCCTTCAGATTTGATTTTGTGGTGTGGATAGAGCAATAATTTTGCCTTTTACACTGCTGTCACTTCCGCATTTGTTGAAGTAAATTGTAAGTAGAATACGATGTCTTAAGTACCTAGAATTAATATTTATAAATATGCGTGTGTGTGTACACGTGCACGCGTGCATATTTATATATTTGTGTAAAATATTTAAAAATTAAAATATGTTTATAATTATAAATTATTAGTTAATTTTGTTAATTAATATACAATAAATAACATTATATACATATATAATTAAAGTTCTGCAATATTTTAATTTAGTATAAAACATAATATAATAGTGAATAAAATTTTCTTAGGCTTAATAAAATATTTCTCATTACACATTTTCTCACATTATTATAAATTCTCTCTAAAATGCCATGTTGACTTAAACCTATACGATTGTAATTGTCAAAATTATGTCATTCTCAAAATTATCATCAATATAATATTAAATTGTTCATACTAACACCCATGAAAGAATCGAGATTCATGGGAATGACGTAGGCGCTGGTAATCTGAATAGGTATAATTGCTCGCTTCATTATTATTATTAAAGATTTCTTTACATTTTTGTCCAATGTCAGCCATTCCATTTCAAAAATGTCATCGATCAGTTGGCGGCTCTATTAAAATGTGTAAGACGTATTTATTAAAATATTGCTTGCAACAGTAAAGAAAATATATTTTTATCATTGCCATATCTTAATTATTAACATTTTTTAACAATAAATATTTTATCAAAATTTTACAACTAAAGAAATTATATTAAATAATTTAAAGATATTATATTAAAGTTTAAATATATTGTAATATTTATGTTATAATTATTTGAATATATATATATATATATATATATATATATATTGCATAATGTTTATATAATCGTAATAAATATTATATACAAGATTATTGAGAAAACATTCAAATATATTGAAAGCTTGTACCTTTAATTTTAATTCGTTTCCGTACCAGCAATAAAAAAAATTTGTGTTAACATGCAAGACATAAGCAATATCATTTCAATGTATTTGGCTTTTGCAGTTGTTTTACTTAATTGATAAAGAATGAAGCACACTATGAACATGCTCATTACTAATTGAATGGTCATCGTCAGCCTAAATTTCACATTTACAAGAAAAGCAAGTCTGAAATTTAACAATTTTTCTGTTATAAAAATTTATTTCGATTAAATGTATCGAATATATAAATCTTGTTATATTAAAATAATTAGCATATATATTTCTGTATCAATATGTGTGAAAAAGCATATTATTAAATTATACACTATTATTAGAATATACGCTATATTAAAAATATATGCTAATTATTTTAAGGAGGTAGAAAAAATATCAAAAATAGCGAAATTATTAAAATCAACCTAAAGATATGATAATGTTGCCGTATGCAATCGCGAAAAATGTCCGAATAAAACTTAATGTTTCTCAAACGATAACTTAAAATCTCAATTTGACAGCAAATGTGGACTAAAAATCCACAGATAAGCGTATCACAAGCAATATTTAAGTATCCTCCGGCTAATAAACTTATCAGTTGATGACTGTATGTCAAGAAAAATAACGTTGTCGACGAATAATCAAACGGTAGCCATGCCCTGTATGTTAATTTTCTTTGTTTTAAATTTATAGATAAAGATGTCAACAATATACATAATGATGTTATTGAGCCGAGGACTGTAAAACGCCGAGTATTAATTCTGTAAAATAATTACAAATATGCATATAAATGTGAGATAAACAAAATTTCTCAATAATTTTAAAATAATAGTCTTGAAGCTTTATTACATATAAACATAAAAATAAAATTATTAGGTTTATTTAGATCATAAACAATTTCATTTATCATTTACAATCTTATTATCTAATAATAAAAGAATATAATAAAGAATAAAGAATTTTGATGTTTGACGAACAATTCAGAGAAATTTTATAATATTAAATTTAAGTTAATTACAGAATATTATATTATAATAATTCTATTTTGTTAATACTTACTGTATGCTGTTATCAAATTTATAAAGAATTTCTATTTCTTTCTTTGCCACCGGTCTACATGGTTTTTGCATCAATATATTAATTAACATAATAATGCTTTTGCGATTTATCAGTAAAATAAATATTTTACTGCAAGTTAGAAGCATAGGGACTAATGTAAAAACATTATCAGAAAAATCATCGGCATTATCCACAATCAGAATTATGTCCATTAATTGCGATAACATAAAGGTATATAATGATATAATCATTATACTTGAATATATATAATATAATATTTGTTTATATAGCGATGTCCAAGACTCCGGTCGCCAGCACCCAAATATTGTTAGAAGTGTAAAAGTGAATTCAAGAATATGCATTTTAATAAATTATGTTTTTCGATATCGTTTTGTGAAGCACACAAAATATGTCATGGAATATTAAAATTCTCTTATAAATTTTATAATTATATTGAAATAGCATCAATTTTTTATATTTTAAGAAAATAATTTGCTGTTTTGTTAGTTGTAAATTAATTCTATTTATACCGTTTTTATATGTACAAATATCATTTAACTCTCACATTAGTTAAAAAAGCTTTTAATTAATTATAAGTAAATATTTATATGTCTAATTAAATCTTAACCAAGGAATACTTCATGGGATAATAATAATCGATAAGCACAACACGTAACAAAACTTTCAAGGAAACTGAGTGTCAACAGTCTATAGCCTTACGACTCGTATTTATTCGATGTAGATATTCTTTATTCAGAATTCCCACCATAATTTTATTATTCATTTTGCAACCTATTCTGCGCAGCGTAGCCCTCGCGAAATAATTTTTTCATGAATCTATATAGTATGCAACACAGCAAAATTCATATAACGTAATTATATCTTTTACGATGTTTTCTACCATCGGAGAAGAGAAGATACAAGGCAAAATCTTCAAGTATTGAATAATCAGCTATAATCTTTATGAATTATTTATACAGACAAATTATACTTCTATAATACTTAATTTCTACATAATGCAGCTTTCATTCCGAGTCACTCATTCATTTGTTGAAGTAAATTATAAGCCGAATATGATGTCTTGAGTACCTACGATAAATCAAAATAGGTATTCATTTTATTTAATTTAAAGTATGTATTGATTGATTGATATCAGCAAAAGCACGCAACAACACTCATATGCACAGACATATAAATTTTCCATGATTTAATTTTTATTGTCATAGTGTAAGTATATTTAAATTGACTAAATCCAAATAATTTGATGATCAATTTATATTTTTGATAATCTAATTACATTAAATATAATTAACATTGCATTTTGTTTCCAATTATAATTGAATAGATTTTTATTGAAATATAAAATCAATCTTATACTCCAAATTGAGAAATACGTTAGCATAAATCTGCGTATTCAACGTTTTATACTTACGCCTACAAAAGAATCAAGATCCATAGAGATAGTATATGCACTAGTAATTTCAATAGATTTCAATGTACGTGTCATCATTATTATTAAGCACTTTTTTAAATTTTTGTCTAAAGTCAACCATTCCATCTCGAAAACTTTATCGGCAAATTGAAGACTCTATTCAAATATGCAAAAGATTTAATTTTTTGTTTATATTTTTATAAAAAAAAGTTATGTTTTTAAAATTTTAATTACCCATATTACTATTAAATCTTATAATTAGAGAAACAAATTATAAAAAATTTGATGTGTTAACATCAAAAATAATTTTACATAATAAACATTGGAATTTTATATTATATTTTATTTAATAAAGTAACGTGTAAATGTGCAAATTAAAATTTATTTTTTTATCTTATTGCACTATATTAAAATAAATGTAAATATGCATATAAATAAAATATTTAGAAAAAGAAAAGTTCAATGTCCAAAATATTGTGATAGTAATAAGAATTAAGCTTGCACCTTTAATTTGACTTCATTGCCATACCAACAATAGACGAATACTTCTACTAGCATGCAACTCATGAATAATGCTAGTCGAATACACTTTGCATCCAGCTTCGACATACTTATTTGATAGAGATTGAAACATATCTCAAACATACTCATCAAAAATTGAATAGTAATAATTATTCTAAATTTCGTATTTACAAGGAAAGCAAACCTGAAAGAATTAATAATGATTTTTATACAATTCGCTATATAAAAATAAAAGTAAAGAAACATATTTTATTTATTTTTATATTATACTTTAAATATATATATTTAATATAATTAAATAGACTTAAATGTACATTACAATATATTTAAATCTTTCTTTATATTTATATTATAAATAATAATTAAGAGCAAACTAAATAATTATTTTAATAAAAATATTAAATAATAAATTTAATAAAAAAACATGAATTTTATTATATCAAAATACTTAATAAAAAATCGTACATGTATCGTTTTCTAAATATATGTATACAGGGTGTCCTATAATTTGCGAATTACCTTTCATGGGCAGATAGAGCGTGTTAAACTGAATAGAAAAGTCCTGTATCATTTTGCGATATTTGCAATAATTATTGAGTTATTAACTAAAATATCTAAACGAATGAGCAGGTAGAAAGCGATAGGCCGGACTCGGTGTGCATGTCGGATGACTTATTTGTTATATGCCGCTTAGTATCAAAAGTATTATCTTACTTTTCGGCGCCACTACATAGGTCGCCGCTCGCTGCATGACGCCGCCTCTCGATCAAATAATGCTTTCTACCTGCTTATTCGTTTAGATATTTTAATAAATAACTCCATAATTATTACGAATATCGCAAAATGATACATGAATTTTCTATTCAGTTTAACACGCTCTATCTGCCCATAAAAGGTGATTCGCGAATTATGGGACACTCGTATATTTAATATAATTAAATAGACTCAAATGTACATTACAATATATTTAAATCTTTCTTTATATTTATATTATAAATAATAATTAAGAGCAAACTAAATAATTATTTTAATAAAAATATTAAATAATAAATTTAATAAAAAAACCTGAATTTTATTATATCAAAATACTTAATAAAAAATCGTACATGTATCGTTTTCTAAATATATATATTTAGGTGCCAATTAAAAAATTTTCAGACCGACCTAAAAATACTACAATGTTGTTGCACACAGTTACGAACACCATCTGAATAAAGTATAATTTTCCTCAATCGATATGTTAAAATTTCAAACTGAGAGCAAATGTGCACCAATAATCCACAAATAACACCGTCACAAGCTGCGTTCAGCAAAGCACCCACAATTAATCCTAACAGTTGATGAACGTATAACAGGCAGAATATAGTCGTAGATGAATATTCAAAGGGCACCCACGCTCTGAACGTTAACTTTCTTTCGCCAAAATTTGTCATCAAGGATGTAAAAGTAATACTGATCCACGTTATCAAGCACATAGCTGTATAATGAAAAGTGTTAAGCCTGCAAAATAACTATAAACTTATTTACTTTTCTTTGCATTATTTTTGATTATAAGTATATAAAAACAATCTTATATTTGTAATATTTACATAAAAATGTTACATAAGATAAATAAATCTAATTATTGAAATTTAAATAACTAATACCCATAAAAATAAATTAACCTTAAATTAAAAAATTTGCAACAAACGTAACTAAGATGTCAGTTGACATATAACGATAAGATTTAAGTAATATTAATAATTTTTTATAAATTACTTACTCTATGCCTTTATCGAATTTATAATGAATTTCTATTTCATTTGCTTTCAATGGTTTGCATGGTTCCTTTGTCAAAATTTCGGTCATTTCAATAATGTTTTTGCGATTTGCCAATAAACTGAACAATTTAAAACAAGTTATAATCATAGGAAGTAGTATGCAAAAATTGTTGCAAAAATCATCTGTATTATCCACGATAAGAATTATATCCATCAATTGTGACAATGTGAAAGTGTTAACTATCAAAATTATTAGGAATGTGTATATTTGATATAGTGTATGTTTATATATCGATGTCCAAGATTTCGGCTGCCAACAACCACATAATGTTAATATTTTAAGAGGAAATTCCAACACATTCATCTTGAATTTCTTCTCTTGGTTATCATCCATTATATGATAACAATTAACAATAATCGCAATTTTAAATCTGTTTTACTTATATTTGCACCTGAGTAGTTACATTTTGTTTCTAATTTAATTTTATTAAATGTATTAAATTTAGCAAATATTTTACTTTGAACAGCTATAATATTTATTATGTATAACGAAACACTCACTTTAGTATAAACTATTTATGGTTTCAGCTGAAATTTTGGCAAAAAAAGTAATTGACATAATTAAAATAACAAATTGTACGATATTGTGGGAAAAATTTTTTATACACAGATATAAAAGAGCGATAGGGAATACAATTCATAGAATAACTCTAACCAAGATTTATAATTTCTACTGTTCTTCTTCGAGATAATAGCATTTTTTACAGTCGATAATCTTCTTTCTTATTCTGCAACAATGTCCCTCGCCACATAATATTCTCATGAATTGATAATGAAACAAGCATGTAAAGCACGATACTTTTTGAGTGCATGTCCGATAAAAACAGATCGCCGAGAAAATAAGAAGAGATATTTAAATATTAAATATAATCGCTTATACATTTCTATATAAAATATTCACATAGGACAACTATACTTTTGCAAGAAAACATTTGACTTAATTCTATCCTACACGGCACAGTATCACTGTATTAAAGAGTATCACATTATATTAAACCTTTCTTTCACATATTGATCACAGTGGCTACAATTTCTATTGAAGGACTTCAGAGCGCATAAGTATTTATAATATCATAATAATATCGAATTGAGTGAGACATGTGTGCATATTATTAATTTTTCTAAAAACTACTTTTATTATATTTTTCTTAAAAATAATTTTAATTAAATTTCTTAAATATTCCTGAAAATAAGTTTAAATTATATTTAATTATATTTATATTTTAATTTTATTTTTGGTTTTCTCAACATTTTTTTCAATAGTTTACTTGGTTTTCTGAATAAGCCGAAAAGTAATTATCGAAGATTTCAAAAGCGTGTTTTAATCATGATCATTATAATTTGCGTTAAAATGTTTTATTTAATACTTACAACATGCATATATATAATATATAAATATATAAAATATGTAAATATGTAAAATATATAAATATAAGTATATATAAGTTTAAGAGAAATAATTTTATCAATTTTAAAAAAATCTATTTTTTTAAAAAAACTTTTACAGAATTTATACAAAAATATTTCTTTCTAATGTATTCTTGTTTAAATCATTGGTATAACAACCAAATTAATAATTATACATGATTCATATAACAATTACATAATATACAAATAATAAATACTCACTTCAGAATTATTAACTAACTTTCGGGAATTTATTTAGATCTTCTTCTCCTCTTAGGTTGATTATTAGAATAGTCAGAATTAATTTGCACGTTAATTTGCATGTTATATTCACAAAAAGTTTGTAGTATAATAAACCTAACTCTTTGCGCACAGTATTCTCGTATTTAAACTCACAACACTTTGAATGACACTCCCGAATTATATATACAATCATTTATATCTCGTTTCGCACTTTGAATTAATAAAATAATTTTGAGCAATCTATAAGTAACAAAAAGAAAAATGAAATCGACGAATGAGATTGATATGAATGAGCTTCAATTTTTGTTTCAGAGCATATTCTCATTGTAAGTTTTAAAAATTGCAAATGTATGTATGTATGTACCATATGTATGTACACACACACATATATATATATATATATCTTTTTTATTTTATTTAATATAATTAATGTAATTAATAAAATTACGCGCACGAAGCAAAGTTGTATTATTTTTTATAAAATATTAAAAATTGCAATGCATGCATAAAAATTATTATTGCAATGCATGCGTAAAAAAATATATTAATTAATTATGCAATGCATAAAAACTCAATATTTAAACCTTTAACAGAAAATACGAACAAAAAATAGCATTTTCCGTAAGAATCTTTCGAGCAAAATACCTGCTCTTCTATTAGACTCGCGCGTCTCCGTACGCCCGCTACGTTCGCGCGCGACTGATCCCCCACCAGTCTGCACTCGTCACGTCACGTGACTCACGTGACCATCAGTCTCGTAGTCGCGATACCTCGCATAAGAGTCAGTCTCGCGCGAGACGCGCACCGTGATAGATGGATGGGGTGTACACGTCCTAATGGAAAATATAGGAAGAGAAATGTTTTCGCCGAGTTCGGTTCATTCTTAGCTCTCTGCTGCTTCCTACTAATAATTAATTTCCTCTTCAGAATAAATCCTCTCAGGTACTGACGTGTCCTCTCACCAACATCAAGGTATACTTATCGATAGAATTATATTATATAATTTTGTAATATAATTGTATAATTCGTAATTTTTTTATTTCATAATTGAACCATTTTTTTATTTCGATTTTTATTTGAAGCAATTGCGTTGAATACACTTTGATAAGAAATTATTTGTGTAAATTAACATAATATTATTATTTTACGCGAGAATTTTTACATGCCAAGAAAAAGTTTCCTTTTTTAAAACTTTTAAATTGCAGTTTATTAAATAATAGATGATATACAGAAATAAATACAGAACTGACATACAGAATTCTGACATACAGAAATAAATACTGCGCGTGTAGTACTTTGTATCGTTCTAATAAGATAATAATATGAATATTGTATAGCTATAATCTAATTTTTACTTTATTAGTCCTTCGTTTGTTTAAGCAAATTGTAAACCGAATATGATGTTTTAAGAATCTACAATATATAACCATATATAATCTCTTACATTTAGAGAACTTCTACATTCTATAATCTCTTTAATGATAAAATATGGCAAAACCATATAAATTGCAACATCTTTACAGTGATTAATTTCCTTATTTACTTAATATAATTAAAATAAATTAAATTAATTGTGAATTTTATAAAATGATACTTTTAATGTAATTATTATTTTAAATATAATAAACGTCTTTTTGTGAATTAATTAACACTTTTTCATTAAAATACAAAATCAAATTTATGTAAATACGAAAGTAATTTCGACGAAGAAAATTACACATCTGATATTTTTATACTTACACCCATAAAAGAATCAAGATTTACAGGAATAGTATAGGCACTAGTGATTTCAATAGGGATTACTGAACGTTTCATCATTATTATTAAAGATTTTTTCAAATTGTTATCCAAAGTAAACCATTGAATTTCAAAAATGTTATTTATAAACTGGCGACTCTATTCAAATATACAAAACATGTAGAAACTTTTAAATTTATATATATATATATATATATATATCAACAAAGAAAATTTGAAATTGTATATATCTAAATTTATATGTATTATATTAACATGTAATAAATAATAATAATCTGTACAGTTAAAAATATTAATTCTAAGATAGATTAATATATACATTAAAAATATATTGATTTTTTTACAGTCATTTAATTTTGTCCTTATAAATTAATGTAAGACTTAAAAAATTTATTTTTTATATTTACGTAATATATTAACATAAATAAAAATGTAAGAAAAATAAAAATAGAAAAAATAGAAAAAATTTTAATATTATTTAATATAAACTTTAATATAAACTTATTATGCTAATAATAAAAATTAAGTCAGTACCTTTAATTTAACTTGGTTGCCAAACCAACAATAGACGAAAATTTGTGTTAGCATACAACCCATAAATAATGCTAATCGAATACATCTTGAATCCAATTGTGATAGACTTATTGTGTAAAGATTAAAGCATACAATAAACATACTTAGTAGAAATTGAACAGTAATAATCATTCTAAAATTCTCATTAATAAGAGTAGCCAATCTGAAACAAAATTAATAATGAAGGATAATTATATAAGAGTGTGAAATAGAAATAAAGTGTTATTTGAAGAAATATATCTTATTTTCTTTTATACATATCTATAACATAATTTGCTTTTGCATAAGAAATAGTTATAATTATCTCAATAAAGAAATATATTTTTATTATAATAAGATAAATAATAAAAATTTTGAAAAATATCAAAGTTAAAAATGATTTTTATTACATTAAAATATTAATAGTAAAAATAAATATACGTTATTATTCAAATATATTTACATATAATTTTATATGTATTTAAATAAGAAATTTAATCATATAATAAAAGTTATAAGGACCAACTTAAAAATTTTACAATGTTGTTGCACGCAAATACGGAGATCATCTGAATGAAGCATTCTTTTCAAACGGTCTGTCAAGATTTCAAATTGGCAGCAAATGTGCTCCATTAATCCACATATGAGAGTGTCGCAAGATATGTTTACTAAAGCACCTATGCTCAAACCTATCAACTGATGAATAAATAACGAGCAATATGTAGATATAGATGAATTATATTCAAACGGTATCCACGCTCTATACGTTAATTTTCTTTCTCCAAAATTTGTCAATATAGATGTAATCGTAATAATGGTGATTGTCACGAAGCACATAGCTGAATAGTGAAAAGTATTAATCCTATAAAATTAATATAAAATTATATATTTAATATATTTACTTATTTTTTTATTTATGGAATAGATAAAAAGTTATTTTATAATGATACAATGATTGTTCAAAAATAAAATATTAAGTTAATTAAACTCTGCGAGATAAATTTTAATAAAATTGACAAACTATAAAGTTAAGAATAAGTTTTGCATTAAATAAATCCAAAGAATTTTTACAAAACATTAAAATGCATATTTTTACAGTGACGCAGTAATAGTAATTGATTGTATTAATACTTACTGCATGCCCTTATTAAATTTATAATAAATTTCTATTTCATTTGGTTCTAATGGTTTGCACGGTTTCTTATTCAGAATATCGATTAATTTTATAATGTTTTTACGACTTGCCAATAAACTGAATAATTTGAAGCAAGCTACTACCATAGGAATTAATATGCTAAAGGTGTCACAGAAATCGTCTGTATTATCCGCGATAAGAATTATATCCATTAATTGTGACAATGTAAAACTATTTACTAAGAAAATTATTAGAAGCGAATATATTTGATATATTATATGTTGATATACCGACGTCCAAGATTTCGGCTGCCAGCAACCAACTAATGTTAGCACTTTAAAAGGAAGTTCCAACAGATTTATTTCGATATTCTTTTCTTCTGTATTATCCATGCTTGTTAGTAATAATAGACAATAATCGCACTCTTTTTTAAATACGTTCTCACTTATTTCTACACCTGATATTTCTGCATCTTATATTCTATCTAATTTAATTTTATTAAGTGTTATATTAAATTTAATAATATCTCGCTTTGAACAGGTATTTGTTATGTATAACTGCGAGCACTCACTTTATTATAAACTATTTAACGGTGGTTACAGCTCAGATGTTGGGAAAGAGAGCAATTTAGACAACAAAACTTAAATATTGTACGATATTATGAAGAAACTTCTTATATTTCTTATATAAAAGAACAACATGGAATACAGTTCATAGAAAACGATTGCTCCAGATATATAACTTCTACTGTTCTTTTTCGTGATAATATCATTTTATTTGTAGTTAATCTTCTTATTTCTTTTACGATAATGTCTCTCGCAGCATAATATTCTCATGAATCGATAATAAAGTACAAAGATGTAAAGTTTGCACGATAATTTTTCAGTGAAAACAAATAAGGAAATAAGAAGACTGATTTAAATATTAAATATAATCGCTTACAATTTTGTATAAAATATTCACATAGGCAAGATATTATTTTCGCAAGAAAATATCTGCCTTAACTCTATGCGGTGCAGCACCATATTGTATTAAACCTTTCTTTCATGTATTGAATAAGTAGTCGCTACAATTTCTATTGAAGAACTTTAAAGTGCATGAGTATTTATCTTAATATCAATAATATCAAATTGAGACAATACAATACGATAAACAATTTTACAAAAAAAATCACAAAATTTTTAAAATATACTTTAAGTATACTCATCGAGATTTGGAACGCGCTGAAATGTCTATTTAATGCATATAATAAAATACACAAATATATAAGTAAAATGATTTTATCGTTCTTAGAAAGACTATATTTTAAAAAATTTACGGAACTTATACGAAAATAATTCTATTTCTCTTTAATATTCTCTTGTTAATGTAAATTGTTTATATAAACAAGCCGAATAATGCATACGTAATTATAATATAACACAATAATATCTCGAATAATTATAATAATAATGACTAATACAAATAATAACTACTCACCCCAGGATTGCTCCACCAGCTCTTGTTTCTTCTCTAGATTTTTTCCCCTAAGCCGGAATCGTTCGAAGCTTCAGAATTAGGGTTCGTTGATTTGTACATTATACATAAAATTTATACAGTATGTTAAGTAATGTAAAATATAATAATTTTTATAGATAATTTAACTCGGCTTTTTATTTTAGTTGCTATGTTATACATAATTTATAACAGCTGTTACATTCCTAACATTAACAACTAAGTAAATAAACAATAATGTAGATGTATCGTATAAATATAAGTCAATTTCATTACATTTGTTTAAGCAAGTTGTAAGCGGAATATGACGTTTTAAGTATCTACAACAAATATAAAAGTCCATATTTCAATTTACATTTATACATCAATATATTTGATGATTTTGCAATGACAAAATACGGTAAAGACATATTAAATTAATATATAATATATAATATTTTTGTCCAATATTTCGATTTTTATTGACTACTTAATTAAATTTTAAATTTAAATTAACTAGATTTTATATTAACTTTGTCAAAATTAATGCAGTCATTTTGAATATAATTAAATAGCATGTTTTTACTAAATTAATTAATATTTTATATAAATATCGATTGTCAATTTTTTGCAAAATTGAATCTAGAATGTGACAAAATCAGCTTTAATCATATATATATAAAATTTTTGTACTTACACCCATAAAAGAATCAAGATTCATCGAAATAGTGTAAGCGCTCGTGATTTCGATAGGCATTGTTGTACGCTTCATTATTATTATTAAAGATTTTTTTAAATGTGTGTCCATCTCTAACCATTCAATTTGAAAAATGCTATCAATGAATTGGCGACTCTACTTGAATACACAGAACACATCTTGCTTATAAATATTTGCTTATAAACATAAATATATTAATATACATTTTATATAAAAAATGTTTTGTTAAACTGCTAAATTAAAAATAAATTAAGATAGCAATCTAATTGTAAGACTTATGAATGTAAATATTAATTTTTTTGCAATCATTTTATTCTAATTTTTTAAAATCAAACAGCTTAAACAATTATTTTTATATTTATATTTAATCTATTAGCATATACATAGATATATGTGAAAACAAAAAATATAAAACACTGAAATTAAATGAAAAATAAATAACAATTTTAATATTAAAATAATAATAAACATTAATTGCACCTTTAATTTAACTTCATTGCCATACCAACAATAGACGAAAATTTGTGTCAGCATACAACACATGAACATTGCTAATCGAATACATCTTGCGCTTATCCCCATTTGAGTTAATTGATAGAGATTGAAGCATACCACCAACATACTTATTAAAAGTTGCGTAGTAATAACCATTCTAAATGTTGCATTTACAATAACAGCAAATCTGAAGAAAAAAAGAATTGATAAGAAATCATTTTTATACTTATATATGAGCTAGAGAAATAAATAAAATGTGTTTTATTAATTTTTACATAAATCATATTTGATTTATATTTCTTTCATTATCTTTTATTTATATAATCGTAATAGTTTTTTCAATATTAATATATAAATAATTATTTTAATAAAAATGACAGGTATTATATATGTAGAATTTTTTATATTACACTAAAATTAATTATTATATCTTGCTTTCTATATGTATCAACATATGAAAGATTGTCAAGGTTGGTTTTTTTTACAAACATTAATTGTGTTATACGAACCTGAAAATCTTGCAATGTTGTCGCACGCAATTACGAAGAGTGTTTGAATAAAGCATGATTTTTCTCAAACGATATGCCAAGATTTCAAATTGGCAGCAAATGTGCACTAATAATCCGCAGATGAGACCGTCGCAAGCGACGTTCAACAATGCAGCCATATTCAAACATATCAGCTGATGAGCGTATAACATGCAAAATACGATCGTAGATGAATAATCGAACGGCACCCAGGCTCTGTACGTTAATTTCCTTTCACCGAAATCCGTCAATAAAGATATAAATGTAATAGAGATGCATGTCACTAAGCCCAGAGCTGCATAATGAAAAGTGTTAAGTCTGCAAAATGACTGCACATTTATGTTTCTCCGTATCCTTTGTTTTTTGTTTAAAGAATTGCACAAGTCTTAGCATAGTAATTTGTGAAATCAAATAAAAAGTATTTAATTAAACTAAGGGAGAATATTTATGAGAAAAATAAAGAAAGAAGATTTAACGAACACAAATATAAAAATTGACAATTAAAATTCAGAGAATTTTTCTAATTTCTAATAAAATTCGGACGAAATAATTTTTAGTCGAACAGTCAATACTGTAAAATAATTATTGTTTTTTTATAATAATACTTACTGTATGCCTTTATCGAATTTATAGTAAATTTTCATTTCATTCGGTTTTGACGGTTTGCACGGTTCCTTTGTCAAAATATTAGTTAATTTGACAATACGTTTATGATTTGCTAATAGACTGAGCAGTTTGTAACAAGAAATAAACATAGGGAGCAGTATGCAAAAGTTATCAGAAACGTCGTCGGGATTGTCTGCGATAAGAATTATATCCATAAATTGCGACAGTGTGAAACTATTTACTAACAAAATTATTAAAACTGTGTACACTCGATATATTATGCGTTTATATTTCGATGTCCATGACTCTGGTCGCCAACAACCGCATATTGTTAACACTTTAAAGGTAAATTCCAGCACTTGCATTACAAAATTTTTGGTAAAATAATTAATTTGTACTCTGCGTAGAGTATATTGATATTAATTTTCTTAAATGGAATAATATTTCACTTGCAAAATACAATCAGTAAACTGAGACGTGTTTTACATATTATACTAAAAAGAAAATCTTTTTTATATTAGATTTTTATATTTTTTATTAATTATAAATTATTTATGAGATAAAATATAGGTGTATTATTTTTTAGTAAAGTAATATTAGTTAAACAATAATTAGATGAAATAATAATATAAATAAAAATTATTCACGGATATAAAAAAGAACAACACAATCCACAGATAGAATGACTGACGACAGTTTATAACTTTGTCACCTTTTTCGCAGGTGGCATATTTTTCGCTCCGTTTTCCCCTCGAAATCAATAATTTTAATATTCATTTTGCAACAGTCTCTTACATAGTATTCTCATGAATCGAAAATACAGCGTACAGCTGCAATCTTCCTATGACGATTTCTGAGCGCATGTCCCCTAAAGGCGGAACGCAGAGGAAATAAAAGAGGAGATGTTTAAATATTAAACAGCCACTTATGTAAGCCATCGTAACGTAAATAATTACATAGGTAAAATATATTCTCTCTTTTGAAGGAAAACATTTTATTAACGGTACGAAATGCTACATCGCATTAAATCTTCCCTTTGCATGTTGATGTCCCTATAGAAATTCTAATAAAAGATTTAAAGTATGTGACATATATAATCAATAATATCGATTGTAAGCTAGACCTATACAATATAATAAAATGATATATGTAATAAAAAATTAATATGTAACAAAAAATAAGAAAGAAAGAGAGAAATTTTTAAAAATGTATATATATGTATATGTAAAAAAAAACTTCCCTTTTATTCTTTTATCTATAAAAACTACTAGATACAAGAATTATTGTTAATTGTAACATTCCATTAATCTCGATTTATATTAAAAATTTAATGCTATTTAAATGTACATGTAAAACTAAATTTATGTAATTATCAAGTATATTGTATTGTTCTTATGTTTTCTGCAATATGTTGTAAGCTGAATATGAGGTTTTAAGCAACTGCAATAAACAAATATTACATATATACCATAAATAAATAAATATTAGAAAATTTACTTGAATTATTAAGAAGAAGATAATATGATAATTTCAATATAACAATTTATTAAATTTTTAATATGTATTAAAATTTGTTAATTATATATATTTATTAAAAAATTTGTTTTACTTCCTACAAATTAACTTTTATGTATTTTATATTAAATATAGATGTTATTAGATTTGTCCATTAATCTTATATAATGATAAAAAATATTTTATACTAACACCGACGAAAGAATCAAGATTCATAGAGATGATGTAGGCGCTGGTGAATTCGATTGGCATTGTACTGCGTCTCATAATCAATAATAAAGCTTTCTTTACATTTTGGTCCAGCATACACCATTTCATTTCGAAAATATTATTGATGAGTTGTCGGCTCTATATTTATTATAATATTATATTTTTCATATAATTACCTATTACTCATATATTATTTTAATATATAAATAATATATATTAGAATGCGTAAAGATATATTAATTCTAGAAATATGTAAATCAAACTAATTAATTTATTTATTAATTTCGCTTTGTTTCCAACGAAAATTTAGTTTCGTTGTAAACGTACGTAGAAAACATCCGCGTATGGCTCTTTACGCCTTTCTTATGATTTAGATTTTTATTTATTAATAATTATTCTGATTAATTGCTTTTTATGTGATTTTTTTTAACAATCGCATACCTTTAGCTTTACTTCATTTCCGTACCAGCAATAAAAAAAGATTTGCGTTAACATGCTACACATGTACAATATCAATTGAATGTACTTTTCGTTCGATGTGGTTGTTCTGGTTAATTGATACAAAGTAAAACACATTACCAATGTGCTTACTATAAACTGAATAGTAATAGTGAACCTAAAATTCTCGTTGATCGCAAAAGCAAGACTGTAATTAAATGCAATCATTTTTATTAGTATTTACAAATCGTAAAATGGCATTGATATTTTTATCAACGCAGCAGTACTAATGATCTTTCCCATACAGCACAAAATATTTTTAAAAAATGTAAAAATATTTCTTGAAAGATAAAATAATTCTCGAAAATATTTTTAAAATGTTTCTATGTCCGCTTTTTCATGTTTAAAAATATTTTTAAAAGTTTTGAAAAATATTCTAAAAAATGTGATCAAAAAAATGTTTAAATCATTTAAAAATATTCGTAAAACGATTTTAAAATGTTTTATGCAATATTTTATAAAAATATTTAGAAATATTTGTTGAAAACATTTATATAATATTTTGTATTGTATAAGTTCAACATTAATTATCACATTAATATTTTTAAAATGTTTCTATGTCCGCTTTTTCATGTTTAAAAATATTTTTAAAAGTTTTGAAAAATATTCTAAAAAAATCTGATCAAAAAATGTTTAAATCATTTAAAAATATTCGTAAAACGATTTTAAAATGTTTTATGCAATATTTTATAGAAATATTTAGAAATATTCGTTGAAAACATTTATAATATTTTGTATTGTATGGGTTTAACATTAATTATACAGATATATAAATACAAACTCGAAAATCCGATTATGTTGCAGGATACAATCGCGAAGAATATCAGGCTCACGTCCTATTCTTCTCAAGCGAGATTCTAGTATCTTGAACTGACAGCAAATGTGCACCAATAGGCCACAAATAAGACCGTCGCAAGCGACGTGAAGAACGGATCCGACTATCATACTTATCAATTGGTGAGCATATGTAATGTGATATAAAAATGGCAATGAATAATCATACGGCAACCAGGCTCTGAATGTCAGCGTCTGTTTCCTGAAGTCCGTGAGCAATGACGTTAACGTGATGCATACGCAAGTCGTTTCAACCAGGATAGCGTAATGTATCGTATTTGCTCTGTAAAATAACTGTAGACATTGTTGTGTGACATTTGTTATTCGATGTTTGCTTAATATCAATTTTTTAACACGTGTAAATTTATTAATACAATTTTCTCAATATATTGCACATAGAAATATAAAAAAGATCATATCAGCAGCATTAATTGGAAATATATTTAATATATTTAAAACTCGATTTTTTTTGCATTTTCAAGAGTTATGTCATATATATATTTCTCGTAACTGGACATTAATTTTAATGTAGCACTTATTATAAAAATTTTTTTTTTTTTCAGTATACTTACTGCACTCCCTTATCAAATTTGTGATATATTTCCATTTCACTTGATACCAATGGTTTACAGGGTTTTTCCGTGAGAATGTTGGTTAATATTTCGATATTTTTGCGATTCACCAACATACTGAGCATTTTACAACAAGAGACGATCATCGCAAGTAATATGTAAAAATTATCGGTGAAATCGTCCGGATTATCCACGATAAGAATAATATCCAGTAATTGTGATAAGGTGAATGTATTTATTAACACAAGTATAAAAACTGTATGCACATGATATATTATGCGTTTAAATGCCGATGTCCAAGAATCCGGCCGCCAACAACCACAAATAATTAAGAATTTAAAAGTGGAGTCTAATATCTGCATATTTTCAACTTTATACCTTCCGATATTCCATTTATACAAAGACTAAATAGCACAAGAATTAAATATATATGTAATAAAGATTCTCTAATTTGCGTATATTCTTTTCTAATTGTTTTAACCGTCCGTTAAAGTTTTAAATATATCAAACATTACAAATTGCTTGCGAATAATAATCGAAGATGTAATAAACCGTCGAAAGGAATAATCGTGAAATGTCTATATATCCACGATTTTTTAACTGATACTCTTCGAGTTTTACGAATAACTTCTTCCTCCGCACATGATAATTTTTAATATTAAAATTGTGACTATATCCCTCATGTGAAATAATATTTTCATGAAATGATTGTGCAACACAAGCTTTGACTTATTGGAGAGAGCAAGGGTATATATTAATACAAATTATATGTTAGCAAAGAAGAAAAATAACTCACAAAAGTCGCATATGCGATCTGTATATATTTATGCTGCATAAAATATTAACATTGGTAATCCCCATGTTCCTCTCTCTATCTTTCTCTCTCTGCTTACAAATATTTAATAAAGTTGCAAATTTACCACATCGAATGACAGATGACAAATTTTCTTTCCGGTATTGATCTCTGTCTATAATTTCTAGTTTGACACTCACATGTACGCAATCTTCAAATTAACATGCAATGTAAGTAAAATTTATATTTTAAGGTAAACAATAAAACATGTGAAACTTGTAACAATATTTTAATTATTTTTTTTTTTTATTTGTAAAGCATTAGTAATATATACAATATATTACCAGTATTATATAATACCGCTATAAAATACTCTGCGATGCTATATTTATAATATAGATTTATATTATTAATGGCAAAGGATGTCACTAATTTTTTTTAATTGTTTTTAACATTATGAGGCTTGCGTTTGTTGAAGTATATTGTAAGCCGAATACGATGTTTTGAGTAACTGCAATTAAAATTATTAATATTATAATTTTTAATATTATAATTTAAAATCACAATTGCAGGTTTGTAAAAATTAATTAATTTAATTGTAATAATATAAATAAAATATTCGAAAAATAAGTAACTTCTTAATCTTAAAAATAAACTTAAAACACACATGATTATATACAAATATATGTTAATTTTTTTATTTAATATATCAAATATTCAAGTTACTCCTATAGAAAAATTTTATTTTTAATAGAGTATTTTTTTTATTTAAAAAAATGCTGCAGTAAAGCAGTGTCAACATTAGAATTTGCACATTATTTTTGCTATTATTTATAGAGCGCCAATCAATTTTGCTACTAACACCCACAAATGAATCAAGGTTCATAGAAATAACAGCGGCACTGCTAAATTCGATTGGTATTGCACCGCGTTTCATAATCAGTAATAGAACTTTTTTGGCATCTTCATTAAGTTCGAACCACTCCATCTCGAATACATTATCCACCAATTGTCGACTCTGTATTTAACCAAGATTTGTTAAATATTTATTTAATTTAATCTACCAATTGTCTCTCGACTCTATATTTAACAATTCAAATTTATTATTTATTTAACTTAATTTACGTATATAAAATATACTAAGTGTTTATGTATGAGAAATAGCGAATTTTGAAAGACATACCCTCAACTTAACTTCGTTCCCGCACCAGCAATAAAAAAAGATTTGCGACAGCATGCAGCACGTATACAGTATTAATTGCACATATTTTGCTCTTAACGCGGTTGACTTGGTAAATTGAAACAGATTGAAACACATTACCAGCGTACTTACAACAAATTGAATAAATATCGTCCTCCTGAATGTATTATTTACCACACGAGCAAACCTAAAATTAATCGCAACTAAACACAATATTAATAATTTTCAAGTATTGGAAAGATACATAAATGCATATAAAATGCATATAAAAAATGTGCAGTATATCAATAGAAAATATTTGACAAGAATAATTTTATATTGGCGAAAATAATATTTTAATTTACTTTGTCCTAACTTATACGAAAAAAACATTTATTACGCAAATATTTTAATAATGAAAAATATTTTTTACTCGTAAAATTAACTATATAAAAACGAACTTGATTATATAATTGTGATGAATAACACACTTGTGAAGAGTTTTCGGATTACGTGTGCCTTTTCTTATACGACATTCCAATATATCTAATTGACAGCAAATGTGTATCAATAATCCGCATATGAGACTATCACAAGCTATATGATGAACAGATCCGACTGTAAAACCTAGCAATTGATGAAAGTACACAAAGAAAAATATTGGCGGCGACGAATAGTTGAATGGTAACCATGCTCGAAATGTCAATTTGCTTTTCTTAAATTCTGTCAATAATGACGTTATGGAAACGCATAGACACGTTGTCTGGACCAGAATAACGTAATGAAGCGTATTTGATCTGTAAAACGACTAGACAATTTTATGTTTCACTTTTTATTCAATTTTTTTCTTGGAAAGTATTGCATCTTATATGTTCTTTTTTTCTCGAAAAAAATATTGCATGTATATTCACATAAAAAGAGAGCTTGATACAAGGAAATTTAATTATTTGAGATATATAATTTTTGATCTAAATCTAAATGCTGCATATTGAAAAAAATCATGCAAAAATCACTGAATACTCTACATTAAATAAAATAATGATTCAGATTAGGCTCGCGAAACCTACTGTATGAATCTCTCGTATTTCTGTCGAATCTCCAGCTCGTCAGATTCAACCGGCTTAAGCGGTTTTCTCGTAAGAGTATTGATTAATATCTTAATATTGTTGCCATTCAATAACAGAGCGAACATCTTGCAGCAGGAAACAATCATGGCGAGTAGCATGTAGAAATTATCGGTGAAATCGTCGGAATTGTCGACAGTCAGAATCAGATCCAACAATTGCGATAGCATAAACGTGTGTATCAGTAGCATTATCAAAATTGTGTAAACGTGATAGACTAACCGTTTGTACGGCGTTGTCCAGGAATCCGGTCGCCTGCAGCCGCAGATCGTCATTATTATAAGTGTAAATTCCAATATGCGCATTTTTTATCTTCCTCGATATTATCTGTCGATGCCTTTTTTTCGAAAAAAAAAAAAATGTGCCAGATTCTATATCCTATGTTATATACATACATGTACATAAATTTTCACTCCAGAGATTTGAGAAAAATTTAGAAAGTACCTTTATATATTTTTTCGAATTAATTGGAAAAAATTTTAATAATAAAGCATAATTATTCAATCAATTGTTCAAAAATCTACAATGATATGAGTTGATAACCAAATTACATCTCAAAAGACAATTTTTTGCAATTATTATTATATAGTATTAAGTAGTAATATTTCGAAATTTTTTTTTCTCGTAAAACAATTTGATGCACTTAGATAAAATCTTACGGCAAACTGATCATCACGCGAATGTCTATAGCTCCACGATATCTTCCATCGTATAATAATACACTACACATCCAACTTCCCCCTTAGGCATCTTTTATTATTCAGATTGTGCAATTATATATTCCTCGAATAGTTTTTATGCAGTCGTCTAAACACAATCTTGATATTACGATATATATCATGACATAATAATACTTCGCTAGAATTCTGCTTTATGATATATTTTATAAAGCGAAATTGAGGGAAAAAATAATAACTCTTAAATATAGAGAATCGAGCTCTATGTACTTACCTTAATATAAAATAAAACATTTCGGTAAGTTATATTTCAACTGATGTTTAATATAATTTATCTGTGCGTGAATTTTACATAGCGAACCATAAATGACAAATTTTAAAACTTGTATTGATCTTTGTCATTTGTCATAATTTCGAATAGTCTATATGATCTAACATACATGTATATACATATAACAGGTGATAGCAAAATGCCAGAAGAATATAACTGAATTAAACGCGTAAAATATATTAGTAAAAATAATTAATATATCGCAACGTAAGTAAAATTCTAACATTCTATATAGTCATTAATTATTATACGTAAGGTAATTTAAATATCTCTCTCTGTTCCTCTTTAAATACTTTCTTTATATTTAAAGAATAATAATAATGTAAAAACCATTTATATAGTACTACAATAAATAAATGATATATACTTATTTTAATTTTTTTTAATATATACAATCTCTCTCTTCCGTCTCATTTTTTTATATGTGCATAAAGTGATATAAACTCACACTGCTCTCATATAATTTTCTTTGAGTTTGTCTCTACCAATTAAAATTTTTACATTTGCTGAAGTATGTTATAAGCTGAATACGATGTCTTAAGTAACTGTAATTAAAGTTATAATATTATTCAAAATGAATATATGTACATACATATATAAATAGCCGATTTTACTTATATTTACTTATTAATATAAGTTAAAGCTTTTAAAAAAATACGCAAAAACTAATTTTTAATTAAAAATTTATACGTAATATGTATAGAGAATTTCTTTCGTCAACTGAATGTACATACAGTAAATTCTTTCTTAATATAACTAAAATATTTTATTTTTAATTAATTGATTTTTATTAAAAGATAAATGAATTAAAACGTATTTGACAGCATGATTTTTTTTCTTAATTGTATCGTGACATAAATTTCAATACTAACGCTCACAAATGAATCAAGATTCATAGAAATAACGTAAGCACTAGTAAGTTCGATTGGTATTGCACCACGTGTCATGATCATTAATAAAGATTTTTAGTATAATTGTCCAGATGAAACCATTCCATTTCAAATATGCTATTGACCAGTTGTCGACTCTATGTTTGATAATTTACATTTTATTATTTATTTAATTTATCCGCAGTATAATTATATCAAATAATAAATAGTTTAAATAAGATATATATATATATATATATATATATATACATATGTATGTACATATATGTTTGTGTTAAAAATACAAACCTTCAACTTAACTTCGTTCCCATACCAACAATATAAAAAATTTGCGACAGCATGCAACCCATATACATTATTAACTGCATATATTTCGCTTTTAATGCGGTTGATTTGGTAAATTGATACAGATTAAAACACATTACCAATGTACTCACAACAAACTGTATGACGATAGTCAGTCTAAATTTTTCATTCACCAAACGAGCGAAACTGAAATTATAAAATTAAAATATTAGAACTTTATATTTAAATATTTAAAATATATATTTTACGATTTAAATATGATAATTTTTAATTAAAATAATATAAATAAAACATCAAAACAACCACACCAAATCATGAATAAATAAATTATAATTAAAAATTCTGTAATTAATAAAAAATTAAGTATGTAAAATGTATTTTTACGTTTGACGTTTTTTCTTTTTTCTTTTAAATAATACAAACACGAAAATTATACTTAAATGTATTGATTAACGGAACAAATACAAAATATATTTATATACATATAATACACGGTAAAACACCAACTTGAATACTCGATTGTGTTGAAGAACGGATTTGTGAAGAATCTCTGGGTTGTGTGCGACTTTTCTCAAACGGCATTCCATTATTTCAATTTGACAGCAAACGTGCACCAGCAGACCACATATCAAACCGTCACAAGCCACATGGAGAACAGATCCGGCTGTTAGACTTATCAGCTGGTGTATGTATACAATGCGAAACAGTGACGGCGACGTGTAGTTGAATGGCAACCATGCCCTGAATGTCAATCTTCCTTTACCGAATTCTGTCAGCAACGATGTCACGGCAATGCACACACACGTTGTCTCGACCCAAATTGCATAGTAAAGTGTGTTTGTCCTGTAAAACGACTGTAGAGATTTTCCTGTTTCATTTTTCATTCAATTTTCGCTTCTAGACACTTTAACTTTTACGACTTGTATCCTTCTTCAATCAAAAGCTTGTTACATACTCAAAGACACAATACACTTTATGCGTATATTATCAATTTTAAAATATAATAATTTATTTCTAATGAATATCACATATTTGCATTGCACATATCAGATCTCATTGTATTTAATAAAAAAATAAATATTTATTTAAATATTTGTATTTAATAAAATTTACATTCTATTTAATAAAAGAAAGAAATTAAATATTTAATATTTAAATATTTAATTTCTATTAAATATAATTTTTATTAAATATTTAAATAATTAAATATTTATATTATGTATAATTAAATTAAATATTTAATATTTAAATATTTAAAGAATTAAATATTTAATTTTTATTAAATACAATTTTTATTAAATATTTAAATAATTAAATATTTATATTATGTATATACATATACTTACTGTATAAGTTTATCGAATTTCTGTTGAATCTCGACTTCGTCAGACTGGACCGGTTTGCACGGTTTCTTTACGAGAATATCGATCAGCATCGCAATGTTATTGCGGTTCAACAGCAGGGTGAACATCTTACAGCAGGAGACGATCATGGCCAAAAGCATGTAGAAATTATCGGTGAAATCGTCGGCATTGTCCACGGTCAAAATTAGATCCATCAATTGCGACAGCATGAACGTGTGTATCAGTAGCATTATGAAAATTGTGTACACATGATAAACCAATCGTTTGTACGGCGTCGTCCAGGAATTCGGTATCCAACATCCGCAAATCATTAATATCTTAAATGTAAAATCTAACACGCGCATGTTCAACTTTATAATTTATACCTCTCCGTCGAGATTATTAATATCCTTAATTCTTCGGGAAAAGCATTAATCATGAATCATTGTTTCAGAGATGACGATATTTTTTAATTTCCTTACTTTTAAGTTATTAATAATGAGAGATTTTTTCACAATGTCGTATAATACAATTTTTAAATATACACTTTGAGATTTACATATGGCAATAAATCTAGATAATTAAATTATATTTGGATCGCGGTAATTTTTTTTTCATTCGCACGAGCTCATATAGAAATAAAATAATGGAAATGCTTTTTTTCTTGGAAAATGTTGCGAAGAATTGTTGAAAGGGACTGACACAATCACATAGAATGTCTATAGTCCCACGATCGTCCTATAATAATACGTTGACACAACTTCCCCCTTCGTATATGCGACAACTTTTATTATTCAGATTGCAATCTATATCCTTCCCATCGACAACCAACAACCCTTCAGTCGATAAATATAGATTCAATAAATCATACAATGTCATGATATAATAATATTATATCTGAAAATACTGTTTCATCAAATTAGATATTAGAAGACGACTACATGGTATATAAAGAATAAAAATAGAAATCTTTAGAAGTCTCTGATAATGCATGTGTGTGTATAATTTTATGTTAATATTATAAATATTTTATACTATTCGAAAATATTTAATTTATTGTTTATATAAAGGTTAAATATGTTGTGATAGAAGATATTGCGTGAGATCGGTGTTCGATTCATTTTTGGGTGAAATTTCAATATCGTGACGGAACTTAGCATATCGAATTGTTTGAAATGTGATGGGTATAATAATTGTCTCGATTTCTCCCATGAAATAAATAATTATTGTAGAGGTAGAAAGCGTACATGTTCACTGATTAATGACACATAAAGTAATAATACAAGAAATTGTATAATGGAATATTAAAAGAATGGGAATGCGATGAAAAGATGGGTCATAATTCTATTTTTAAGAAATAGAATTATTTTTAAAATATGAGAATGCGACTTTGAAATAATCCTCAGTTTGATAATAAAACATTTAGAAAAACCGTCAATTATTTTAAATATGCAATAAGGCTTCATTGCAGAGTTTTGTTAAGTAGAGAAACCTTATTATAAAGCCGACATTATCACCAAGCATGAAATTTGTTATCATATATGTTCAAATATTTATATTCTCATAAAATGTATTTTAAGTTTTTATATTATTTTAAAAAATGAAATAAATCTTCATTGCAGAGTCATGTTAAGTAGAGAAACCATATCATAAAGCCGACGTTATCACCAAGCATGAAATCTGTTATCATATATGCTCAAATATTTATATTCTTATGAAATGTATTAAAAATTTTTATATAATTTTAAAAATTGAGGTAAACCTTCATTGCAGTGTCCTGTTAAATAGAAAAACCATATATATATATATATATATATATATATATATAGCCATTATCACTAATCATATTCGCATTTTATTTGTAGCATTGAGCGACTGTCGTCGCGTGGGTTAACAGTTTGACAGTTATTCAAAATAAAATTAAGTAAAATTAAATAAAATCATTACACGAAATCAGACAATGGCGTGCGCTTTCGTTGTTCTGGTAATATTTCTAGTTATATATTAATATTAATCAATAATTATATTAATAATAATATTAATGCAACAATTTATTTAAACATTTTCAATTTTATATACACATTGTTGAAAGAATCATATAACATGGAGCAACATCTTTCTATATGTCTTCATTGTTACTCGGATCTTGCATTTGTTGAAGTATGTTGTAAGTCGAATATGATGTCTTGAGCAACTATAATAAATAAAATTTGCTTTTTATTTTAAAAGTGTGTATAAAATATAATTATTGCTTTAAAGAATATATATATATATATGTATAATATAATAATTTCTTTGTGTACTAACACCCACAAACGAATCTAGATTCATAGGTATAACGTAAGCACTGCTAAATTCAATGGGCATTCTACTGCGTATTGCAATTGTTAATAAATCCTTTTGTACGTGTTGCCCCAAAGTAAGCCATTCTATTTCATATAGATCATTTACTAGTTGTAGACTCTATGTTCAAAAATCGACAATATATTTATTATTATTTGATTATAATAAAATAGAAAGATTAATTATAAAAAAAATTTAGTTTCGACATTACATATGCATAATTTTTAGGAATTAATTTTTATCTAAAATTTCATGTTTCGGTATTTGATGTTTTAATGTTTTTCTAAAGTAAAGTGCAGGAAAAAATTTATACTAAATAAAAGAAATATTTTTACTTAGAACATTAAATTATATGTGAATACTAATATAACTAAACATATAAAATTATTGCAACAGGGAAAGAATATTATCTTAAAAGCACATACCTTCAGTTTAACTTCATTCGCGTACCAGCAATACAAAAAAATTTGTGTCAGCATGCATGACATATACATTCCTAATTCAACGAATTTTCCACTCGATTTGGTCAATTGATATAATGTAAAACATACCACCAACGTACTTACAAGGAATTGAAAGCTGATAGTGAACCTGAATTTTTTGTTTAATAGACAAGCAATTCTAAAATCAAAATTATATATATATATATATATATATATAAATTTTAATATATTTTAATTATCGATAATAATATTAAATATATATAATAAAAAATTATAAAACTGAATAAACATTTACGATTTACATATAAATAAAAAAAGTTAATAAAAGATATTTATAGTATATGTAACATTATTCGCACATAAAAAAAGACATTTTCTTAACTTGATTGTAAAAAAATTAAACTGAAATTATGATATATAATTACACAGAAAAATTTAGAAAAAAAATTTATCAATATTAATGATGAAGACAAACTTAGTTATAAGATTGTGCTGATTGACGCAGTCACGAAGTATTTTTGGATTGCGTGCAATTTTCTTTAAACGATAACTTAATATCTCTATTTGACAGCATATATGTAACAGTAGTCCACAAATAAGGCCATCGCAAGCAACGTGTAAGACAGAGCCAACTGTCAAACTTATTAACTGATGAAAATAAGTAAAATGAAAAAGCGCTGTCGAAGAATAGTAATCAAATGGTAACCACGCTCTGAACGTTAACTTTTTTTTCCTGTAATCCGTGAATAATGATGCTATCGCCGTAGATGCACATGTCAATTCGACCAGAATCATATAATGCAAGGTATTCGTCCTATAAAATAACTGCAGACGGTTTTGCGTTTCAATAATAACTCGATGATTTCTTTAATGCTAATTTTTTTAACATAAAACAGTTTCAATTAAAAGAAATAATCTGCTTTAATAATATACATATATATTTAAATTAATATTTTAGTATAATTTTAGAAAACAAAATATAATAAATATCAATGCATTGCAAAGAAATATTGCCATTTATTAATAAATATATATTTAAGATTTTGAGCACTGAGAATTATAATACTGTATTTAAAAAAAAAATATTTACTCTTCAAATTTATAAAGAATATATAAATTATGTAACTTTTAAATACATAAACAAAATTAAAATGTTTTCGAAATATTTACTCAATGAGTTTATCAAATCTCTGTCGTATTTCTATTTCGGCTGGTTCTAGTGGTTTACATGGTCCATTCATTAGAATATCTGTTAGCATCGCGATGTTGCTGCGATTCATCAACAAACTAAACATTTTAAAGCAAGAAACGATCATGGCAAGCAGCATGTAGAAATTATCCATGAAATCTTCCGGATTGTCGACGGTCAGAATTATATCCAAAAATTGCGACAATGTAAATGTATTTATCAATAAAAGTATAAAAATTGTATATGCGTGGTACATGAAACGTCTGTAGGATGGAACAGTCCAGGAATTCGGTATCCAACAACCGCAACTGATTAAAATTTTGAATGTAAATTCCAATATGTCCATTTTAACTTCGATTATTTCCCGTTTATTTTTTGCACAAAAATAATAAATTGATATCAATGAAAAGTAATTATTAGATATATGACATTCTCTGCTTTTTAGATTTCGAATGAATATGATTGCAGTTATACTTTACATAATAATTATTTATTATGTAAATTAATTTGCTGGGCAAAATTATGTGTATCTCGCGTTATTCTAGCTATGAATTTAAATCAATTCAGTCAATCAACGTCAAATTACGTCAAATTAATAACTTTAGCTGCTGTAGTGACACTAGGTTTTACAGTAATAATACAACACACAGTGAAATCTTGAGAGAGACTAACGATGTCTATAGCCACGCGATCTTCCGACTTTTCCCCTTCATATACATTGACTTTTATTATTCAAATTGCGAATATATCTTTCGCATAATAATATTTTTATGCATCGACTAAGCAATCGTTAAACGGAGACTTGAGATACTGATTAATATATTATGACATAATAATATCTCATAAGAAAAATGCTTTGCAAAATTAGACGTTAAAAAACCTGGGCTGAAAAAAAAGAAAGGAAAATAAATATTTCAAAATTGTCAACTATTTTTTCTGTCAATTTCTCTTTCTTTCTCTTTGTTGAATGCCAGAAAAAAATATGGAGTTTATAATCGTATATATCGCATCTGTTTATTTTCCGATCAAATGTTTTAATATTATCATATGTCACTTTAGGCTAAACTATATAGAATATTTTATGCATATGTATATGAAAATCAATCAAACCTAAGTACGAATGTACAATAAAATGTAAGTAATGTTAATATACAAATATAATGCAGTTTCGTAATTTTCTATTATCTGTACATAATATTATTATACAACGTAACATATTAATTATATAGCATTGTTACAACACTGAGAAAATATTATTTTAATCTCTGACTTTTCATTGCATTATTTCTATAATATTAGAAATATATTATATATAACAACATTAAATAACAACCTTCTCTATTTACCTTCGACACTTTCATCTCTCATTTGCTGGAGTATATTGTAAGTCGAATATGATGTCTTGAGTAACTAAAATAAATAGATTATGTTAGTTTTAATAAGTTTAAAATTTTATTGAGTTTATAATTTGTATACTTAAGAACAATGTTACACGCAATAATCAATAGTAATTGTATTGTACGGAGCGTGATTACGCTATAAAAATAGATTTATTATACTAACACCCACAAACGATTCGAGATTCATGGGGAAAATATAGGCGCTCGTAAATTCGATGGGAACAGTGCCGCACCTTGTGATTGTCAATAAATCTTTCTTTATATCTTCCCGCAGAGAAAGCCATTCTATTTCAAATAGGTTATTGATCAGCTGCATACTCTGCATCAAAAAATGAAAAAAAAGAATATGGTTCTTCATATTACACTCAAGTACAAATATAACAAAAAAGAAAATATTAATCTAGAACAAATTAATTTTGATCCCTTCTGTTATTTAAAAAATTTATATATACATGAGTGTATTAATGTTTTATATATGCAATATATTTTTAATATTATACCTAAGCAAAACAGCGCGCGCCATTGTCAAATTTCATTTGATGATTTTATTTAATTTTAAACTTAAATAATATTCTATTAATTAGTTTTGGGCGTGTAATGTAACAATGAAAATAATTAGAAAATTTTTTAAACAATTATTTTGTCCAAAAAACTCGTAAATTAACGGTCTCCTTTATTTTCCACCCTATCCCCGGCCATTTTTTACATAAATCTTTTGTGATTAAACATCTACGCTTTCATTAGACTCGCGCGAGACTTCATACCTCATACGTCCATCACACCGCGCGGCTCACGCGAGACTGATTCCCGTGCAGGGTATCGCGAGCGCGAGCTTGATGGTCACATGACTAGTGGTCACGTGATTAGTGGTCACATGACCAGTGGCCACGTGACCATCGGGCCTACGCTCGCGATACTTCGCACGAGAATCAGTTTCGCGCGAGTTGCGCAGCGTGACAGACGTGTGGGGTGTATTAATCTGATGGAAAGGATATAAAGAGAAAGAGTTGCTTTCGTCGGGCCCGATTCATTATTCAGTTTATGAATCACGTAATTAATAAATATATTTATATGCATGCATTGCAATAATAATTTTATACATGCGTTACAATTTTTGAGGTTTTATGCAAGAATAATATAACTTTACTTTGCGCACGTAATTATATTCGATTAAACTAAACAAAATGAGAAAAATATTGTATATAAAGAGATACATATATATACAAAATAGTTCTCAAACAATACAATAAAAATTTGACAAATTAAAATTATGTGCATAATAGAAATTTAATAAATTAAAATTAAATACATAATAAAAATTCGGGAATTAAAATTATGTACATAATAGAAATTCGGCAATTTAAAATTATGTACATAATTAAAATTCGGCGAATTAAAATTATAGTCATAGTATCAAGCAACTGTCATTGCAAAGATTAATAATTTTGACAGTTGTAAAAAACAATAGAAATGATACCAAAGGAGCGCGCAAAGCGCGCGCTTATGTTGTCTATAGTATGGCATAATAAAAAAATATTTGAGTAGTAAGATATAAAAAGCAGAAGAATATTATTTTAATACCTTACCTTTAATTTAACTTCATTTCCGTACCAACAATACAAAAAGATTTGTGTTAGCATGCACGACATGTATAATCCTAATTGAATGACTTTCGCATTTGTCTTTGTGAGTTGATATAATGTAATGCACACTACCAACGTACTTACTATAAATTGAAAGGTAATAGTGAATCTGAACTTCTTATTCACCATAAAGGCAAATCTAAAATTAATTTTGCATTATATTATTTAATTTTTATTATAAGCATATAAATGTGATGTTTAAAAAATAGAAAAAAAGTTTCTTTGCAAAATTATGAATAAAATATTAATTACAATATCTTAGAACCTTCTTTGTAATTTTTCTTTCATAGACAACTAATAAAAATACTACTGTGTGTTTTACAATTATATGCAAACAGCAAGAAAAATATATAATTAAAACACACAATGAAATATTAATTAAATAAAACAAACTTTATCATAAGATTGTGTTGAACGACGCAGCCACGAAGAATTTTTGGATTGCGTATGACTCTTTTCAAACGAGAATTCAATATCTCTAGTTGACAGCATATGTGCAATATTAATCCACATATCAGACTGTCGCAAGCAACATGTAGAAGAGCCCCGACAAGTAAGGCTATTAACTGATGAAAGTACATAAAATGAAAAAGTACTGCCGAGGAATAATCGAAGGGTAACCAAGCTCTGTATGTTAACTTCCCTTCCCGATAATCCGTGAATAATGATTGTACCACCGAATATAAGCTTGAGAATTCAACTAGAATCGCATAATGCAGCGTATTCATTCTGTAATTGACTGTAGGCAGTTTTACATTCGCTATTTAATTAATTTTACAATTACTTATTTAATATTCTCTTTAATGTTAATTATTATAATTATTTTTCTAATAATTTTATCCGAGAAAAATTTGCTGACAAAAAGTTATAAAATTTTCAGATTAAAGAATATATGTGTTATTATTTTACATGCATAATAACAATTAAAAAGTTATGTCGTAATACATATACTTACTCGATAAGTCTATCGAATTTCTGTCGAATTTCCACCTCATCTGGTCCAATTGGTTTACATGGTATATTCATAAGAATATCTGTTAAAATCGCAATATTGCTGCGATTTACTAGCAAACTAAACATTTTAAAGCAAGAAACGATCATGGCAAGAAGCATATAGAAATTATCGGTAAAGTCGTCCGGATTTTCCACTATTAGAATCAGATCCAGAAATTGCGACAGTGTAAACGTACTTATTAATGCAAGTATGAAAATTGCATATACATGATACAGGAGACGTCTGTAGGAAGACGTCCAAGAGTCCGGGGTCCAGCAACCACAGATTGTTAAAATTTTTAATGTATAGTCTAATACGCGCATTGTAATTTTGAATTACACTTATTATCTATTTTTCAAATATGATACAAAATTATTAAGGCTATTAAATTATTCAATTTGCGATGGCCTCGTGTTTAAATATTAGACAAGATTGTGAATACGTACGATTTATAATTACTTATTGTAAATAAATGTCATAGACAAATTATATATGCTTCATTTTGTGTAAATTAACGATTGAAATACTTAGAAGTCAGTCAACAATTTTATTTAACACAACTTCAATTGCTGTAGTGTTAGAATCGTTTTTACAGTAGTATAACTCGCTATAGAATCTTTAAAGAGACTGACGAATGTCTATAGAGTCTCGTAATATCTTGACAGAGATATTCTTCGCTTAATTTTCCCCTTCTCTGATAACTATTTTCATTATTCAGGTTACAATTGTGTTCCTCGAATAATATTCTCATATATCAATCATAAAAAAGTTCTCTCTTACAATTAGATATTAGTTTTATATTATGACATAAAATTTCGTAAAAGTAAAACCATATAAAATGATTTCTTAGCAAGTAGAGTCGGCGATTTTAAATAATTGCATCATTTTAAATAATTGCACCATTTATATGAGATCATATCTATAGCTTATATTTTTTTCTTAGTGCAATATATTTTTTAGAATTTACCCATAAGTTAGTTGATGAATGTATCTTCTCGTAGCAGTATAAATATTTACATCTTACATTTCCTTACTGTTTAAGAATATCTTGTCTATATGCCTATTCGGAATCTCTTTTTAGCTTTATGTCAGTGTTAGTGCAGTCAAATATAATTTATATATTAATATTTTTTAAGTCTCATTAATTTTTTAATTAAGTCAATTAATTTTTTTCAATAATTTCTATCCGCTCTAAAATATCTTCAATACGTAAATACAAAGTGATCCCAATCAATTTTTTAAACAAAGATAAACATGCATTATTAATATATGAATAAATATATCGAGAGATGTCGATTGTGTAATTAATAACAAAATTTAAAACATTTATTTTATATTTATCTATTAACATTATTTAACACAGAGGAGCATTAATTACATGCAATGATTTAACTCATTTTCATATTTGCAAATTCCAAGATTTGTACAAATACGGAATATAAGTATTACTTTTTTATGTTTTTATCATTTTAATTCATTTGCTGAAGTATATTGTAGGCAGAATATGATGTCTTGAGCAACTGCATTAAAGCAAAATCGTAATAAATTAATAATCTATTTCTTAAGACATAAAACTTAACGACATGAACAATAACATGTCAATATACATAAAAATGTTCAATTTACAAATTATTTACATTATTAATTTAGTTGTTAAGTTAAAGCATTAATAAGATTTCATTTTAATCTAATTAAAAATATTCTATTTTAAATATATTTATTAGACCCGTGACAATATATGAAAAAAATTGTATTTATAAATGCAAAATCGATTACTTAAGAATAAAAATAAAATTGTATACTAACACCAACGAATGATTCAAGATTCATAGAGATAACATAGGCACTCGTAAATTCAATAGGTACCATACCGCGCATCATAATTATTAACAAACTTTTTTGCATGTTATGATCCAAAGCTAACCAGTCCATTTCGAACACGTTTCTGATCAGTTGCTGGCTCTATATTTAAGAATATAGAAAAATTTATTTAATAATTTTAGTTACATAAGATAACATAAATATTAAATTATACGCATTATTTTGAATATTTTATTTCAATAATTAATTTATAAAAATTAATTCTCGTAAAGTAGTGTGCTTTGGTATATCTCTGAATGCAATAATGATATACTTTAAAATAGTTGCATAATATAAATAAATTCGATACACCAGAAAAATAAAATCTAAAATCGTGCATATAAAAGAGTGCACACCTTAAGCTTGACTTCATTTCCGTACCAGCAATAAAAGAAGATTTGTGTCAGCATGCAACACATATATAACATTATTTGAACATATTTCGCATTTACGCTCATCTGTGTCAGTTGATGCAGATTAAAACACACTACCAACGTGCTTACTACAAACTGAACGGTGATGATCGATCTAAATTTTTTGTTCACCAGAAACGCGAATCTGGAATCAATTGGAGACACAACTTTTGAGCATCTTTAAAATTATTTTACACCCACAAATATCGTACGTAATACATATATATATATACATGTATGTATGTACATATTTGTATTAAAAGCAATTTTTTATTAAATTAATTTAAAAAACTAACTTAGAGACGCATATGTGTTGCATGACTGACTCTTCAAGAAAATGCGAGTTGTTTACGACTTTCCTCAGATGACACTCGAATATCTCTATTTGAGAGCAGACATGCATCAATAATCCGCAAATTAGACTGTCGCAAGCGATGTGAAGCATCGATCCTGCCGTTATACTTATCGATTGATGCACGTAAACGATTCGAAATAGCATCGGCGAGGAGTAATTAAATGGTAACCATGCTCTGAAAGGTAGTCTACTCTTCCTGTAATCTTTGAACACTGATGTTGCTATTGCAAATGCACATGTTATTTCGACCATAGCCGCGTAACAGAATGTGTTTGTCCTGTTAAATAGTTGTAGACACTTTTGGGTTAATGTTTTCAATGATGTTAACTTTTTATTTAATAGCTTTTATATGTGCATGTATTTTCTATATATAATATAAAATCGTTTTATAATTACTAATCATTTTCCGTATAGCACAAAATATTAAAAAAATTTTTTAAAATATTTCTTAAAAGATAAAATAATTCTCGACAATATTTTTGACATAAATAATATATATTTTTAAATTTATTTTTAATATGTTTTATGTCCGCTTTTTCATGTTTAAAAAATATTTTTGAATATAGATTTAAACTAATATTTCAAAAATATGCATCAAATATTTAAGAAAATATTATCTGAGCGATAAAGAAGAACATTTTAAAAATATTTTTAAAAGTTTTTTTAAAATATTCTAAATTATCACAAAAAATTTTTAAATCATTTTAAAATATTTCTAAAACTATTTTAAAATATTTTATAAAAATATTTAGAAATATTTATTGAAAACATTCATAATATTTTGTGCTGTATGGGTTTGCAGTACTTACTGTATAAGTCTATCAAATTTCTGTCGAATTTCTATTTCATCCTGTTCAATGGGCTTACATGGTTTCTTCATTAGAATATCGATCAGCATCGCAATGTTGCTGCGATTTCTCAATAAACTAAACATCTTGAAGCAAGAAACGATCATGGCAAGCGTCACGTAAAAATTATCGGCAAAATCGTCGGTGTTGTCGACGTTCAGAATTATATCCAGCACTTGCGACAACATAAACGTATTCATTAAAAGAACTATGCAGACTGTGTATACATTGTACATAATACGTTTGTATGGTGACGTCCACGAATTGGATGGCCAACATCCGCAAATGGTAAGAATTTGAAATGTGAACGTGAGAATGCTCATGCTTTTTTTTCTTGTCCGATAATATTAAAAAATTATGATTATGCGAGAATACTTTTGTAATAGATCTTATATATCTTTATTTTTAATATATCATTAAAAAATCTAATTATTTCATTTTATTTGTCACACTTCTTAAATTTCTCACCATAATTTACGAATACATGATTTTTAATTATTAAGATTAATAGTAAAATTATCACGTATAATTAAATTTTGAGTTAAATTGTCCGCACATCAAGTAAACGAAAATAACTAATTTTTAACACAGTATATTATTATTTGTAATTTGAAATTTTTATATTAAGCGCATTGTAATAATAAAATATGACAATTAATTCTTTGCAACGCGATGAACGAGAAAATTTCACTGATGTAAAGAGTCTATTGATCTAAGAGTTCATCAATTCAATTTTTTCATCTTCAACTTTCGCTTACGTATTCGTGAATTCATTGTATTATTACGATGATATAAAACTTTTGCGTTGTGGAACGATGTCTTTCGTGACTGCTTTAAAATACATATCTTATACATGATGCGAAATGCAATACTACATTTATGTCTAACTCTGACTTACAACTCAACGTTGTCCCATACAAACTATCAATTATGGTTTAGCCATATGAAATCTTTATGCAGACGACTTTATATACGTAGCTTTTAAATTATATTTAATTTATTGCTGTTATACGAAGATGCAGTTCAACGTTTTATCGTGTTCTAATACTTATATTCTTATATATTCAATTCTTAGTCGTCTATTGTTATTACATCGTCATCTATTGAAAAAGAAAATACAATTTAATAACTATATAATTATTTATATAATTTTCGCAACAAAATGCGTATCAAAAAATTAAAAAAGCATATACAATCCTAAAAACAGCGTAAATAACAGTAAGTTATAACAACAAATATTTTATATTAAGTTAATTTACTGAAATAATATATTTTACATTAGATTGTATTTTAATATTGTACATGTATATACATAAATATATAACATAATTGAATATATATAATAAAGTTTATCAGAGCATATATCAAAATAAGAAAAAAATGTACCATTGGAATACATGCTTAATAATACATTTTATAATAATTAAAATTAGTTAAATTATAAAATATATTATTAATATAGGTTTCACGTTTAATAGTAATAGCAATACGCGTAATTATTGTATGTATATATGCACTGCATATTTAGAGTTTTTTAAAATTCTCCATTATATATAATTTTACTAAAAATTTACAAATTAAAAGATTTACAAAAAAAATTCATTAATTTTAATAATTTTAATTTAAATTTCTAATTATCTAGCACCAGTATTATATATTTTTTATCAATTCATGATATCAAAAAATTAACAGTCGATTATTTGTCGACCGGAGGTAAAAGTACCTTAGTAAGAGTTATTGATCCAATACTTGTCGGTTACAAGATGTGAACGAAAAAGCTTGAAGAACATCTGGTAAATTTGCCGGCTGCTAATAACTCGTTATATAATGATAATAAGTAAAAAATCTATAAAAAATAACTTAAAAATGAAAAAATAAGACATATTTAAATGGTAAAAATATATTTTTAAAAATATATAATATAAACATAAATGTGTGTACACTTGTATGTATGCATATGTGTTCATATAATTTTAGAAAATATTTAAAAAAAAGATATAAATCTTATATACATCAAAAATATAAAGGCACTTTGCGCTTATAATTAGTATTTCAACATTCAACATAAAACTTATTGTTAGTATAAATCTAGTCTTTCTCAAATTTAAATACAAAAATTATTACTTTAATTTTAAAAATGTTATTTAGAATGTTAGAAAAATTGATGCTAATTCTTGATTATTGTTGAATATATAATTATTTAATATTATATATCTACTGATAATTTATTTAGTTCAGATTAAATTACATTTTATATTTTTATATATTGATTTATAGTACATTCTAAGTTCTTTGTATTTTTATGTATCTCTAATTATTTTTGTATGAATCGTTAAAATATTTTATATATAAATATAAATATAAAATCGTTAATACAAAATCTATGACTTCCACACAATTCCTTATGAAATTCGCCAACAGATGACTCCATATTTTCAAATGCTCGTAGACTACGTATATTATATCCAGATCTCACATATATTCTTACCACAGTTAAACATTAATCAACACAAGAAATCAATTTTTTTACAAAGATTAATTTGCGCGAGCTAACGCTTCATACGTTAATTATTTTTAACTTGTACAAAGTTAATATTCGTATTTTTCAAAATTAAAATTACTTGCGTAAGGATTAAAATCCACCATAATTATGCAAATAATTATTCACTGTCTAAAAACTATGTTAAATGTTTAGAAATGAATAATCGATATTGTAACAACTATATTTTGGAGAGCTAATATTTCGCATGGACCATAAGTCAAGTGTGTCCTGGTTAAAATCGAGATTTGTTATCGACCACATATAAGCGTCTCATATATCACATGTGCACGGGATGGCCGTGTGAAATTCCAACGAGAGGGCGAAGACAAGGCGAAAACCCGAGGGGGTGAATCTGATCGCACCGAAAGAGTCGGGGTTGTCAGCGTTACGATATAGGGTCCGTCCTTATCTGCGAAATACAGGCAATGTCTCCCTGCTCTTCTCTGGTACTCGATGTCCTTCGTGTTCGTTGTCCTAAGTCCAGGAGAGAAGAGCGAACAGGATACGCCATGATGAATCGGCCATATTGCCCTGGACTGTTCCGAAAGAGGGTTGATCCTGCTTGTTCACTGTTATTTTGTTACATATATACAGGGTGTCCGGTAAATAACGGACCAATAATTAAGGGCGGATTCTCTGGCCAATTTGGAGACGATTTTTCCTTAGCAAAAATGTTGAGGAGTCAATAATTTTCGAGTTATAAAGCGATTGAAAAAAATGGGTTTTTTGAAAACTAAACGTTTTGGAGTTAAAAGTCTAACATAATTACATTCTTCAGTTAATTTCAGGTGGAGTTTACTATAATAAAATTTTAATTTGAGGCTTAGTTATAAAGATACATAATGACAAATATTGGAAAGTTGTGAAAAATGATGATCTTTTTCAACATTTTTGCTGAGGAAAAATCGTTCCCAAATTGACCAAAGAATCCATTTGTAATCGTTGGTCCGTTAGTTACCGGACACCCTGTATATTCTTCTCTTTGGTGGATGGAAATATTTCATATAAAATTTTTAACGAGCTAGTATCCTATCGTTTATTTGACAGTATATTTTTAAATAAGATCAAGGTTCAAAGATAATTTTCAGAAAAGGTCTATTTTCTTACCTGCTTCTATTTTTTCAAGTTGTCCCTATTTTATATGTACAATAAGCATTATCTAAAAACAAACCTCTATATCTATTGAAATAAATTATTAAAGCTCATAAGTAAACTTTAGATTAAAGTTTGAAAAAAAGGTTACGAATTTTATGATAAAATTATATTGTGGACTGTAAATGTCTCTTTCAAATTTTTTTTTACAAGATAAGGAAATTTTGTAACGTTTATGATTATAATATTATTTTCCACGATATTACTTCCAGCGTAGGAGAAGATGACAAATCACCTTATCAGCAGCAACGAACGTGACAATCTCGCATGGAAACCGATTCTCTAAGAATATGTATCTTTTATATTCTCGAGTCACGCTTTAGCATCAGTTATGACCACAACCGACGGATTTCATATTCGTTCGAGCTGCACGGTATATACAGAGTGTCTCAAAAATATCGCATTTCTATTTTATTTCGCGCGCTTTATATCGTCTTCTCTCCCTCGAACAATTTTTCCCATTTGCGATTCGGGATTTATTCGAATCTCGAGAGGAAGAAAAACATCTTCTCGTTCGTTTAGCGGTTCGTATTAATATTTAACGGGCCGGGTATTACAAAACGAGATTTGAAATTCTTATCTCGCGTTTCTTGCCTCCGGACTCGTTTCCCGCGGTTTTATTCCTAGGTCGGCCACCGGGTATAATTAACGAATCCTACCGTCTGGCCGGCTCCTGTTGTCCTTAGTGTGAACTTTACAAGACTTATATAATGCATGCGTAAGAAGAATGGACCACCCATGTAGAGAGGTCTCTCTCTCTCTCGACTCGGCCTCGAGTGCTCTCTGGGGTTGCGCGCGCGGACGAAGCACTCCATCAGAAGAAGTAGTCGGCCGGACAGCATACCGGGTAGAAAATGACACCAGTCTTGAGATGCGCGTTTCGTATCGGTCGGATCGAACTCTCGAATCTTTCTCGAACGCGAAACCGCGTTTTCCCCTTTCGCATTTTTGCGATAATGTGGATCTCTCGCGGTGATCCTGACCTGCGTTTGACGGAAATTTTATCTACAATATGATGTGTGGAATATTTAATGACAAAATATATACGCGCTAATTCTTTTTCTTACATTTGTTTTCAATTAAACAGGATTATAATTAAACTTTTCGATGATACGTAATTTCATTTTAGAGTTTATTTTTATCTTGAAAAAGGTCTCGAGAAATAGAGCTTCTTTGTAGATTTAAAATCTACCATTTATATAGCTTCTTACAATCGCATATACAGGGTGTCTGATACATAAAGAGTCACGCCGAAAATATACAAGTAGATCTCGTTATTTGGAGACGAGTTTTCCTCAGCAAAAATGTCGAGAGAGGCCATTATTTTTTGTTGAGGCCATTTATTTCATGTTCCCAATTTTTGCCATCGTGTATCTTTATAAGTAAACCTTAAATTAAAATTGTATTAAACTCTACTTGAAATTAATTGGAGAATGTGGTTTTGTTAATATTTTATTTTCACGAGGCTTAATTCGCGAAAAATCCTTCATTTTTAATCGCTTATAACTCGAAAATGATTGATGCCTCAGAATTTTTGCCGACGATGATTAAAAAATCCTCTATATATATCTCTATATTTCGAGTAATTTTAAAAATTAAATATATATGTCGATAAATTTAATTTAAAAA